GCAGAGCCGGTCCATTGCATGCTTATGATGACACTAATAGAAAGACCAGGAGCAAGGAAGATAGCAAAGGAGGTGTAACCTAATGCCAGCATGATGGCATCTGTTTAAAGAGTTACATTTGCTTGCAGCTCAAGAAATATGTACTATATTCCAGAGGCTCTTATTTCTCCTGTAGGCTATGGCAGAGTCTACACATACAGAGAGGGTGTTTTAACTAGAACATGCTCATTAATAAAATACAGGTAAAGTGTATTAAAGTGTATATACTCTATAATGGAAATAAAACATTTACAAGGTATGCTTTTATTAGTCTTTATACAGATAAACACTGGTTTGATAGAACATGCCTTAGTTCATTAATGAAAACAAGCTGATAGAGAGAAAACTGAGAAGGGCAGAGAGAGAACATGCTGAGACCCTTTAATCTTATTTCAGGACCTGGTGGAGTTCACCTGAGCATATTGTGTGTGTGTGTGTGTGTGTGTGTGTGTGTGTGTGTGTGTGGTCTGTGTTGGGAAGTGTGTGATGGGAAGAGGCTGAGCATCTCACCTCCCAGCGACACTCACCGATGAAGAGGATGGGAAAAGTGATGAAGAGGAGGAAGACATGTGGCACCACATTGAGCGCATCCAAGAAACAGCCGTTGTTCAGAACCCCCTCGTCCACGTTGTAGGCCACCGAGTTATTCTCGTTCCCACAGAACGCCAAGGACATGGTGGAACCGGGACTCTGCGGGAAACCGGCCGGCGGAAGAGGAGGAGGAGGGGTGGGGGGGACCAGACACAGAGGACAAAGAGATTTTAAATAGAGGCTCTCAGAACATGTCGTCCTTTAACAGGGAACACCGATGGCGTCTTCAGTAGGCCCCGGTTATTCCCAAAGTGACCTCCTTCCTGCGCCCTCCCGAATCCAGCTCCCAGAGATCGGATCCAATGAAAGAGAGGAGACACAGAGAGAGAGAGAGAGAGGGTCAGAAGCGGTCACAGCCCAACGCAGCAGCTGCTCCCTCCCCTCTCCTGCAGTCTAAGCAGCTTTCCCGGCCACACTGGTGAGAAACATCTGCATCCCGTCTGCCCGCAGTCCTCAGACATCCCCTAAAACTGAAGCAAAGCGCTGCACAGCTCCAGTGGAATGCATTCAGACACGCTCACATATACACACGCAAGCGCGCACATAGGGCGAGAGCAGCGGTGGCATTCTGCAGTGCACCTGCTATTCCCGTCTCTCTGCAAAGGAGAGCTCAAAGTCGACCTTGGCAGGCGAGAACAGAGGGAGTGTGCAGGAAAGCTGGAGCACTGAGCTCCTAGAGCCACTTAATGTAGGGGGGCGACGGCAGGAGAGAATGATGAGAGAGAGAGAGAGAGAGAGAGAGAGAGAGAAAAGAGAGAGAGAGAGAGAGAGAGAGAAGGGTGTGTGTGTGTGTGGGGGGGGGGGGGTACACAATATGCATATTAAACGTCAAGCAAAGGCAGCATGGGCATGCACTGAAATCTAAATCCACGTTTTCAGTAATTACATAGCTAACTCTACCTCTCAGTTATGTATTACCTTCTTTCGCATTATATCTGCTAGAGTAAGAAAAGGCCACAATGGTGACTCAATAACTGAGCTGAATACAAATAATAGAGACATCAGATATTAATGAATTGGATGGATACCTTGCGCGTCCGGTCCTGCGTGGAGGGATCCCGCTGCAACCAATGGCAGCTGACTTGCTCCGAGGGATCAGCAAAGAGCCACATGGGAGCAATTTTGGTAATCCATGTATTAACAGGGACTGGCTCGTGCTCATTTCTTGGTAGTTAATATGATTTATGTAACAAGTAAAGAGATTTAGGCTTAAATGCCAGGGGTTTACATGCGTGCTTAGTATATACGTTCCCTTCCATTTAATAATTGAAATGTCTGACTGCAGGTTTGCATTGTGCATGAGATGTTTTGTTTTTTAAAAATATATTAAAACATAAAGCTGAGTGGGATATAAATAGGACTAGCTTCATATTAAATCCAGCCAGAATGTAAAAGTTTGGATACAATTGCAGCATTTGTGGCAGGATGGATTTACCTTCTTCCCATTAAAAATTCATTCAAAGTCATTTTGGGGAAAAAGACAATACGTGTTAATTAAAATGTTGGATTGTCTGTGCTGCCATATGTATTGGTTTGCATGCAGTTCTTGGTGAAGTTTAAACAGTGCGATGAATATTACGCAAACCTGCAGTGGCTTTTCACTGCAAGCACAGCCTAGGCAAGATTTATGTTATAGGCATTTAAGAGTTGTTGTTGTAGTGAAAAGATGCAGTTCTGATTTGGAAAACAATGAAAACAGACACCAGATATAGGCTATCTGAAAGTGAAAAAAAAAAAAATCCAGCTAATATTTCAGTATTTCAACACCCAAGATGAAGAATTCACCTCAACTGCAGCCACGTCCTCTCACTTCTTGTCACACAGTAATTTCTCCTTATTTGGAAAACCATACACACACCAGTTGACAGTTGGGCACAACATGGGGCTTGAATAAGGAGACTGATATTTCCACGAACAAATGGAACCTATTAATAAAGATGGATTTTTCACCAACTAAATGATAACGGATTTCATCTTGGAATATACCGCCAGCATCAAAGCCTCAAGTAAATAGCATTACATTTTCTTCATGCACTGTGTCTGTATTTCTTTTCTTGCAGCATGGCATGGTTACAGTTCTGCAGTAGCCTACATCAGAAATAAACCATGTCCATCAGTGGGTTGCCTGGGGACAGCTAAAGCACAAGAGAGTGAAGGAGAAATAAAAAAGAGGATGAGTGGAAAAGCAGCAGCAGCAGCAGTAGCAGCGATCTTAGAACTTAGGTTTAGGTTAGTATAGCTGGGGGGCTTGCAACAAAGACTGAGACCAATGTATTCCTAAAATCATTGAATCTCAAATACAGACTCTGACATTGTTATGTAGTAACATCTACTCTCTGACACAGAACCACAGCTACACACCGATGCCAAAAGGATTTGTTACCACAGTGTAACAGCGAAACCAGTACAATCAATATTTCACACTCCCCTATAACTCGTTACTAGAAATAACCCCATGAACCCCAGCGATGTACGATCCTGTTACAGTCCATGATTCCTTGACTATGACCTTATTAGACCTTAATTTGCACCCAATTCAGGTCTATGAAACTATATAGCCAACACAAGTGAAGACATTTAGCCTACATCCCCAGAGCAGTGCAGCCTGATTCGAGTATCGATCAGTGTGAGGAGCGACCAGGTGACACAACCAGCAGCACTTACCTGTTTATATCGTGAGATCATTGTGTTTAAGCTGCGTTTCCTTGACTCAAATGAACCGTTGAACGCTGTCACATCCGTTGGATGTTAAAAGAAAGGGCTAAAGATCTCTCAAATTACAGTCTCTCATGTATTCACAGTGTAGCCGACTTCTTGCTGTCCCACTTGTGTTTGACCATCCAACCGCAGGCAGAGGTTTAAGGGTGGAAGCAGGGAGCTGTCCACGGTCCTGAACCCGGGTACCGAGGAGGAGGAGGAAGAAGAGGAGAACAGATCTTCCCTCCCAAGGCCACCTTTGGTCTCCGTCATGAACCGTTGACCGGGGTGGTACAGAAGGAGGGGGCGCTCAACCAAACACAAACAAAGCGGCCGATGCACCGCTGAAACTTGCAGTAGACAGTAGTCACGCATGTCATCATGAACTGAGAGTGAATTACTGCACACAGCAGTTATATAATAAGCCCATCAAAACAACAAACACGCAACATTACATGATGGATTGCTCACCGTTTCTGGTTTCTTGTTTATTTAATGTAAGAGCGTACATTTACTGGAATTAGCCTGACTGATTATAATTGGGACAGGCCTATTTCATTCAGCTTTATTAAAAGCAGAAATATGAACGCAGCTGGGGCTCCCTCATTCATTGTGTGGCTTGATATTCAAGAAGGAGCACTGTTGCCCCTTGTGGACATTTAATTAAAAAAATTTTAAAAAAGTAGCCTGTGGCTCCCATGCTGTAAGTAGATGGTATTTAGAACTGGTGAAAACAGCAGATAGGGTGTAAAAAAGCACAAGCAGGGACCTGATGCAGGACAGCGACCTTGTTTACCTCAAACATTTTTAAAAACAACAAAAAAAATAGAAAATCCATTTCAGTTTTAAGAATCTTCACATTGTGTTAATCGTGGACATGTCATGAGTTGACTTAAAATTGATTTAGCCTAATTTCTACATGGTATGGCCTCCTATGATATTATTCCAGAGAAAATAAGCAGGTATAAAAGCATGCACATCTACCTTATTACCTACCTTACCTACCTTTATTTCTTTCTTAAATTGCTACTTTGTACTGATAGTGTTAATGACAGTCAATACCGAATTTCGTATTTCCCACTGCAACACCAGCCTGGTGATGTAATGTTGAAAAAGGCAAAGCAAAGGGAGCTGCAAATTTGTATGCACAACAGAAAATCAATCCTGTAATACATGTGAGCAGTCCTTCATTGGGGAAGATTCGAGAGCTGCTATTGATTACACTTAGCCTGTATTAGATCGCCCTTTATTGTTATACTGACATATGAGACACATGTCTGAAGGGATAGATCAGCATGACCATGCTTAACTAAATTAGGTGAACAATGCCTAGGGTTGACAGAGGCAAAGAAGAGTAGTACAGAAGATACACTGATATTGACCGGATCATCCTTTATGCACGGTGTCAATATCTTGATACATGACACAGGTTTTAATGAATTAAATGAAAAAGAAAGTGTTACGTAAAAAAGACCATCTTCAGCTGTTGTGTTTTAACAGTTGAATGTGAATATGAAAAGGAAACATTTTATTGTGATGAAGAAGATGGTGAGTCTTGAAGCAATCCTCAACAATGAAAAGCTTCTTAAATCAGTGTGGTTTTCTTGGCAGGCTGTTGGTGAGACTAGAAGAATGTTCTGCAGGAGAGGAGAGATGAATGAATTCATTAACTGTTGTGCTTTACTGTGCTTTATTAAGCGGACTGCTTAGAAAAGTATGAATTAGGAAAACAGTTTTTAAATTGTGCTTGCTTCGACCACTGCACATTAAGCACAACAGACCAACACACATGCAGGTGAGTTTTGGAAACACAAAATGATCAAGGCTTAAACGGTCCTGTCTTTTCTTTTTTTTGGTTGAGGAACTGAAACTGCGAAACCCACTTTCTTTTAAAACATCATCATGTCAACATAAAAAGAACCCCAGATCGCACACTGTGAACATATTAACATTTACTATAACACAGGAGAAATCCGCGCTACAGTACCAACCAATCTCACTTAGTGCCTATATGTCAGAACATGTAACAGTCGTGTGGGACAACATCAATCAGAACAACTGCTGAAGGCTGGCAGAAGTCCTAGGCTGTTTTAATAAGCGTCAATGATATGACGATGCAGGACAAAACCACAGAGGCCACACATGTACATATGTGTTTATATACGGCTCATTGGGTAGTGATTTGGCAGATATACGGTGGGAAGGGTCACTGATTGCATTAGTTGTACATTTCTTCACTCAAATAGCATGGCTGATTCGCTGTAGAGTACATGCGTCAGCAATAAAAATACATCGCCTCGAGACATTTTTGAAATAGACAAAAAGGAAAACTGCACATTGTATGTGCTTGTATACATTCACTGTCACAATAGCTATAACAACAGTGATACATAACTCTGATAAAGGTGCAGGGGGAAAATACCAAATATGCTTGTTTGCTTTCTTCTGATTGACGGGGAGGGAGACTGTCACATGTGCTCAAGAAAATAAAAATGGGGCCAAACAAATACAAGTGGCACACCAAACCTCCCCTCTGAGGCGTGCAGTGAAGAGGAGGAGGTTTGAAGACTAAATTTGATTTTACCAGCACGAGGGTCAGGGAGGAAGAGAAGGAAGGGCTAGTGTTGGAGTAGGTAGCCATGTCTGTACAGTGTTGCACTGCCTTCAAACACCTTTCTGTTCACAGTGGGACTGACTGATGCTGACTTAGGGCTGCATACACACACAGACACACAAGCCACACTGTCACATACTGTGGCCTAAATAATCACAAAAATTAAATCATAACGTATATGATGTGAAAAAAATGAAGGTACACATTTAGACCAGAACATAAATAATAAGCAGAAATGCTTACACTTCATCTTCATATTCTTTTGGAGGGGAAACGGCAATCACAACATCGATCCAGTCCTGAAGGTAAAAACACCAGTTACTTTCATTTTGATTTGAATCAATTTGAGATCTAAGGATGTCTATCCTAGGGTAAAAAATAAGGCATTTCATTTTACTCTAATCCCAGTCCTACCCCTCCGCTATTCCAGGCGCGAGCCAGAGAGTTTTGTCCCTCTGTCAACGTGGCATCGATCAGGATCTTCCCATTCACAGCCATAAGTTCATCCCCGGGTACAATGCCACCTACAAACACATGCAACGTTCACAACAGTGGCATACAGAGATAAATGCAGTCAACTCAAACACTTTAATCTCTACATCGACTCAAGCAAACCAGTAATCCATAAACATGTTTTACCCCACAGTTAGAACAGTGTTTTTTGTGGGGGAGTCCATCCCTATATTTCACCATGGAGACAAATACAGCCACATACTGATTTACATTCTGTTCATAAGGCTTTTTGTCTGCACAAGTAGGACTAGTGTATTTGTAGTGCAATTATGTTGCCCGGGATTGTGCAATCGAGGCTGAATGGGGACGTTCGTTAATGGAGTCCAGACTTACTGCCAGTTTATTTGGCACACCTAGCTAAAACTAATGCAGCCAAATACATATACATATAAATACAGCACTAAAATAAATCCTGCAGTACATAACTGGAGTTTTCATGTTTGATTTTTGCTGAAACTGGTTTAGAGAGGTGTGATTTGTGGCGCTGGTTGATCTGTATTGTGTTGTACAGTGTGGTGTTTTAAAATATTTAATTTATTCCTTCAAGACATACTTTAAAAAAAAAATACATTCACTGTAAAATCTATATTTGAGTAAGTGAAATAATATTTTTTAGATTTCAAATCTAGTCTGACTTGTTTTGAGTATGAATTTGATTAACCAGTTCTGACTAGGCCCTTTGGTGTTTTGTTATCTAGAAACAAAAATAACACTAGTCTTACTTTAAGGCGAGACACCACAGTCCAAAATGATGATTTTGCTTCAATCTGTCAATTTTCAGATTTCAAGTTATTTTGCAACTATTATTACCATATCTATGAAGATTCTCAGTCATCCAGGTCATAGTTATCCAACGAAGGTTAAAATCAAGGGCAACTGGACTTGGTTGAAGATACTGGAAGACGTTTCGTCCCTCATCCAAAGGACTTCTTCAGTTCTGACTGACTAGCAGGGAAACTCAGCTATTTAACCTCAGTGGGGTCATTGGCCCGGGTCATCGATACCGCTGGTTCGTTAGTGTTCCTTGTTGCTGTGACGACAGTCATTACAGTCGTTAAGACTACCTGTGGCCAAGACTGAACGACCATCGTTGGTATCTTCACCTGAGGCCAATAGGTTACGTTTGTTGAGTTTCCTGGGAAGTGATGAAAGGACAGCATTGTAAGTGGGGGATAAGTGGTGGCGTAGACCCCCTCCTCTGTTCAATGACGGCTTCTCAACCCTTGTATAGATGGCTTCCTTGACACCTCATCAAACCATCCATCTTCTCTGTCTAAAATGTGCACCTGGTGGTCCTCAAACGAGTGTCCTCTGTCCTTCAGATGTAAGTAGACTGCAGAGTCTTGACCTGAGGAGTTGGCCCTTCTACAATGCTGTCCTTTCATCACTTCCCAGGAAACTCAACAAACGTAACCTATTGGCCTCAGGTGAAGATACCAACGATGGTCGTTCAGTCTTGGCCACAGGTAGTCTTAACGACTGTAACGACTGTCGTCACAGCAACAAGGAACACTAACGAACCAGCGGTATCGATGACCCGGGCCAACGACCCCACTGAGGTTAAATAGCTGAGTTTCCCTGCCAGTCAGTCAGAACTGAAGAAGTCCTTTGGATGAGGGACGAAACGTCTTCCAGTTGCCCTTGATTTTAACCTTTGTTGGATATTATTACCATACTTTTATAAAATGTACAAATAATCTGGATTAACATTGATAAACATTATTATTTGTCTATTTAAACCAAGTCTGTTAACCACAGATTTTTAAATTTAATCTTTGTTAGCATTTTCTATGTAAAAGTTCACAGTGTTAGCTAGTCCTTATAATTTCATCAATAAGAGAAGAAGTGTTCAGTGACAAACAGTCATTTTTATGCTAAGTGTGTTTGCTAATCTTTAACAGTGGTTTTCTCAAAATCACATGTTTCATGTACGCCAAGTCATTTTCCTTGTTTCTTAGGTCTCATAGGAAGACATTTACAGAGAAAATATCAAACAAAATATCTTTTATCATTCTCACTTTATGTGGGATTTTTCCGGAAAATATGTGGAAAAAAAGGGTCCGTCACACATATGAGAGGTATATTTTGAATAGATTCATTAAAAAACATTTGTATTATATACAAATCAGTGCATATTTAATGAGGAAATACATAATTTGCATATTAAAAAACAAACAAACATTTGTAATTCAACAAAAGCTTCTATTTATGTATATATTTAGCTTGTAAAGTTTCATTGTGATATGAGTAAAGTTGGGAAAAAAGCCTATTTGACTGTAATGTCTCGCCTTAACTTAATCGTAATCTAATCTCCAAGTAATGAGTATTAATTGGCTTGTAATTATATTAACCACACTAAACAAGAGTCTAATTCTGGCCTTATGGCCAATGTGACTCTTATCAAGCAAGAATGCTCCTATCTAATATGTTTTCACTTAAATTAGATTTCTTTCTTTTGTGGATTTAAAGTTAAGGTGTGATTAAGTTAAAAATTTAAAGATGAACAGACCATGCTTATCGGCAGCGCCGCCTTCATACACAGAAGATACCACCAACTTTCCCAATGGAGAGTCTGCCCCTCCCTCCAGAACAACGTCAAGCTGTCCTAACTTAAGAACAATAAACAAAAACATCAACACCAATCACTTTCAGTCATGTTTTTGACTTTAGACCTTTTTTTCAAAGTGAGATTGCTCTGATCAATAAACAGAGTTATCTGAAGTTAAGGCAGAAGGCACAGTAAGTACCTTTTTGATCCTCAGCAGTCTTACATCTCGCCCGGCTATCTGGTCCGCGGAGAACTAAAAACAAAAGATTGAAGAAAGAGGAGGAAAAAAGCTGAAAACAACACTGCATTTGCATCGTAGGTAATATAATGATAACATAAAGAATGGCCTCCTACTCTCTGCATAAGTGCCTGGTCATGCTCACCAAAAGACTTTTTACCATGGATGGTATACCTTATGAAGAGAGGACTGCTGCTCTGTTATACATGCTCATTAAGGAAACAAACAGGAAACATCTCTTCCACTAGCTAGCTATGAGAAGTTAGCTTACATTGCTATTAACAAACAACTAGCTAATGTCCCTTCAGCACTCAGGCTGTGCTGTAGTTCTTACAACTTGTAGTAATGCTAGGTTTAAGGCATCTTTGGTGTAACATAATTCACAATGGCTACCATTGGAACAATTTCAACACATTTTGTAATCTTCAGAAACATGTGTATTTGTGGTTTACTGATCATGTAGTAGCAGAAACAAGGTTTGTTTGCTTAGTTAGCAAGGCCTGTAGCTGCACAACAATTTCATTTTAAATAGGCAAATATGTGTGGCATTTTCTGCATTGTTGTCGTGCTAACAACATCAGGCATACAATACCATGGCGTAGGGATCAAACTCTTCCTCATATTTCTGAAATCCCTGAAAGAGAATCAATATATAGTTCATTAAAACTGATCAATATGGCATGATAGAGTTCACAAACAGGACACAAAGATACAACAGCAATCCTAACGGATCTCTGAGAATGTCAGCTGTCTAACAAGTCACTGCAGGAAGTGCTGATCAGATTTCCTTTGACAACCAGTTCTTTTCAGCAGTTTGTTTTAATACCACACTGACCAAATGGAAACCATGGAGATACTCTTCAGTCATTAATTTGAAAAACACAGGGGCTTTTAAAACCGCATGCTTTAATTCAATAATGGCAACAATTATTAACAGAAACACACACACACACACACAGGAAATCATTCCTAATCAGTCAACCAAAGACGACAGCTATTTAATTTGAAAGGAAGGAAACAGAACAAAGCTCTCAGAGAAAGGACATCACATTTATCCCGCTACAATGAGTCAGAGGGCAATTTTCTCCCTGCAGAATAAACAGACATTAATCTAACTGTTCACTGTTGTTGTGCAGACACCCAGCACTGGAGATTTTAAAAAATGAACTAATTTGTAATATATGTTTTTATTTGCTGTTGTTGAAGACAGCAGTTGAAATCAGCCCACAAAATCTATACAGAATATACAGTATACAGTACATCTATTGAGAAAGATGTTCCCTGTCTCCAAGCAAAGTGAAGGTACATGGAAATGTAACACAACCACCTTCCTTTCTTTTAGTAAAATCAATAAAAGTGCAGGCATGCATCAGATGAACAACTGAACCTAAAGGCAAGGAAACAGCCGACAGAGAGGACATCCATTAGGACACCTGATGTGTGAGCATGGAGACAAAAGGTGCAGAAAGACCAGGAGAAAAAGCACTCAAAAGTATTAATACATAAAGAGAGGTGGTGATAGATATGGATTACTTGTCGTTTGGGGTTTGATTTAAAAGACGAGTTGAAAGGAACCATTCGTTTCAGCATTTCCGGAGGCTGAAATAGAGAAAAGGTAACATCTCATTCTATGCTTGAATTATTTTATACAGTATATGAAACGTATTTGCAATTTAAGTTAACAAAAAAGTGTGTGTGATACTCTCATCTCTGTGTGCACTTTAGTCTGCTCGTTATTTACGCCCACACCGAGCTCTCGCATGCACCCCTAAAAACAGATATATACGAACCAAAAAAGCTTTATCGGTGCATTTTGTTGGTCAACAAGTTCAACTTTTCATTTTTGTCAACCGACCAATCACATCTAGATGGGGCAGGACATTAAAAAAAGTTTGACGTACTACAGCAAATCTTTAAATGTTGAACAATATGATTATTGACAAGTTAGTGCTTTGCATTAACAAATTAGAGACCAATGTAGAGCCCTTTTCTTGCACATGGATTTAATGAATAAAAACAACCCACAGAAAAAAACAGCTGGACTTGGATTTAATATTCAACTAGTTGTAAAAAAGTATACTATTATACGAAATTATAATGAATATAGTAAATAATATATTAATGTTATACTAACCGTATACTATCAACTGAACATTAATCTTTTTATTTAATGTTATTATATTATACTAATTTAAATGGATAGTGTCTCTGCAGTAGACCAATGTAGATTCAGCTAGAGTCAGGAAATAACTGACTGGGCACCTTATGGGCCTTCCTCAAGGGCACCTCAGTGGTGATAAATGCACTGCTTGGTTTACTTTCTACACCCAGATTTAATCCTGCTGTTCCGGCGATTGAACCGGCTTCTCTAACCTTTGGGCCACCACTGCCATGATTTGTTGACAATAAGAAAAATATAGACTATTACCAGCCTTATCCTTATCACAGTGACCATGAGGAATCCTATGTAAATACTACAGTATACCACTGTCCTTGGGGAAATACAACACAAAACCTGACTAAAAACACAACTCCCTTCAGCAGCAATTTTCTTTGATGTCAATATTTCCTATGATGAAATACAACATATGAAACTGTATTTCAAAACAGTAATAGCTTAGGTGTGTGCTGCGGTAATGTAAACTACTCTGACGACTGAGGTAAAACATGTTAGAGGAAAGGGAATGATTTATGGCGTCCCCTCCTTCAGGTACTGCAGTCAAGGTGCACCTCAAGGGTTGGGCGATGTCTACAAAATTTCCATCTGACGATATCTACAATGAAGCATCGTGAAGGACGATGAAAAGGGGGGGGTGTTATAGGTCGTCTTATGTGCAAGCATGGACCAGGTAAAACAGCATTGAACACAGGGCGCACATGTTGGTTTTGGTTGTTTGATAGGCTATGTCATTAACAAGCCGACACGTGGCTCACCTGCTGCCGTGATAACGGATTGGGGGGGGGGGGGGGGGGGGCGTGTGTTTACAGTTAGATACCACAGGTGTTAGTGTGAGTGTGTCTGAGTGTGGGGAGCAGAAAAGTCCAAGGCAGGTGCGAAGCAGGTTTATTTAAATAATAATAACGTTCTTGGGGATTAAAACCTGCTTTCCCTTTCACAGGACGGTATAATGTGAACAATCACAATGGTGGCTCAACGTTGTGATGTCTGTTCAGCCATCGCCGATGGACGATGTCATCGTCAATTGGCCCAACCCTAACCTGGTAGTAGAAGCAAGGGGTTGTACTGTTGTTCTCTCAGGTGTAAATGCGTGACTTAATTTGAGGCAAAAACAAATGCGGTTTGAAAAATAAACTTCCCAGTTTCATTAGAGCTCTTTGTCAGGAGGGTGAAGCGGCTCCCGTGCGATCTAATAACAAAAGATTGGCTCTCTGCGAAACAGCTGGCGAGTCTAGGAGGCTCATCAGGACTCACAAAAAGAGGCAGAGATTAATCCCTCAAAGACATGATAGCACAGTGTGCCAGATGTCTGAATGCTTTATGACCCTATTAAGTTGAACCAAGGAGATGAGGTGTGGTGTGTTTCATACCAGGCCTTCAGAACGGAGTGCAGATCTTAGTGGATCTGGTCGCTGGGTCTGGGACTGAGGCAGCATGACGGGTTTAGACATGACAGGGGCCATCTGACGCCTCTGGTTAGGGGGACTAGGAGCTAGTTGCTATTGGGGAACAAACATGTTTCCACACAACAGCTGAGTATAGGTTTGTATGTAAACAGTATTTTCATTTGGTGGGAGTGGACAGACTAATAAAGCTCATCATTTAGACTAAAGAAGGAGGTTTGCGAAACTTGACTCAGACTCACCAAGGGAGAGCTTGAGCTGGAAACGCGACTGGCATGGGAGGTATTTCTCATTACCTGAGCCACAGTAAAATAAAATGAATCTTTAAGCCCCCTGGGATATACAGAGGACTGCAGGAATATATGCAACACACACCCAGACTCATTCCAATTTTCACAGATATCACATCATGGCTGAGGTTTCAAAGGGATTCAATGTCTATCCTACTGGACTAAGTGGAAACGTCCTAACAAACAAAACCAGCTCCTCTCGGTATATAACATGCTTCTTTCATCACCACTGCACACCATGCAACACTCCACCAGGGACAACAATCCACACAGCTACAAGCAAACATCAATAACAACTAACTCCACCTTTGAATGCATTTCCCTCAGCTAGAAGAAATTTGTAGATCAATTGCTGTCCAATTCAGTCGTGCTAATACGATGTATCGCTCTCTGTTCATGCATAAAACATCACATGCATGCGCATAAACCCATGCATTAAATAGGATTGAGTCCCATGGCCTTGAAATGGCCCATGGCATTAACTCTGAGAGCTCCTGACATATACAGTGGGTACGGAAAGTATTCAGACCCCTTTAAATTTTTCACTCTTTGTTTCATTGCAGCCATTTTCCAAAAATCAAGTATTCAGACCCTTTGCCGTGACACTCATATTTAACTCAGGTGCTGTCTATTTCTTCTGATCATCCTTGAGATGGTTCTACACCTTCATTTGAGTCCAGCTGTGTTTGATTATACTGATTGGACTTGATTAGGAAAGCCACACACCTGTCTATATAAGACCTTACAGCTCAGAGCAAAATCAGTCAGAGCAAATGAGAATCATGAGGTCAAAGGAACTGCCTGAAGAGCTCAGAGACAGAATTGTGGCAAGGCACAGATCTGGCCAAGGTTACAAAAAAATTTCTGCTGCACTTAAGGTTCCTAAAAGCACAGTGGCCTCCATAATCCTCAAATGGAAGACGTTTGGGACGACCAGAACCCTTCCTAGAGCTGGCCGTCCGGCCAAACTGAGCTATCGGGGGAGAAGAGCCTTGGTGAGAGAGGTAAAGAAGAACCCAAAGGTCACTGTGGCTGAGCTCCAGAGATGCAGTCGGGAGATGGGAGAAAGTTGTTGTAAGTCAACCATCACTGCAGCAATCCACCAGTCGGGGCTTTATGGCAGAGTGGCCCGACGGAGGCCTCTCCTCAGTGCAAGACACATGAAAGCCCGCATGGAGTTTGCTAAAAAACACCTGAAGGACTCCAAGATGGTGATAAATAAGATCCTCTGGTCTGATGAGACCAAGATAGAACTTTTTGGCCTTAATTCTAAGCGGTATGTGTGGAGAAAACCAGGCACTGCTCATCACCTGTCCAATACAGTCTCAACAGTGAAGCATGGTGGTGGCAGCATCATGCTGTGGGGGTGTTTTTCAGCTGCAGGGACAGGACGACGGGTTGCAATCGAGGGAAAGATGAATGCGGCCAAGTACAGGGATATCCTGGACGAAAACCTTTTCCAGAGTGCTCTGGACCTCAGACTGGGCCGAAGGTTTACCTTCCAACAAGACAATGACCCTAAGCACACCGCTAAAATAACGAAGGAGTGGCTTCGCAACAACTCCGTGGCTGTTCTTGAATGGCCCAGCCAGAGCCCTGACTTAAACCGAATTGAGCATCTCTGGAGAGACCTGAAAATGGCTGTCCACCAACGTTTACCATCCAACCTGACAGAACTGGAGAGGATCTGCAAGGAGGAATGGCAGAGGATACCCAAATCCAGATGTGAAAAACTTGTTGCATCTTTCCCAAAACGACTCATGGCTGTATTAGATCAAAAGGGTGCTTCTACTAAATACTGAGCAAAGGGTCTGAATACTTATGACCATGTGATATTTCAGTTTTTCTTTTTTAATAAATTTGCAAAAATTTCTACATTTCTGTTTTTTTCTGTCAAGATGGGGTGCTGAGTGTACATTACTGAGAAATAAAATGAACTTTTTTGATTTTTGGAAAATGGCTGCAGAGAGTGAAAAATTTAAAGGGGTCTGAATACTTTCCGTACCCACTGTATATTTTAGCTGCTGATGCAACTCATAAAAGAGGAGCCATCTATCAGTAAACCAAGACAAGGAAATAATTAAAAAAGCGGAAAAAACCAATCCAACACAAAATCTCTGTCACACAAGAATCTCTAACCTTCGGACTAGAGGGGTAGGACATTTCACTGGTGTTAGACGAGTAAATCCCTCCTCTTGGGAGATAGCCGCCTGACTCCCACTCGCTCCTGCGCTCCGGAGGACTGGGAGGATGTTGGAGGTGATGGTGATGATGCTGGCGGAACCCGCTGAGGGTTCCTACTCGTTCTTCAGAGTGCTGCGGGGGTGGGGGCGGAGGGGGTGGCGGAGGAGGTGGAGGAGGAGGGGGCGGAGGCGGGGGAGGCCGCGGAGCAGGCTGAGGGGAGGATGGAGGCCACGATGACTGAGACGGGGGAGGATAGTGGGAGGAAGGTGGGCGAGGGGGTTGGGGTTGAGGGGGATGAGGGTGACGGTGAGGCTGTGAGTGAGGCATGCGCCCCTTGTTGATCAAGGTAGACGGAGCAGAGGGAGGTTTTCTAGCGCTGGATGGAGAAGGAGGCCGCCGCTGTGGGGACGCCCGAGTGTAAGGAGGGGAGTAGTTGGGTATTTGAGGTTTCAGCTTGGGCGAGGGTGGAGGGAGAGGCAAGGGAGGGGGAGGCTGGCTAGTGTTGGGCTGGGTGGGGGCCAGTCTCTTCAGAGGGCCCCGCAGGCTCTGATCCACATCCAGGTTAATGTCGTCCAGGTCGGTGGTGGCCAGGTGGAGGCCGCCACGGAAACGCTTCACCCTGGGCTCAGAGGCAGGAGAGTACGGCGGGGAGAGCTTAAATGTCACAATGAAATGAAAAATGACTTGTTTCAACCTCATGCGTCATTTCTCCTGTTGACCTATTTAAAAATTCAGGCAAACACACATACATAAATTCTAAATCCACAACTTCTGAGCACTACTGAACTTCCCCGTGTCATTTCACTCTCTAACATGCTGTTCTGTTAGAGAGTAAATATGTTGACAGCCACAGAGACGGTCACCAACTAAACATGGCGGGAAGGAGTCACCTCAATGCTATCATCATCAACGCTATGCTAGCAAAGAAAGAGGCTTAGAAACATACAGTGTAACGTTGTGTCTAAGAGCTCTGAGTGCAGAGAGGTTTTAGACAGAGGTGGTCTCACTCTGTACCTCTGGGGAGTCGTTCTCAACGCAGGAGATCTGCTCCATCCGAGTCTGACAAAGACGCTCCACCCAGTGTTGCACTTTCTCCGACTCCTCTAGGTCTTCTCTCTCTGTCTCTGAAACCTAGGACAGAGCCAAGGCCATACATGCAGCACCAGACGATAGGAATTAATAATTATGCACACACATTTAAACGCTCTGCTTTAACATACAACCACAACTTGAAGCCCTGAAAGCAAAGTTAACGGTGCCATAAAATGCATCGTAAATGTCAAATGGTTTATTCCACATGGTCACTTTGTCCACTCCACTTGTAACTTTGGTAAGGAGCTATTTTTGTACCTCCTGAACCAGCCGATTGATCTTCAGTTGCTTCTCTCGTTCATGCATCTCTTCTTTCTCCTTGGCGAGTTTCAGCTCAAACTCCATCTCCTTCTTGTTTTTTCTCTGCTCCTGCAGCGTGTCTGTGTTGGACACTTTCTTCTTTTTCTTCTTCTTCTCTCCTTTCTGAGGTGCCATCAGTTGGTCAGTATAAAAAGCAGGAGACAGACAAAGCTGCCACTCCAAACCACACAGCATGACATGCTAGCAAGTGACACCACACTGGTATCTATGACTGGTCAAACAACTTAATAAAGGACAAAAGCTATGATCTTGAACTGCCACTTCACAATCACATAAAAACCAGGTAAAAGTAGAAAAGGAGTTTTGCTAATCTTTCCTTTGTAGCCACTCTGACACCACACTGAACTCAGGGAGCTGACTGTACCTTGCGAAGTGACGGCAGCTTCCCCTCATATCGATAAAACCAGCCAAATGCTGAGGAAGGAGATGATAATGATCACTCTCACAAGTTTGTTAAATTACTTCCAAGGTTAAAAGACAGCAAACTCCAGGCAGGGTACCTAATTAAAAAAACATTTCACTAAAGAGCCACAACACAGCACTCAAAGAGAAAAAAGGTAGGAAACAGATTAAGCCTGCTCCATTCAGGCACTCTGAATAACAATACAAAAACCGTGTTTAATGAGCTGAAAAAGGCGTCTTTTAACAGCTGGATTTTGGTTGTGTGTCATTTCTTTTTACGCAGCATCTAGCAAAAAAAGGGCATCTAATTCAAATGATACTTAAAAACACACTCTCCAATGGCTACATGTTGGTTGTCAAAGGGAATCTTGCACTTGACGGTGTGTACAGTGGTTTGCACAAACGTCCTCCTACGACAGCTGACGACAGTGACAGCCCAGGCTCCAGACTCACTTGTCTGTCCTGCTCTTCCTCCTTGTCTTCCTCTGTGAAGGAGCCGGCTTTAGGGGAGAGGCCGTAAAAAGCAGCAGCACAGCACACAGAAGTGACAGAGAGAGAGAGAGGGAGAGAGAGGGAGAGAGCATGCAGAGAGGAAGGGAAATTAGGTGACATACAGTTACTTCTAACAACTCTACGGTTTCAGAAGAACACATACTGGAGGTTCAGAAGTGAATAGAGGCTTCATGCATTTCGGGTCAAAGATTCGTTCAGGTCTACTCACGAGAACTCTTGGCCTTTGTAGTCGGGGTGGTTTTTATCTCAGGTGGGGCTGGTGATGGGCTCCTTGGTGTGCGGGGGCTCTTAGGGCTCTTGGGTCTGTCTTTGGCTCCCCAGTCCTCCTCCCACTCTCGGTTGTGCTTCTTCTCCACAGCCTCAATCCTACAACATGTCAGAGATGTAAGATGTCTCAAACATGGCAAAACAACATTGAAGTGGAACTTCATGAACAAAACGAGCTGTATACTTCTCCATCTCCTTCTTATAGCGCTCCTCTTCCTCTGTAGTTTTCTGAGATATCTCCATCTGTCTCCTATAAAGCACATGACAAAAATCCAAAATAAAACTCTCCTGTTTACTTTCTGTGCCCCTGACATGTGCATAGTACTCTGTTCCTCTTGCTGTGCGCTGGTATAAGCAGGTCAAGCAATGCACAGGAGGGATTTCTGGAAAACATCAACGTAAGGTCAACACCTTTGCTATTGGGTGATGACCTTATGTTGGTATTTCCTAAGCTCATTATTGAACCCAGTTGTCGGCTCACTTCAAATCAAAGGCCAATCTAGTCTCTTCTCTTTTAATAATCAGAGATCTCAATTTCAGAGTGAGGCTGCAGTCATTCGTTGGGCAACCAGAGGTATACCAGGTAGATATACAGTAGAACCAGGTATCTTCACTGCAGTCACTTATTAGTTTTAAATAGAAATTAAATTTCCGTCATCAAGTCAACAGAATTTCAAATTGGGTTAGACCCTGTGTGTATCTTTCTATTGTGTTATAAGCTATGATTTGAGGGATGGGTGACAATTTAACATGTGGTGAGATCATAGACTATATACCTTCCATACATTATGACACAGACATTAAAACATCTGTCTCCTGTACGGGCACAACAACACAACTGTCATCCTTCTGCCAAACAACACAAGACAGGGTGGTTCTTCAGATGAGGAGAGTTTGCTTTTTGTGCTGTTCACTCACTGCCTCTCCTTCTCCTGCTGCTCTTTAATGATTTTGTTGGTCTCCAGTGCCACCCTCTTCTGGTGCATCAGCTCCTGCCTTTCCAGCTCCCTGCGGGCCTCCACTGCCAGACGCTCCTCATCTGTCATAAACAGCTCGCTGCCCTGAGAGAGTGACAACAGCGAGAGACGATAATCAGGGAAAGACATTGTGTACGGCAGGGGTCCTTAAATTTTTTGGCTCTGGAGACCGGCAGGCAAGCCCAAGCCAGCCTCCCGGACCAGGGAGAGGGAGCAGATTTGCTGTCGAGTCTGTTTTTGTCACGTCACATCTTCGAAGCCTTTATAATATTTAGGTTTGCTTTTATATCACTGCTCAATTTGTCACATATAAAATAACTAGTGCCTATCCTATTTTGGAGCACAGCCTTGAATTTCAATAAGCTATAATGGTGGATGTACTGCACGTGTCAAAATGAAGACATACACACACAAATGCCAACCCAAATAAAGGAATTAGACAGGCACCGAGGAAAACAGTAAATAAGACGGGACTGCTTGTCTCAGTCACTGAGTCCCAAGGCAAACAACCTGCCGAGCGACTTGACTGATGATTAATATTGCTCCTGCAGACAGACACACAGTCTAGGTAATATCATGTCTCACAAACAGAATGGCACATTAATCTGTGCGGTGCAGGAATACAAAGGAGACAAGTCAGAAGTCTGTGCTCCCACATCCATAACAGATTATCCCGGTTTTACTATCTGCAGATTTGATCCATATCTCGGGTTTTTTCCTATCTAAACATTATTCTATGATCCCACTTACAATATACATCACACTATGTCAAGATTATAACTTTACTCTACTATGTATTTGCTTGTGATTTATCATATTTGACTGGTTGGATACATCTTTAATATCCTAGAAACATGGGAATCTCTGGGAATCCCTTTTCAAATGTAAATACGCTACATGTAAGAAACACAGAGAGAAACGTAGGATTTGTCATTTTAAATGAGTGTCTCCTATGCAGGTGTAATCATATGCGTCTTAAACTCAGTAGTGTCTTCCAGTGAGTTCAACATTACTCACAAGAGTTATATGAGAAAAAACACTGTTCAGACCGAGTTCTGGGGTTGGACCTGCAAAAGAGAACACTGAGTGCTCTATAAATTACTACTAATCTGTATTAAACATAATATAGTAAATAGTGTACTTACAGCTCCTGTCAGAACAGTAATTGTCAGACTCCTGCTGCTCTTCAGGACTCTCACAGCCTGGAAACAGAAAACTTCAAATAATGCATTTGTTTTGGATAAATTAAAGGTACTACAACAGCCTCTTAGAAAGACCTGATCTGTGTAAAGTATGTATTTATCATGGTGTGAAATTATCACAGACTCCTGGTAAATACTGCAGGCTTCATTTTCAGCCACTTTGACAAATAACCAACAGTCCATGAAGGATTTTTACTACTGCAAAACCATTTGGGCTGGTTAAACACTATTTTGGCTGTTGTTCTGCAGCTCAGTTAGTTAAGCGAAGAACAAACACCGCCAGTGATGAGCGGTTTTATCTCAACAGCCACCACAAGAACACAGTGCTGTGGGTGCTTCAGATAAAAAAGACAACATCTATATAATAACAAAAATGACTTTGGAGTTCAGCTGTTACGGTTGCAAGTGGAAAAATAATTCAATTAAGCAAAATTCACCTCTTTGTGGTCCATGTTGGTGAATTCTACCCCGTTCACTTCCACAATCTGGTCTCCGACCTAGATTTTGGGATAAGACAGATGTAGTTCACAGCAGGCAGGTTTACGAGTTTCATAATTTCAGGTGGTGTTCTGGTCATTCACCTCAAGTCCAACTTCTGCAGCAAGGGAGCCCGGCTTGACGTTACTGATGTAGATACCAGGTTTCTGGGTTGGACCACTGGAGATGCTAATGCCCATGCCTTTGGCACCCACGAGGCTGAGGAAAACCTTCTTCTCCTTGATTTCTTTGCCTCCAATGGACGCCAAGCCTGCAATGCTGCTTTTTTTCTCCTGGGCAAGTACAGAAATAAAGAATTTAAATTAAAAAGGCTTTTCTGCTGATGTGAGAACTTTTGACATTGAAAAACGGCACGAAGAAAACACTAAATGTTTCTCCTACCCCTGACTCAGACACAAACTGGTCGACAAACTGCCACTTGAGGGGTTCATCTGATGAGCTAAAGGAATGAAATGTAATGTCATCACAGCACCTCACTCCCCATATCACTATTCAAACAGCAAATTTTCCATATAGCAACACTAAATAAACCAATGAAAACTATATTACCATATTAATGATCTTACCTTTTCACTGGGATCATCCCCACATCTGCACAGATGAAAAAAAACCCAAACCAAATAAATTATTCCATTGACGTTAAACAATATCCACTTTCATCCACATCAATCATGCTGCTGCTGTTGATTTTGAGTTTGTGTTTGACACGTACGCCTGACTTTGAGCGACACGGTCTTCTTTGTCTTGATGAGACTGATGACCTCCTCGTGGATGCAGGAGGAGATGGAGTATCCATTAATGCGCACAATCTCATCACCAACCTATAAATCAACACAGGATGGGAAATTAAGAATGACACACCTTCACTTTCAATATATGAAGCCAGATCACTAATAATTTTACTGCTACTCCAACTGTTTACACCCCTGGCTGTTGAATATACCAGCCACCAATTCTATCTATTTATTGATCTGTGTGATCTATATATATTTACATGTTTTAGCCTTTTCCAGAGGAAGCTCAACAACAAAGACACTGAACCGCTTTTGACTGGATTGTTAGATTCATTTGTCAAATCTGTGCTTACATACTGTATTCATATTTACAGTCACACACACATATGTCAATGTTTACACTGTCATGTGCAACACACACAGAGACACTACACACTGCATGTAGTTTTATCTGTCCTGTTGTTTTTATCCTGATCCCGTTTTATCAACTCATTTGTTTCACTGTAGGTAACTGGCTCCAGCTAGTCATCCTATATCCATCATATCCGTTATCTGTGGGTAACAATGATTATCTCTACGGCCCCTATTTAAAAAAAAACAAATAAATAAATGCCTTAATCTCCTTGATCTTGGTTTGTTGATGCAATATATAATAGACTACATATTTGAAAAGGATACAGTAATTGTATTACGTTATATAGCGATTTGTGAAAAACTTGATTAGTGTGAATGAGAATGCTGAATGAAATACATTTGAAGTTAACCTATTCAACCTGACTTTTAGAAGGTAATAATGCATACTGCTACATACAGTATTACAGTATCCCCGTGAATGTAGAACAGTTTAATAAAAGTAATTATGTTTCTCTAACAATTCCATAATTACCTGTTACTAAAGTCTGCCATAATACACAACGACTCAAAGACGCAAAGTGGCCATTCTGTCTAAACTGCATTAAAGCATCAATCTAAACAGTTTTTAGAGTTTAAACTGGATCATTGGTGACAGACTTGCAAGCTCTGTGAGAGTTTCAAAACATGGTGCTTAACCCCACCTAGTGGATTCTGATGCCTAAGACACTGAGACTGAGACACTTTGCCACAGAAAATCATTACAGTTCTTTTTAAGGTCTTTCACCTTAATGAATATATTGATTAAGTAAAATATTATAATACTCTAACGAAATACAGTATACTAACAGTGTATACATACATGTATAATGAAGTAACTGATTGCAAAAATGTTTAGTACCATATTAAAACTAGTAAAAAATAAGTATTCTACATTTAGCTCTTTTGTACTTTAACTAAAAGCCCAATTTACATAATAGTTTAGATATATGAAAAACATGTAGTAACATAGACAAAATTAAAAAACTGGAAAACTTGTGTACTTATGTACCTGAAGGCCAACATTCCCAGCCTGACCGTCTTTGACAATCTGTGATATGTAGAGACCACAGCCGAACTCCAGGCCTCCTCGGACACTCAGACCAAGTCCCTCACGATGTGTCCGATCCAAGCGCACCTCTTTCAGCTTCCTGCACAATCAGGAGGGAGAAGAACACATTAAACAGGATGACAGCAGGATGCACGACCATGTGAGATTTAGTGAGGGAAATAAAGAACATCCAGACAAGCACGGGGATGCTCAGGGATATTATGGTGTGATTAAATATTCCTTGTGGGTTGTTTCTTTTGCGTAGGCACATACGTGATACAGATAAACACCAGAGCCAGGACATAAGTCTACTGTATGCGGTACTCACCGCGACCTCTTGGGGGTGAGCAGGTCGTACTCCACCTGGTGTTTGAGCGGGATGAGCGGTCGGATGGCGTCAAACAGGGGCAAGCGCTTTGGTTCGTTGATGACCAGCTTTAGGTCCCCCACCAGCACTGGCAAATCCATCGACCTGAGAGGGGAGAGGGGAGAGGGAGATAACTAAGTGTTGTATTAGGGCTGGGCAATAAAACAATAATGATAATTAACGTGATATACAATATAATACAAGGTCCCCTGGTCAAGACCAAGTGACTATCTACAACGAGCAACTGTGTACAAGACAGGATTTGTAGTAGAAATACATTATTGAGGCAGTACTAAAACAAGAATAAGGAAATTAAAAGGTTTTGGTAGGAATAAACACCATTATGATGTACGTTTCTAAATGGCATCAGCTTCATTAAAAAGAGTTGAGAATTAATTGAACAGCGTATGGACAAAAACCTGAAACCCCTGAGAACATAAAGAAATCTGATACAACAGCACTGGAAAGTACTCCTTCAAACTTACCATAGTCTTGTCAAACTTCTTTGCTAATTTTATTTGTTTGTGTATTACTATCTAATAATACTTTTCTGTAAATTAATTCTACATTTAAAGTAACTTAAATAGCCCAATAATTCCTATACCCAAGGGGACTGCACTGTAGAGCTTTATGGTCCCAAAGGTGCTCTTTCAGAGGCTTTTCTACCCTGATGAGAACATAATCTTGGAGGAAACATTCAATATTGATATTTTTATCTCCCATTTCTATTTTAAACAACAGTAAAAGTATATTACTGTAATATCTAAATACTGATGGAAAAAAACAATCCAATCAACAGTCTTTCACAATTCAAAGGCAGACAAAAGGCAACTAGAACAGCAATTAAAGCAGCAAAGTTAAAGCTACTGTATAAAATCTGTCCACCTGGCCTCCTCTTTAAATTATTAATAGGTGCCATTTTCAGCCCTGTTTGGAGGATGAACATAAAAAAAGGCCTTTGTGGATAACTGGCCAGGCTTGTCGGAGCACAGTGGAAACGGATCAGAGGCTTAACCAATGGGGCCACAGAGCTCTGCCTCTGTACAAAGATCAATTGAAACCTAGACCTGTATACCCTCAGTGCACCCCCTCCCCTGCCCTCTGAGACCAGGCTGTTACCAGAAACCTTGTTGGAGCACACAGTTTATACTAGAGTGTGACAAGATTAAGAGCTTTTGTAAACTAAACATGAAAATGTTAAAGGTTGGCGAGGAGTTAGAAGAAGAAGAAGAAGAAGAAGAAAAACAGAACAAGACAGAACAAGGAATTACAGCAACACGTGAGGCAAATGAGAACACGTGTAGCCTTTAATATTCAATAACCACCAACCATTTATTCATGAAGGAATATAGGGCCATGAATGTACAGTACAGGTGTGTGCTTGACAGAGACAAAACAAAAAAGAAAGTACAACTTGCTTGCTCGCACACACACACACACACACACACACACACACTAAGCAATGACAGATGGTACTCACTGGTGATACATGCGGAGGACATCAAACAGGTAATCCTTCTCTGCTTCATTTTCAATCAGCAACTCCACCTGCAAGAAAGGACAAACATGTGGTGCCATCCTCCTTTTCACCGCTGAATCGGAGGAAATGTCGGCCCACAGGCACACACGGTACCTCTCTCCTGTGGTCCTGTCAGCGCGATGGGGGGGGTGGGCCACCTGTGTGTGTTTGTGTGTGCGTGTATGAGTCATACAAACCTGATGGCTGCTCAACTGCAGCAGAAGGGTTTTGAGGAAACGCTTCGGCCAATCACTGATATAACACATTTCATTCTTTTCTTCCGACTAAATCTGTCCAAGACAAGGCTGTTGGGTCGCTTTTTATAAAAAATAAATCAGAGTGATAGTTAAACCTAAGCTTTGGGGAGGCTGAGACTCCCAGGTCTAAAGCAGGTATAATGGACTGCCCTTCCCCAACCATCACACCACTGGCAGGGAATAATGGCAGCACAGCTGAGGAGAGGCTGTGCAGTAGGAAGGTCAGCAGTGTCGTCTTACATCTCAGACAGTAACAGAGGTGAACACCCAACATTCTCTCACACACACACACACACACACACACACACACACACACACACACACACACACACACACACACACACAACACACACACTTCATCTTAAGCAGTGTGCACTCAAAGATAAGTCAAAAACACATGCATAGTCAGACACTCTTGTATCATTTAATGTAGGGATTAAAGCAATAGGTCGATCACCTATGTCTCACTAAAGCAATCATAAATGTAGGGCTACACTAAATGGACCCTGCTGTGAGGTCGTTGTGAGGGTGTGTGACATTGTGTTTATGACTGTCGTAAATTTCTCTTGCTCAGGGCAGTGAGACACAGTGAGCTACTCCTGTAACCTAAACGATATGTGGACTTTGGCACCATAAAACCAATAAGGCACACTGGCTAGTCAGATACCCATTTTAAAAAAAGCACTGTCTAGTTTATAAGATTGTTGTCACAGAATATACACCTACATAACTTTTTCCCATTACAATGTACATCAATTGCAGTACACCCTCAGAGAGCAAAACACCTTTTAAAGGCACTTTTAAATTGACAGAGCAGATAATAATGCTGTTCTTCTGCGAATGTACAGTAAAGCTTCACACACTCTCAACCAAACAGAGAAACACTGACTATGATAATGTCCCAAAAAGAAACAAAGCCTGATTGTGCCGTGCTGGCCCCTCTGCCTCTAATTAAACAGTAAATTGTCACATCTCTTCCGCTCAGCTGCTCATCTCTGATACATCTACATTATCTAATGCTAAGATGCCCTTTGTGGAGAGGCTGCAATATGGGACCCTGTCTGCCTGCGTGCAGCACAGATGGCAGAGTGATGATCCCTACATGCTCTGGGGCTGAAAACGCCCTGAACATATCATGTTCCCTTCCTCTGTTATCTTTTACTCATAGATACCTTTTCGGGCTGTAATGTGCCAATGCCAACCACAAAAGCATAATTGACGGAACCACATATGGTGATTGGAATACCATTTATTTTATCCTAGAGCTGCATGGTGTTTACCTGAGCCAGGAACAGGCACCAGCCATGGGACAAATACAGAAAACACTGTGGCTAATTACTTTTAAAAAGAGGCAAGATCCACTGTAGCCCATGTTGTGCTCATTTATTCACAAGAGGTCAGCCTATAACGTTAATTACTATTTATCAGAACAGCTGTGGGAACTGTAAGACCAAAACCTTATGAAATTCATTTCACCTTAGATAACCCAAGAAAAACAGTTATTTCAGGTGCATGAAACCCCATGAATATATTAGCAACTCTGTTGTCTATTATTTCTCCTATGGGCTTTGTTTACTGATACACTAGAGATAACTTATATTTTAACTCTGAAGCTACTGCCATACATTTTCCAAATCATGTTCAGCTTAACACATTTAAAATCGCCTATCCTTTTAAAAATAGTTCTTGAATATAGAAAACAGTTTCATTTTCGTGGGGCTGTCGGTCAGGCCTTTTGCGTAACATCCCACTGAAAGAGACACCTGTGCCAGTGAAGTGACAACCAGGTAGGGAAAGAGCTTTCTAAGAGCGATTTAATCAATACCGAGGAGGACTGCGTTTGTATCTTACCTTGTGCCTAAATTCCCGAGCAACTTTCCGCTCCATCGCCGAGAGCCAGACGGACTAATGTGAGATCCCGGTGTATGTCGGTGAAGTTAGACAGGACTGGACCAGGGTCAGACCGCCAAGCTAGCCGTAGTAAGATTACAGCATCCGGTTTTCACAGTAAGACAATAATTAACAAGGATACATTTTGTGTTGATGAAGAATATGACTATGGTGAATATTGGGGGGGGCATAGTTTTTCCTACTCTTTAGTAACTATGTACTTTTCGTGTAATTCGTGTGCTCCACGCAGTTCATATTTTGTCCTTTATTTTGAAATTTAAAACGCCAACTTCTGTATGTGTTGCCCTTCGGTTTGACAATTAACGCTAGTAACTTGGACGTTTAGCTCAAACAGAAAGCCTCTGTTTTACATATACATATTTTAAACACATGTTAAAATCGCTGGACACACAGAAGGAGACTTTCACCCAGAAAAACCTTCTAATGACCACCTCAACGGCGTTAATCATGACTGACTATTACCTTCATTGGGAAAAAAACATTCGTCAATGGAAGAAACTCGAAGAAACTCAACATATCCTAGCGTTACCTGTCACATAAGATGCCACATGTGTGACATAGTGACATTACAATATGGTTATTTTCATGAGCCAGACGCTAGTTGGTGAAATAACAATCACGTCTCACAGTTTCCCACGAAGAAGAAGAAGAGGCGTACACTTCCGGGTTTCAAAAGCTTGATAGCAACGAACAACACCGCTGGCCTGACCGACGCGCTGAGTTTTCAAAGACTGTGGCGGGTAATGTTATATAAAAAGTAGTAGTATGTTAGTCAAAAAGCCAGAGATGAATTTACTATGCCTATGTTAATGTACTGGTATGTGCTAGTTACCCTAAAACTGAAGTTTCATTATCACAATACAGACAAACGTTACATTTGCTTTGCAACGCTTTGGGATTGCTCTTTTGTTTTTTTTCATGAAGCAACGTTACAATGTCTACCAACTGAGTTGTCTTTCAGCTTAATATGTGTCAAAGCGTCAGAAATGTGTTTATATTAACGTCACATCTAATAACAGTTTGCTGAGCTTTCAAACGTCCCGCTCCTCCTGGCGATCAGTCCATGGGAGTCACACACTGAAACAGAGCATTCCTAGAACAAGAGCACATATCAACCAAAAAGGCTTTCAAAAGATAGAACCGTCTTGAACAGAGTTTTTTTTCTGTAAATATTTCAGTATTCAGTTAATAATAATGTCTCCCAGCAGCTGTACGAGCTGACTCCTTTATTAACATGTATATTTCATGCATAGCTTGCTATTGCTGACCCCTCTTATTCAATTTGCAAAGCTTGGTCTGTGTGGCCTTTTGTTACAGAATTGGCTGCATAAAGTATGTGAATGTTAGACCTGCAACAACAATGCAGTTTTGATGACTGTTTTTTTCTTTTATTTTCAGTGTTTTGTGCTGGGATGGGATCTCCAACAAAAGAAACAACACCACACAGGTAAGATCTTATAGTCAACAACACACAGCACTGAGAGTGCCCATTGTGAGAAGGATGTAATGCTTTTAACTGTAGTCTCCCTGAAAGATGCTTAGACTTATTTGGTCAGTCTGTCTCCCACTGTTACAGTCCTACGTCTTATCCCACATGGATTTATTCTAACTCATCCTTAAGCGGGTTTAAAGGAGACACATTTAGGGTTCATTACCCAAGTGTGTGTGTGTGTGTGTGTGTGTGTGTGTGTGTGTGTTAGTGGATTGGTATGCATAAGTGTCCTCCTCCATTTTAGCCTATGAAGACTTTTTTTCCTGCCCACAGAACCAACATTCATACCCCTGGTCAAGAACCTGATTCCCCACTTCCCCCCATCCATGAGAGGCTGGCGTACCTGCGTCCCTCTAGGGAGCTACTGGAGTTCTACAGACAGAAGATCGCCCAGTTTGATGTAGAACATGAGGAGCTGCTGCAGATGCTGGAGAAGTACAAAGACATTACAGAGGACCAGGTGACACACAGCTAGGGGGCTTATGTTACATTGTTTTTCACGTTTGCCAGAGTACTTTCGCCTGTTTTTAACTTGTCTTTTCTCCATCCCCGATATCCTCTCAGCATAAGCTACAGTGGGAGGTACGACAGCGTGAGGGAGAGATTGCAGAGCTGCAAAACGCTCTGAGCGACATGCAGGTCTACCTTTTCCAAGAGAGAGAACAGTCTCTGCGGCTTTATGCAGAAAATGACCGACTAAAGATCAGGTGGGTACATGGTTGATGATGAAACCATTAATAGTAATAGTTTTCTGGACTATCTGACTGGCTGCCATTGGAGATACTGCATATAATTTAATGGTACACATGTAATGCACATGTCTACCATGCTTTATTCTTTTTATTATTCTTCTATAACTTGCATTGTTTATTCCATATTTATATATTTCTACATTTATTTATGTCAACTGTATGTTTGTCTATGTGTTGCACCTTATCACCAAAGCAAATTCTTCATATGTGTAAAACACTACTTGGCAATAAAGCTCCTTCTGATTCTGATACAGGTGTTTTTTTACTTGCCCGATTACTTTTCTTTTCAAGACTGTGGCTGTATTCTGAACCGCCTACTACATAACATAGCAGCCTGCAGAATGCAGTATGAAACTGTTAAATCAATTTATTTAGCAGTAGCTACGCCAGGCTTAGTCGGGTTCCAGTTTTGGAAAGTAGTAAACAATAGGAGGAATATAAATGTAGGTATAATAAAGACAACACTTAAGTTAAGCCTGCCAAGCTAACTTTTGATATCATAAAGACAACAACATTAACCTTAGTGAGCTGTCAATAAGAAAACAACACAACATACATTGCTTATATCTAACGCTGAGTTATATTTTTTTGGTTACAGAGCAGTTATATTCCTCCTTGTCCACCACTCACTTGACGCAGTGATGTTGCTGTTTGCCATTTCAACAATGACCAATTGCTGAGACTGCCTGATTAAAAGAAGATTATATTACTGACTGGTTGTTGTGTCAAGCAGTCTTTGGTCAAATCAGTACCTACTGCTAGTATAGAAGGCGGTTTCAAATACAGCCCGTGTGTGAGCATTTACGCAGTTTACTGTTGTGATTACTGTACTATGACTGAGAGAGGTGCAGTCAGCCAGAGTAAGGAAAACTGCCTGTATAGGTGACGTGCAGGGCCTTTAATTTCTGTCTTCATTATTGCACTGCCATAATTCTTCCTCTTACGTACAAAAACCCCCCTCTAAACATCTGTTTCCTGTTGTACAGAGAGTTAGAGGACAGGAAGAAAATCCAGCACCTTCTTGCTCTGGTGGGTCCTGATACAGGAGAGATCACATATTTCCACCGGGAACCTCCTCACAAGGTACATATGTTTACTTCATCATAGACCATTCTCACAGCGGACGTCTTGACTTGACGTGGTGCAGTTTGTCACCTTAATATATGCTGCATTGGCTGGCTCACCTAAACGGAACAGAGACACCATTAATGTGATTAGTTTAACCTGTATTTTTCCTGTTATGATAACAATAGCTGCCGTGAACAACACTGACTAACCATCAAATAATTACAGTGTAATTTCCCTACTTGTTAATAGTTAATAGTGAATTGGCGAGGAGTGTCATGACTGATTTCTGTTCACATATAAGCAAACTGAGGAAATGCTCATTATGACCATGTGACAAATAGCTCTAACTGGTTTGCGATGACTATGTTTCAGGTCACTATCACACAGAGGAAGGCTGAGTCCAGTTTGGAGGAAAATCTCAATCTCAGGCCAACGAGGTTAAGACCTGCCCTGACCAGGAAAGGTTTGACCTTTTTTTTTTTTTAGCAAATGCCCCTTCTACATTTAAGATTTATGTTATAATGAATGGCAGCACCTGATGTGGCGAAGTTTTCTGTTTTATTTATTTATTTAATATACTGTATATATATAGGAAGTGATCTGCATAAACATTAATTATTGCTCCAGAGAGACTTTTTGATTTCATATCTGTCCAAGCAGAGACTAGCAGGAGAACAAAGTCAGCAGATGGGGTGAATGGAGAGAGCCTGGAACAATACAAGAACGATAACCAGACATTGTTACTACAGGTAGGTCTAGGTGTCAACTTCCCAAACGCAGGTCATCAGTGTTTCCTCTAGGATTTTTTTCAGCAGCGGGGTCACGGCAATGTGTTGCCTCATGTTTGCCTTTTGTGTCTTCATTTCACAGCTTCTGACATTTATCTGTAGACATTAATATAAAAAATAGGAAACATGAGAAACCTCCTCCCTTCTGAGGTGCATTTTATTTGCACATTAAAATCCAAAAAGAAACGTCTCCTCATTAGCTTAAAAGGACTAGTTTGCATCACTAATTAGCTTTACTAACCTCAGCTCCTCCAGTCACCTCGTCCTTTCTTTTCCAAAACCACCTTATCAGACTGAAAAATGTATGTACCTGATGTTCTCAACATTGGACAAGTAGGCAGTAATAAAATACAGCTTCCAGTTACTTTCCATAAATTGAGCTAATGTTAAGTTACATAGCAGCTATGTAGCTGCTGTAGAAGTTTTCCTGCTCAGCTGCGCAGTCTGAAGGGGAGATGTGAGCTAACTTAGCGCTAACCGGCTTCACTTTTCCAGCAGGTGGGAAACAACAGACTTTTCTTGGTCTTGAGAAGCTAACACACTGTAACAGACACCGTACATTTACTGCCAGAATATTTTCCTCTGCTCGCGTTCACCGTCACTTTCTGCCGCTCGGACAATCAAACACTCGCTATGCATCTCCTGATTCAGAGTTACTCTGCTCTTGTAACACAATCTGTCACCTATGTTCTGCATAGAGCGAGGAGAGGAAGCGAGCCGAGCATTGAGTGCTGCAGAGTGAAAACATTTGTAACGCATAGTTTAATGATCGTGGGAAATTTTAGTAGTGGTGTGATTCAGCGGTGCGCCGCTGCTGAATGCATATAGAGGAAACACTGGGTGATGGAATTTATGTCCCCTCATCTCTCAAAAACACCAGAACATCACATCTCCATATTGATTTTTACTATTGAGAAGGGATGGAAATGTTTCCCCGCCTTCTTGCTTCTCCACAATTTTGGTGATGAGTGTCCTTTTATTTGTGTGGCTCATGTCTCCAGGTGGAGGCTCTGCAGGCTCAGATGGAGGAACAAACCCGTCTGGCCAAAGAGCAGGTAGAGTCTCTGCTTGAGGATCGACGGATTAAAACTGAGGAGGCGCAGGCACAACAGCACAGAGATCAGGAACGAATCACAGCTCTGACTGACAAGTGGGTCTGCATGTTTAGTTATTTGTTTTTACTGTACGAACATCTCACCACCCTTTTACATGTTGGTCCCTAGTGAAACATAGATCTGGACTTGTTTTCCTTCATTTTGGAATTACACGCATCACTCTGAACAATGATAAATACATTCTTCAGCCTGATCTCGATTAATAATCCTCACTTCCTCTCACATTTGACACCGCAGGCTCCAGCGAACCCAGAACCTGCTGTACGAGAGCACCAAAGATTTCTTGCAGCTAAAGTTTGACACACGGACTCATGAAAAGAGCTGGATGGTGGAGAAGGACCGGCTGCTGAGGGAGCTGGACTCCTGCCACAACCGTCTGAGGAAGTCTGGGTCTTCTGGTGCAGAGCTGGGCCGGACGTGGCAGCCCAGCAACAGCACAGCACTGGTCCTCCCTCGACCTCAGCCAGAGTCACAGCAGATACGCAAAGAGGAGCTAAAGGTAACATTTGTATATGTTAATTGCGGGCCTAAAGAAAACTTTCCTGCTAACTTATTGATTTTGTAAAATCAAAGCTCTTTTTGTTTTGGGGTGCTGTTTGTTTAAATTAATTTACTTCATCAGGCAATGCAGGAGGACCTGAAGCAAGCCCACCGTCTGGCAGAGATGTACAGGGAGCAGTGTATCACTCTGGAGACAGAACTGGCCCAAATCAGAGAGGAAGGGGATGTGGGCAGGGAAATATTTAAGGTACCATGGTTGGACAGATGCTTATGTCTGTAAAATCCTCCTACACACCTCTGATTGACTGTTATATATTTTGTGGTTATCCCCGCGTTTCTTGTACTGATAGTTTTAACGTGCTAAATCTTGTATGTATCCAGGAACGTTCAGACAAAATGGCCAAGCGTCTTCAGCTGATGACTCAGCGCTATGAGGCACTGGAGAAGAGGAGGGCCATGGAGGTGGAGGGCTTCAAGACGGATCTGAAGCACCTCCGACAGAAATTCAAAGATGTCGAAAAACAACTCCTCAAGGTGAGCGTTTAATTTTGTTTGTCATGGTCATGAGAGAATTAATGAAAAAAGCCTATTTTGAGCTCTTTTATGTATCATGGCCACAGAAAAAAATCATTTCACAATTGTTGCTTCCAGATGTCCATACTGCTGATCATGAACATTTCAACTGTTTAATCTAGTGTGTATGTATCCACTGCTTCAGGCCACTCTGAATATTGGGCCTAACCAGGACTTAGCCATTCTGCATGAGGTACGTCAGACCAACACCAGGACAAAGAAGGTTCAGGGTGAGCTGATGGCGCTGAAGGCTAAGATCTACGGACTGGAAAATGAGCTGAGATTTAGCTGAGGAATGGACTGTGATGTCATGTGTCTACCTATACCGGAGAACCTGTGTGAGGTTTATTAGCCCAGTCATGTTTTGTGCTACTTGTTATTACTGAAACGTAGAGTGTTATTTGTATTTTGTACTGTGGATTAATAAAGAGTTTTTGTTACAATGATTTTAAATGAATGAACACAATCATTTACAGAATACATTCTGCAAGCAGTAATAGGTATTTTCACAGCAGACATTTTGACTCATGACAGTAGGAAAAGCACAGATGTTACTAAGATGTTACTACTAACATTAACAATGCTAATATTTAACTGTTGCAGTAAGCCGTGACAGCCAGCAAGCACAAACCAGGAACCTGAGACTGAAGCAGCTAAATGAAATTCAGCCATCACTAATTTTGTTATTCACTGTGCTTTTCCCACTGTGACATTAAGATTTCACCTGTTAAAAAGGCCTGTTAGAATGATAAGGGTGTTATATGTTCCACTTGAACAGATGCAGCAACAGTTAACAGCAGTGTCTTTGGCGCCTTGCATGGAAGCCTCTGCCATCAGTGAATGAATGTGTGTGTGACAAGTGTAAGACTAGAAAAGTGCTGTATGAATACAAAGTTAATTTAACTAAAAATAAGCCAAATCTTCTTAGTGATTACCTGTAAAAACTGGCACAACAGAGGCATTAGGCAGATGCAAGATGATGGTGCAGTGACATCTACATATATCTACAACCTGATTATGTTTTTTTGTTTTTTTACATACAAAAGTTAAGAGAATAGTAAATACATATTGTACTAAGCCGTCACAGCCAATCTGACCATCCTTCTTTTTACATTACCAAATTTAGTTGATGTTTTATCCAAATTACAATATATGTCAGAGGTCGCGCGCCTCTGGAGCAACTAGGGGTTAAGTGTGTTGCTCAAGGACACATTGGTGTCACACTGGGGAATTGAAACAGGGTCTCTCACACCAAAGGCATGTGTCTTATCCACTGCCCCATCACCACCACCCTCATTTTTATTATCCAATAGTCAGAAACTTGTAAAACCTTCAATAACATTCTCTTCTTAAGTTTCTCTGGAAACAAAACCTATAAAGTCTGTTGTGATGAGCAGATAAAATAAGGTGATTTCTGTACTCAGTTGACTGGCCATAAAAAGCAAAATTCAGTATGAGATGTTATTGTTTGGTTGACCCACTGTACACACTTTGTAAAAATATGTGCATTTGAAATATATAAATCAAAACATATTTCCATTTTGTCATACTCCAAGAGTTAAGCTGATGATACACAGAGCAATGGTGCTGGGCAATGTTGCCGTCAACGGTAATGAGTAAAGATTATTACCGTAATCCCCTTCCCCCATCACTCCTCCACCGCTATCCGTTCAAAACATAGTCGGACTTGCCACCAGCAAGATTTCTCAAAAACCTGCCCTGTGTATCATCAGCTTCAAACAGTGTGAAAGTCAAATCGTATGAAAAGAAATATATATAGATGGGACAAAGACAATAAAGGAGAATAGAAGTTAATTAACTAAAGTAAAATAAAGGCAGATTAAATTATGTTCAAAAATGTAGTAACAAAAACAACAGTTTATCAAATATATGAAATGACTTAACGGACTAAAACATTACAGTAAAACGGCATTTTTTGAATTTCAAATAAAATCATATTTTATTATAATACTACAATACTTTACATTCAAAATATATTGATCAATTACATCGCAGCAGGACGTCTCAAATTGTGTTTATGTTGAAAATGTTAAATGGAAAGTTTAAAAGATCAGTTTCATTTTTCCAGAAAGTCATTTACAAACTGTTTCCGGTGGATAACGTGACGTAATTGTACCGGGAAGCTATGACGTTATGATTTGCGGCTCTGCGCATGCTCATCCATTGTCGTGAGAGAGTTGCAGGGCTAAGTTACAGTATGATGGCAGCTACACTGAAGAAACAGCGCAGAGTTGAGTATCAACTGTCACTTTTGTGAGAGACCATGACCCATTGGTCCAGTCGTCAGATCTGCTAAGTAGGCAGATACCGTTAGCTCAGCTGAAGCTAGCCCAGCTCTGTTATTGTCTCTCGTTTAACCCAACGGCTATTTACGCACAAGTGCCTGGAGAAATGCAGAGAATAAGGACTTTGAAAACTGGTTGGCAGCGGCTAAAATCATGCTGCGAGGGAGCCGCAAAACTTGTAAACACCTCACCTTCGGCCTCACGAAATTACAGCAGTGTAAGTGTATGCTTTACTCAAACTTTATTTGAATTAAGATGACGATGAATTAAGACAAAGTGAAGAAAATGACACGCTTTTCACATTTATATTAACAGCTGGCTTTGAACTTAAGTTTCGGAAAGAAACACATTGAACACCATGTTTAAGCTAATCACAGCGCGCGCACAGTGATGATTACTTACTTATATACAACCACAGCTATTACTATCTTATTCACTCAGTTCACTCATCATCTGCTCCAATAAAACCACGCTGTGTAATTGATTAATTGATTGACTCTCAGCCTGTAGTTTATGAACAACCCCATGTTTTCCACCCTCTGGCCCAGCTCCCTCCTCAGAACCCAAACTCATTCGGGCTCCTCTTTGACATCGATGGGGTACTGGTGCGGGGCAGGACACCGATCCCTGCGGCCAAGCAGTGCTTCAGGAACCTGGTGGACCACAATGGGAAATACAAGGTGCCTGTGGTGTTTGTCACCAATGCCGGGAACTGCATGAGGCAGACGAAAGCCGAACATCTGTCACATCTTCTGGAGGTGGAGGTAAACTGAACACTTGACACCTTTTTAAATGTGACCTCCACTTGCTTTGTCTGGAGTCTTTTTCTCTGTACTCCCTTGATCTCAGGTGTCTCCCGACCAGGTGATGCTGTCCCACAGTCCTTTGCGAATGTTTACCTCGTTCCACAAAATGCGTGTGCTGGTGTCGGGACAGGGTCCTGTGGTGGAGGTCGCTCACAAGTATCCTTTCTTAAAAAATCAAGAACTCTGGTTTCTGCACTCCCTCTGAATATTGACCTTAAAAGTGTGCATGTTCTGTTTATTCAGTGTATTTTTGTCCATGTTCCACTTTGTTATCAGTGTTTAATCTTTGTACCCTTTGTTCCCTTTGCTGCCTGACTTTTCTCAGCCAGGCCTTTCACAGATTTTGTTGCTTTTTTTAATTTGTCATGAGGGATTGTGGTAAAGCCTTGGATTTTATTTTCACTTTCTTTTCTCAACACGTATCAAGACCTTCCCGGTATATATTTTTCAAAAATGTTTAATATATACCTCCAGAATCACATTATATAAGTCCAAAGCCAAATTCTCAACACACACACAATAATATTGCAAGCAGTTATAAATTTTATGTTAGACAAATGTATTTTGTGGCTCATAACTCTTGCTCACCTGTGTTTATCTTTAACCTGCCAATCTTCAGCCTGGGCTTTCAGGATGTTGTTACTATAGATATGCTCAGAGAGGCATATCCTCTGCTAGATGTCGTTGATCACAACAGAAGACCCAAAGATGGAGTAAGTAGCATTAATGTTGAACCTAGTTTATGTTCAGTTACAGTTGAGTCACACATCTTACAAAATGTGTATGATGTCTTACAGATTCCACCCACCAAAGGCTTACGGCCAATACATGGTATGTTTCCACACACAGTCCACATTGTAGCTATAAGTGTAACTCTTAACAATGGATTCACAGTTCATAATGAACACAGAGCTGTCTGTCTTTTATATTGTGCCCTTTTTCACCCGTTTCTTCCTGCAGCTGTCATCTTATTTGGTGAGCCAATCCGATGGGAGACCAACCTCCAGCTTATCGTTGACGTGCTCCTAACAAATGGGAACCCAGACAACGCCTGGAGTTCGATGCAGTACCCTCACATCCCGATCCTGGCCTGTAACATGGACCTGCTGTGGATGGCCGAGGCAAAGAATCCCAGGTACTGTGTGTATGTGTGTGAAAAAAAGACACATTAGGATTTATATGACACCCTGAAAAATTTATAAAAGTTTTCACCACGGTATTATTATATTTAATGTCTCTGTCTTATAGGTTTGGTCACGGGATGTTCCTGGTGTGCTTGGAGAGCCTGTACAAGAAGGTCACGGGCTATGAGCTGAAGTACGAGGCTCTGATCGGTAAACCCAGTGTGGTGACTTATAACTACGCTGAGCTGCTGATTAGGCAGCAGGCAGAGAGCCTTGGCTGGACCACACCTGTGAAGAGGCTATATGCTATAGGGTGAATGACTCAGTCTTCTCTTGACTTGAGACCCACATTTGAATCATGGGGTTTGTCCTTTTCTGTTTGATGTGAAGCTCCATTTTAATGTGTTGTCACTCTGCCTCTCTTTATAGTGATAACCCCATGGCTGACATATACGGTGCCAACCTCTACAACCGCTACCTCCAGGCTTCTCTGCGTACCAAGGCCCAGATGCAGGCTAAGAGTGGCGCAGGAGGTGCAGATCCCTTGGCAGAAGCTGTCGATGAAGCCCCTAAAATGACATCAGCTGAACTAGGCGGAGCGTCAAGTATGTATGGGACAGAGGAGGACCTCCCCGAGGGGTGCGTCTCCATGCTGGTGTGCACAGGGGTGTACAGCAGAGACGAGCAGGAGCTGCCCTCAGACCCGACGCACACTGTCACTGAGCAGCGAATCTTCCACGGTCACAGGGACTTCCGCTTTGACCCCAGCCTCACCCAGCCGTCCTTCGTGGTGCAGGATGTAAAGGAGGCGGTGGAGCTGGTGTTTCAGCAGGAAGGCTGGCCTCTGGAGTAGGATGCGCAGCTCGAGTCTGTCAAACTCAGGCTTCATCTCAAAGCCGTCCAATAAACAGATCTTAATGGAACTTAACAGCTAGTAGCAGAAACTTTATGCGTGTATTTTGTTTTCTAATCTAAGCCCCCGATTGTCACTGGGGAGATGAAGCTGTTACTATGGCTAGTTCTTAGAGAGAAGTGTAATAGAATCAGCCAATATGCAGGTTTACACTTAATATAGTAAAGGGACGCACATTTTAAGTCGGTCATGCTTTGTAGTGTGTCACACACTGTAGTGTGTGACACACTGCTGCAGTACTTTTTTTTGCATTTTTCCTGAACACACACACCCATGTTTCTGATGGCCCTACTTACTATATATATATATATATATATATATATATATATAATTAGTCAAGGATTCTAGGTCATCAAGTCGTATGTGCGTCCTTTATGCCTTTGCTTTCTCTTCACATTGTTAAAGGGTATTTCTGGTAATTTTAAAAATGGACCCTACATATTTTAGGGTCTAAATGACTACAAAAAATTATAGGTACCATTAGTTCACCTCAGCTGGCAGCTGCAAAACAGGCTGCAATGGCTGCAATGAAATCCTTGCAGGCAATTGCACCCCTCAAAAGTACATCTACTCCAAGTGCTTGTTTTAGCCACTGACAGACACAGAAGTCTCGCTCACTCTGAAATCTTGCGAGAGGCAAGTGGTTGCACAAAGCAGGCAGTGGAAAACTAAGTCATCTTAAAGCACTTGTAATGGGCTATATTTGACGGATTACGCTGTAGCCACTGTAGCTCGTTTTGCGGCAGCTGAGGCGATCTGCTGGACCAATTACAAAACTGTATGTAGTCATTTAGAACCCCTAAAATATGTGGTTAAAAATAATAGGGCACAGGTTTAAAAATACAAGAATCACCCTTTAGTTTAAGTGTTGACTTGCGTGTATTTTTATTACACTATCATGGATGAGAGTTCAAACAATGTTTCACCTTAATCAAGATAAGATGGATTTTCTTTGTACAACACTCTCCCTAACTGGGTCATCTTGCCTTTCCTAAATATACACCCACCCAACTAGATTTGCTTGTTTTTACTGCTGTCAGCTTGTTTGTTTTTTTAAGATAGGGTGAATGTGTAAACCACTAATGCTGTCGAGATTAAGCTGCCAGGTTTGGCTTTTAGCCTGAATCAATAGTACGGTAATTTTATTTTAGTGATATTTTATGAAAGTGTCTGAATCAGACGAAGTACCTAGAAATGAAAAGGGTGCTATTTTTCTGTCAAGTAGTTCTGAAAATCTTACGAATGGTTAATGTCTGTATTAGAAGACTTTTGTGGGAGAACAAATTTAATTACAGTGGCAGCTCCTGTGTCATAAAGTGCTTGTTTGTCATATTTGTAACTGACAGGTATGACACTGAATGATTTGCAGGAGATTTCAATTGCAGGTTTAAACTGTGAACTCTGGTAATGTACTGTAAAAGCAGTACTGAATAAAAGACCAATTAAAAAGGATGGAAGACACAAAAACATGTGCCCTGTCAAGTGAAAACATTCTGTATTTCCATAGTACAGTCTTAGTACAGAGTCCTCCAGCAAAGTTTGTACTGCTGGAGTCATTATCACATTCAGCAGCAGTTATCCTCAGAAGCAACCGTCATTAAAACCTGTGTTATTGATTCTACTGACTGTATAAATATCAATATAAAACATACACAACTTATATTCACACACACACATTGCAACATATGGAGTTCATATGTAGTTCTCCTAAAACTAAACCTCTTATCAAAAACACTTGTACACTGAGACTGTCAACACCAATTTTCAAGTCTTAAACAACACGTCCGCTCAGCACCCACACTTTCTGTCTGAGGACGCAGTACCAAGGACTGGGTGGGAGCTGTTACTCAAAATGAATTGAGGCGAGCCTTGAGAGGCCTCGTCTGTGATGGTCATGCCGTTGCGTGCCAGCAGCTCCCGGGCCATGAGGATGAAGGCCGCCTCCACGTTTTGGGCCTCCTTGGCCGAGGTTTCAAGAGCAGCCAGCACACCCTTGTTCTCCGCCAGAGTGCACGCATCCTCGAACAACACCTGCCTCTGAGCTTGGAGGTCTGACTTATTACCTGCAGTGAAGAACACAACAGGAAGTGTGTATAGTTAACGTGTCAGATTGTTTCAGCTTAACAAACCAGCAGTCCAAAACCCAAACCCAAAGATATTCAGTTTACAAAGATATAAATCAAAGAAAAGCAAGCAAATCTTCACTTTGGAGAAGCTGGAAGATTGGACTTATTGGCTGGGTAGTGATGGCACAATAGATAAGACTCATGCCTTTGGTGTGAGAGACCCGAATCCACTGTGACCCATCCACCAATGTGTCCCTGAGCAAGACACTTAACCCCTAGTTGTTCCAGAGGCGTGCAAACTCTGATGTATAGCAATTGTAAGTCGCTTTGGATAAAAGCGTCAGCTAAATGAATAAATGTAAATTATTTAAACAGTAAAATAGGTGTATAGAAAAGTAATAGATTCTTTTTCTATTGTCGATTAAAGGATCAGTGTGTTTATTATTTTTAGGAGGCTATATTGACAAAAATGCAAATAATATAACTATGTTTTCAGTGGTGTATGCCCTTACATAGTTACAAACAGTGTTTTTATTACCTTAGAATGAGCCATTTCTATCTACATACACCGCAGATCCCCCCTAACATGGACATCGCCATGTTGTTTATAAGCTCTGATAATGATAATCCACATCTTAGCAGTAGCGTCCATATGGTTTCCACATTCCGACTTACAAGCACCTGAACACACACTGAAGTCGGAAGAAAGACTTCACAACTTGGGAAATGGGACTATCCGATGAGCACATAAATGCACCATGAGCCACTGGCTGCAATTCGCAACACTCACCACTAGATGCCAACAAAACCTACACACTGAAGGTGTGACTATCCCTGACGGCTTTAAAAATATGACCACATATTTGTGTAAAGGGGAAAAATAAACAACACAAATAAGATAACAAAAGTGCATGTGGCTGGTCTTCAGCATATTTACTGTCACAATAACCAATAAACTAGACCAGCACTATCTGCTGCTGAGAGTAAATACGCAAAAGCCAGTGAGCAGAGAAGGTAAAACAGATAATTACAAGTAAAGTTTAAGTGGTTGAGAAGTGGAGCTGCTGTCTCTCCAAGTAGCATTAGTAAAGTTGAAAACTTGAAAGAGACACAGTCTAAACACTGATGTCCTGTATGAAAAGAATATTAAAAGAATATTATTTTGTATACAATTTAAAGTGTTAAAAAAACCATCTAGTTACTTATAATTATTATTATATTATTTTCACTCCACTTACCAATGAGGATAAGTAGCACACTGGCAGCTCCATACTGCTCCACCTCCCTGATCCAGTGGGAAACCGATTCAAATGTAGTGCGGCGTGTGATGTCATAGGCCACTATGGCCCCGTGGGCACTGCGGTAGTAGCTCTGAGTTATGGTGCGGAAACGCTCCTGTCCTGCTGTGTCCCACACCTGCATCTGCAGTAACACACACAACACAAATCCAATATGAATTCAGTGGTTACTCTGGGTTAATAAATGTGGGTTAAGTGTGTCTCCAAAACAAACATAAAAAGCTCTAAAGGTGATCAGTCCTTTTTGAACAATGATTGTGTTTACAGAACCCCAAACTGATTAGCATATCAAGACATCCATGCAGGGTGTGTTAATAACAAATGAACACACCCAGAAAGCTAACACACAGGTGATATTATTTGCCAGTCCTCTTTCTCTAAAGGGAAAAAAGACACTGGTTGACTCAAACAAGCAGAGGGGTTAGTCACTTTAAGACTAGAGTAAATCCACAGACACATCTCACACATCCATTTTTTTTGTTAATAAAAATGTACCCGTTATAAAATGAAATGATCCAGAATATACGTGGAGATGTGCATAACAAGCTGTGGTCTAAGAATAAGTCTGATGAAAACTGAACTGGGTTGGACAAAGAAATAAAAAAAACTTTTAAATGAACAAAGAGTTTAACAAGAAAGAATCATCACCTACCTTCACCCTCTTGCCATCGATGTCCAGGGTGCGAACAGTAAAGTCGACCCCGATGGTGTTTTGCTGCTTCTCTATGAATATGCCAGACTTGAAGCTCTGGACCACACAGGTCTTCCCCACATCAGAGTCCCCGACCAGGATGATTTTAAACAGAAAGTCGAAAGAGTCCTCAATCTCCGGCCCTGCAGACTGCATGGTGAAGTATATAGATATATATAAACAAACAAAAAAATAACACGCTGAGGCTGAAACACTAGATCCTATGTGCCTTTAAGCAACAGAACTGGTTCCTTCCAAGTTGTGTCAATAAAAACTGAAACTATTTACAGAAACAGCGGTCACATCCTTGTCAGAAAAAAGGGGAAAACTGCTCCCAGCTGAATATGTGTGATCCACAGGTAAATTTGTCCCAGTAAGAGATTTTAAAAAATCCCACTCAAACTGTTAAATTCAGAGCTTGCTTCTTCTGTCATTTCATTTCTGCCATCACAAAAAACAACTCCAAAATCAACTTAATTAATTATCCCACTGTAGATTCAAGTAAAAGTCCCAAGAGTTGTTTTTTTTCTTCATCCTGTATCCGTTTCCATGTCTGCGTTACACTATCTGCCACCTTCTTCAAGTCCTACACACAAGTATAGTCTGTCCTGCTGCCCTTTAGACTGCCACTTTATTTGCCCTCTACAACACCCACCTCCCCCCACCCCTTCTAGGACAAGTATACACACGCCTCTTACCTGTCTTGGTAGGTGTGATCTCCAACTGCCAGCCCACCTGCACCACTGCATCTTGGGATATAGATTTTCAATTCAGGCTCTGTAATAGGACAGAATACCAGGAAGGGGTAGAAGTTAAACTCAATGACTTAAATCACTTATTACCAAAAGTACCGGCACAGGCATAAATATGTAGATGTCATAGGGTTAGATAGATGTAGGCATGTTGAGCTCTGGTTGGTTTTTAAAACTAACTGGCTTACCATTTAACCAAGTTGAGGTACACTGAAAGCCAAGGAGCTGGCGTCTGACTCTGAACAGAACCTTGTGTCTTTATGAAGACAGGTTTTGCTAACAAGGCTCAGTGTGCAAATACCCCTGAGCAAACAGCTTAAACCACTCCTGCAGTATAACTACTCCTGACAGAATGTAAATACTTGACGCCTTTGTCTTAACAGCTGTCCTTTGGACCCCAGAATGGCTTTTTATGCCCTACATGCCTACACGTATTAGCCCCCTCACTGACTACTGTCAACGAACACATTCCACAGCAGTCCACGACAGAAAGGGCTTAAGAGCAGAATAAGCAAAAACAAAATGCAGCAGACAAACTGAAAGGATGTACGGTAATTAAAGACAGGTTCATCTAACATAAAGTGTAATTGAAATAATTTTACCTCAGGCTGCATGCATTGATATCAAAGTGAGATGTTAACACAGAATGAGCATACTGCTCTGGATCTGAATCAGTCTCCCTCTCTCTCTCTCTCTCTCCACCCCCTCACTTGTTTCTGTCGTCATCTCAGCCCACAGAAGAACAAGGCACAGCTGGACACAGAACAATGTGAGTGTGTGAGGGGCACTTGACCGAGCTGGGTCTATCTTTGGCTGTGACCACCAGCCACCTTCTTTCTGTTGAGTGGTTGTGTGTGGCTGATGCCTTGCTAAATGCAATAACAAATACGGTTATGTTGACCACTTACTGATGGCATAAATAACACAAGGACAAGAGGGGAAAAAGGAACTTGGATAGTGCATCTTTTATCCAAATAGTAAATTGATCCAATTTACAGGATAATACAAAATAGACTCCAGGCTTTTACATGTCTAGTCATAACAACATGTATGCTAGACATTGTTATCTTACAAAAGCTGATTCATAGATCCTTATGTACATACTAATATGAGCTAGTGCATTATTACAAAATCACTCCAGTGTACAACAAAATATAACATAGATATGGTAGCATGTCTTAATTACCACAGCTATGTTAGAGAACAGAAATCCTTCTGTGATTCAGCAGAGTCTCAATGCAGGAGCTGTGGAGGTGGTGGCTGAGTCGTGATGAAATCAGATTTGAGCTGTGACTAAGCTACCGGCTACCACAGTCATAGATGTGTGTCATCTCCTCTGCTGCAACTGTCCTGCACTTGCAGAGTGTCTCAGTCTAAGAGCGGTGCTCGAGCTTTGCTGGCATTTTCGTTGTTTCTGAGGTTTCTTGCCGGACGTCTTATTCAGTGATGTTTCTGCAGGAGGGACGTGAATCGGCTTCCATGGGACAGGATTGTAAAAGCTGGGTGATGGGTAGTATTTGTCATAGGGACCTGGAATAAATCATACCAATACAATATTAACACATAAAAAGCAAGGCAATATCAGCAAGGCAAATGAAACCAATAAGTTACAAACACATTTGATTCAGTCTGAAAACATGGATGAAAATTTGTATGAAATACATTTTATCAATTATATGGTGGCAGTTAATTCAAAAACAATAAAAGCATAGTTAATAATTCCTAGATGACTGAAGTGACCTTACTTGTTGGGTAGCAAGGTGATTTGGGAGTTGCTCTGCTTTTATCATTGGCTTTTGCCAGCCACTCCTTAAACTTCTCCTCTGCCCTCTTGCGGCGCTCTTTCTCCTGCTCCTCTTTCAGAGCAGCTTCCTCCTGTCAACAAAAAGGGATCTATCAGAATCTTTTTGACTGATCAATAATAACATAACATTTAACTGAAAAATATTTTCATTATAAGCAGAATACTTTAAAAAGATCCACATTACTTTCTCTTTCTTTTCCATTTCTATTTTTTCTTGATTCTTCTTCTGCAGCCAGTCTTTGTATTTTTGCTGAGCTTTCTGTTCAATCTCCCTTTGTTTTTCCTGCTTTCTCTGTATCTCCTCCTCCTCTTTGCTCTGTTTTTGAAGTTGCTCATGCTTCCTCTTGGATTGCAAGAAGAAAACAAAAAACAGATATGTCAGTATTTGATAGTGAGACATTACTGTGTAATTAAACAAACACAAATTACAGTCAATCTGCGATGATGCACATGCTGTGTGGTTTTACTGAGTTTAAAGTATCCACCTGTTCCCTTTTCATCTTTAGCCAATCTTGAATCTTCTCTTCCATGACAATCCTTTTCTGTTCCCGCTCTTTTTCTTGTTGTTCTTTTTTTTCCTTCAGTAGCCGCTCCTAATTCAAAAGATATAAAAATCTTCTACTCCGAGATTCAGACAGGATGCAATAAGAAAGTTTGTCTGGGAGTATGAATAATGTGGACATTTTGTAAAAAAACTATGACTAGTCTTACAGAAACAAAGAAGAGTAAGCACTATAGCAGTTATACAGTGATGTAAATAGTAATTAACTGTGGCTTGCCTCCTCTGCTTTCTTTTCCAATTTGAGACGGTCTTCTTTGGCTTTGTTCACCAACCACATTTCCCATGCACTGAGAGTAGGTGAGCCTGCAGGCTCCATAGCTGCATTCAACATCTGCTCTGAAGGTGTTCTTGGTAGCTCACATCTGCACCAAAAACAGATGTACACTTATTCAACTCCATACTTACATTTTTGTCAGTCTGAACCATGCAGTCTGTCCTCTTTACTTGGTTCAGAAAGTATCTTAAGCTTGGAAACTTCAGCAGTACGTTACCTGACTGGTGAAACTCTGAGTCTGGAGTTCTGCTGGGGTGAAGTTTGCTGGGCCGGGCTAGCCTCAAGATCTTCATCACTGTCAAAACTGTCATGGTAGATGGGAGAAAGCAGAGAAAATGTGTCTTCGTCGTCTGATAGGAGGCCGTCGTCCAAGTCCTTGGATGTGTGAAATTCTTTCCCCTGGCTAGTTTTGACAGGGGTCGAGCTGAAGCCCTTGGACGCAGAGGCAGGACAGTTCGGCATCCTCTCTCCGGACATTACTAGCCGACGTCTGCTTTAAAAAACACAACGTCGACACATGCAAATGATTTATATTAGTTATGTGTGAGTTTTGTCTGTTAACAAATGTCAAATAAAGCGATGCAACCTTTCAGTGAGGCACAATATACAAACACTAACTAGCTCATGTTAACAGCTTTTTTTCACGGTTAGCAAAGTGCGGCTAACGTTAGCACTCAAGGGTAACTTTGCTAACCAACGGCTAGCGGTGGTTAGCTAACTTAGCCATTATCTAACGTGCTCCGACAGTTCAATGCGTTACAATACGTATTAGCAAACTCAACACAGCTTGTGCGCGCAGTGTCTCTAGTAAACTCTGAAACAACTGTGAACATTTAGTGACCTACCTTTGAGCGTATATTTGGAGAAACTCTCGCTGTGGTGCTCGTCTCTGTACTAACGCTGCAACTGACTTGCTAACAACCTCCCCCCATGATACACCACGCCCCCACGCTCAACTGGACGCTGTTTCTGTAACCATGGTGATGCCTGACGCTTTACGCACCAAACGTTTCGAAGTCTTAAAAGATTTTAGTTATAAAGTGATGTACAAGATGTTTGAATATGTCTGTAGGTCGCCTCCGCCTGAAGAGTTTGATTGTCTGTGTCACTGATATTTTTTAATTATTTATTCAAAGCAGAATGAAACGTCAGAAAATCACACAAATTAGTGTTGTGTCGCCTCTAAGTAAAGATTCAACTGAGATTTTGTTCTTGTTGACAATTTAGCAGAGATATGACTTAGCCTATATCTCTTCATGAAAGAAAGGACTGATCCAACTATCCTTATTTATGGGTTACAGGTGGGATACAATGCTTATGCAGATTTATTTGATCTTACTTTCATAATATTTCTCCCTCAAACATTTTGAGTGAAAAATGGGAAATAAATGAAACAATATCGAAATCTATGTTTTATAACTGCTCATTCTTGCCTGAGATTTGGTGACCAGGAACTGTTTTATTCCAGTGTCATTTTGTTCAATGCCTGGGCTGTGCCTTTTGATTGTACTTCGGGGAATCAGTCTATTCCAAACTGTGTGGCAGTTGTTGTCTATCTTGCAGCTCTGATCCAGCTGAGGTTAACCTGCTGATGCACTCACCCACACCTAACATTATCAGTCTAATTACCAGCACACGTTCCAAAATGAGCTCCTTCGCTGAAGGGCTGCTTTCACAAAGAGGTGTGGCATTTTGTGAGTGTTTGTAATTACCTGCCGCACTAAAGTGATTATTTGTCTTGTTTTATGTCTTTTGATGCTTATTATTGTTCTTGAGTTGTAGATCGTCTTTAATGACTCATTGCAAACAATTATTCAGTTTCAGATAAACAGGATTTAAAGAAAAAAGTTCTAAATCAAGTGCCAACAGCCACAGCTAAATTACAGTACCTCTTAATTTTAGCAATACCACAGTGTAGAAATACTTAGTTACAAGTAAAAGTCCTGCATTCAACATTTTGGTAAAGTTAAAGTACAAACGTGTTAGCATCAAATTAGTACTAAAAATAAAATTACTGATTATGCCCCATTTCAAAATAATGTATATTAAAATATAAATATAAAATATATTATATATATTATATATATATATATATAATAATATAAATATAAATTATTGCTACATTAATGTGATCATAATTTTAATGTTAAAGCTATATATATATATATGTTGATTATATTTTGTATTGATTATCAGAATCTGCAAAGCAAAGAAAGTAAAGCTGTTAAATAAATAACAGTGCAGTAAAAAGTACAATATTTGCCTCTGAAGTGTAGTAGGGTAGAGGTAATTATAGCATAAAATGGAAATACTCGAGTATAAGAACCCCAAAATTGTAGTACAGCACTTGAGTAAATGTAGTACTTAGTTACTTTCCACCCCTGCTCTGCATAAGTTGTTCATGAAACAAACAGTGACCACATGCCTGTATCCTGTTGGTAATTATAGAAATATTTCTGGGATGCTCTTTACTTCGCTCCCATCCATCACTCCTCCTGAATACAATTTTCCATAATGTGTCACATCCCCATGAGGCGTCCACAGTTCAGAGTAAGATCATGACGCAGGAGGATCATCAGCCACCAGCACGTGCAGAATGCAGATAGGTGTGTCTGATCCTACGTGTCTCCAGTCCAGCCCCAGAGTCACACCAAAGTGAGGGATTCCAGCCTTGGTCTTTGCTGGTGAGGGGCAGGAGTCCTCATTCAGAGCTCTGCGTGGTCCATTACTGACTGAATTCTTCAGCCAATGGTATGGTGATCAGGGACCTTCAGAAGCAGCCAGAGGGCAGAAGCCAAATGCGCCGGCTCCCCAAGACCTCTCGTCTAGACCAGGGACCACCAAGGAAGTCCCGCAAGAAGCTCCAAGTCATCATCTGTGTACTGCTTGTGGAGCTGTGTGAAAGATTCACTTTCTTCGGGATTGTATGCAACATGATTCTCTTCTGCACTGTGAAGCTGGGCTATGATAACTACCTGGCCGCGACGGTCAACCTGTGCTTTGTAGGAGCCAGTACGCTGACCCCTGTTCTGGTTGGGTGGTTTGCAGAAACCTGCTTGGGAAGGACCAAGGTGCTCTACTTGAGTGTTTTCCTTCATTTCTTTGGTAAGACATAATGGGTTAAAGGTTAATACATGTTGTCTCGTGATGAAATTTGAAACTTCATGGCTTGTTTAGAAATGATTTAGTATCTTGGACTTGTATTTGTCATAAAATTTAAGATTGGATGTAAGTTGATGTAAGAATAAGGCTTGGTGCGGTCACATGTGCCTGTTTAAAAGACAAGATATTTGTTTGAATTTGTGAAATGACGATGCACAAACATCTGACATATTAGTCATTAAGAATTACCTTCTCATTTCCAAAGCATTAGTAACTAAGTTTTGCTATTAAGGTGCTAAACTGGGGCTCTGCTTCCGTGATGTCACACTCCTGTTTGAAATATAGCTGCACCTACATGCCACGACCCTCACAGGTCACCATACTTTCTAGGCACAGCCATGCTGCCCGTGGTGGCATTCCCGTTCGAAGACTTCTACATTGACACTCATCACATGACGCACAAGCTGGAGCCTCGGGAGCGGCAGATCTTGTTCTACATCGGCCTTCTGGCTGCTGCACTGGGCATCGGCGGTATCCGGGCCATCCTCTGTCCCATGGGAGCCTATAGCCTGCAGGGCTACAATCAGCACCAGCTCCTGTCCTTCTTCAACTGGTGGGTGGTGTTGTCACAGTCACTCACCTGGTTAGCCAATAATACGACTCCAAACTGTCATTGATATTGTTACTATGATTAGTTTCATCATCATTTGAGACGTCCTCTTCAGGAAGTTCTTTACAGTTACATCACAATTATTCTGTGCGGAGATCTTGGAGAACAAATAACTCCAATGCTCTAAATCAAAATGATACGTTCTGATAATCCTCAAAATCTGCCTATTAGATTATGAGAAAATTTGCGTTCAGAGTTGCCATTTGGGCTTTAAGATGGTGGTGGTTCATCCTATGAAGAGTGTGAATGTGCTCGATTAATTTTTTATTCAATTTAATTCAATAGGGATTTATTGACATGAGGAACAGAAATATAAAGGACAAAAATATTGTGATTTTGCCATTTATATATGTGTGTATCTATATATGCTGTATGTGTATTTATTTATATACATTTATATACATATTTTTGGCTAGACTGTGGTGCTACAAGAAAGGCGGGAGGCCACAGTAGCCTCATGGTCATGGTGGCGCTGGAGGAAAAGTCAGGGGATCACCAACATTTCTAAGATTCATATTCTGGGAACCATGAATGTACAAAATTTCATGACAATTCATCCAACAGTTGTTGAGATATCTTCGCCTGGACTTTGTCAGACCAAATTGTCATCCCTGGAGCCACACCACTACTGTGGCTAAACTATAATGTGTGATTTTCCAACTACTCATGAGTTATTCTGTGACATCTACAATCAGCATGTCATGAAATTTGTGAGTGTAATATTTGTTTTATTTATTTTTAGGTTCTACTGGTTGGTCAACCTGAATTCCACTGTGGTGTTCCTGGGAATTGCTTACATCCAGCAGTCTGTGGGCAAGAACCTGGGCTTCCTTATCCCCTTCACCTCTGTGCTGCTGGCTCTAATTGCCATACACATGATGCAGAACAAACTCACCTATAAACCCAAGAAAGGTAACATAAAAAGATAGACATAAAAACAGGTATTCAAACACATAAAACATAAATGTACATACAAACATAAAAAAACAAATCCCACCAAATTGTGACTTCATTCTGTTCCTTCTTGTGTCTGTCATAGGTGGATCGTTATTGACCACACTGGGAGTTTTCTTGAACTCTCTCAAGATGTGCTGCCTCCACTATCGCCACCTGAGTGGAGATGTAGCGTCTTGGCTTGACCGGGCCAAGGAGAACAACGGCGGCCGTTACAGTGAAACCCATGTAGAGAACGTCAAAGTCCTGGCCAAGTTGTTCCCTCTTTACGGTCTTCAGCTGCTGTACAGAGCCTGCATCACACAGGCAGGTCACTAGGAACATTATGGATCTTTATTTATTGATTATAAAGCATGAAAAGGGATAATGTCCTTCTTAAGAACATGTCTCCTACAGATTCCTGCAGGTTACTACATACAGACGATGAACTCAAACCTTCACATGAACGACCTCCTGTTGCCCATCGGTGCCATGAATGTGATCAGCATCCTACCTCTGCTGCTCTTAGCCCCAGTGATCGAGTGTGTTACAACTTGTTACCTCTCCATGGACAAAACTCCTCTGGCTCCTGCAAAAGTCATCAGTGAGTATTTCAGTATGTGCACACACACTCAACCACACAAATGCACACATCATTTTAATGTCTCCACCTAAACATCCCTGTGTCTCTCTCGCTCTTCTGCCTCTCTCATCTGCCCTCTTTACTCCCGTAATTATTCTGCAGACCCCTCTCTCATCACCCCTTCCTGTCCCTCCTCCCCTTCCAGCTCTGGGCCATGCATGTGCCACTCTGTCGGTCCTGGTAGCGGGCTTATCTGAGCTGCAGAGGAAGGCTTACCCTCTGGTGGAGCAGACTCTGTCTGGAAAGGTTCTGCAAGTGTCGTCCATGCCGTGTTTCCAGCTGGCTCCTCAGTACATCCTTCTTGGTCTTGCAGAGGCTCTTGTCACCCCTGCATGTGAGTGACACATTTAAGGCATCAATGATTTCATTCCATGCTGGCCTCACCATACACGCTGCATCTTGCCCCCTAATTTATAAAACTAGCCCAAACCAATTGATGCATAACAAGGTAGCTGTTGAGGATCAAACATTTGTGCTGTCACTTCCTCACTGGCAGGTTCCCTCATATCTTTCCAGCTGACCCCGAGCCACATTCGAGGGATCTCCCTGCACTTCCTCACTCTGTCCTATGGAGGGGGCTGCTTTCTGGGAGCCTTCATCATTCAGCTGTTGTACTTCCTCTCTGGAGGTAAAATGAATACAAACACTGTATTATATGTTTTTGTCCAATCACAAATAATAGTGCCACTGGAATTTGATTGACAAATTTACTCGTTCAAAGGTAACTTCTACCCAAACGTACTGCATGCTGGGAACTTAGAAAGATTCTTCTTCCTCCTGGCCACACTGATGGCTATAAATACCCTTGTGTTTTGGAGTGTATCTTACAGGTACAGTATTAGCTCTAACTGCATGGACTAAGTTGAAGTGAAAAACATTTCAGGAAGCATGTGTGTTGGCAAAAATTACATAATTGGATTAAAGCAACTGTGGTTAAATGAATACCCACACGACAAATGTATCCTCTATTGCATTAAAAAGTTGCTCTAAGTGTGTTTTCTTGGTCATCCTGATGTTGTCCAGGTACATAGACCTGAGTGTGCAGGGTAAAGCACTGAACATCAGCCCTCTGACTGAGAAGCTGCTGCATTACAAGGCCTGTCTGCACTTCTACGACACTTTGGATCGCTCCTACACAAAAGCCTCCATTGAATCCATTGAATCTATTTTATGACTGTCTTCACTATGATCTCTACTGTTGGCGGCGCTGGCGCTGCATGTTATTATGTAAAGATCTGTAACTTGGTGAATTGTGGGCTGAACTGTATAAATGAAATAAATATGAAAATATATTTGTTTTTGCAATCATGATGTAATAACTCTCTCTCTCTACATATATAATTCTGTTATCTTATTTATATATTTATTATCTTATTTATATATATAAAGAAACATGTCATGACCTTTACTGTATGTCACCAAGCCTTTATTTTTTGAGTGAATTAAATCAAATAAACAAGACATATCATTAGCAAAGCATTGTCCTTTGAGTTTATTAAGCTAAAACAAAGTCAGTCTGCTTGAAGGGGGGGGGGGGGGGGAATAAGCACAGCAGTAGTTACAATTATTGAGGATTAAAACAATGAAGACTTTAATTCTTATTCCAACTGTTGCCCTCCCACATACACATCAAATCATAACACTAGTTGAGTAAAAACACACAGACATACATACATAGGCATGGCACAGCATGCATGTTCCAAGTTCTCTTCATAATATAAGTTAGGCTACAAGTTACTAATAAATCATTTTTTGATCATGTGATCAATTTCAGGCTTGAAAGAAGATGATTATATTGTGCAGCTTAAAGAACAGAATAAAGAATTGAATGAATGATTTAAATGAAGTTTGTTGAACCACCTTGTGTAAAATAGCCTTTTATAAGTTAAAAAAAAGGTTTTTATGATTTAATGATTATATGTAAGAACCTTAATAATTGTGACCCTCTTTTTAACTGTTTTAAGCTCTCTGAAATGGTCAGACTCATAGAATGCATGTAAATGAATACATTTTATGAGCACCCTTATTGTTTTGTTTTGTGTCTTCTGGAGTTTATTAGCATTGCCACTGAGCAGGTAATAAATAATCCAATTTAAAACACAACTCTGAAAAGCTGATAAAAGGAAAACAACAATTGAACAACATCTTCTACACATATTAATAGTATTTCTGTGCTTTTTACTATCCCTGAATCATAAATACAGGGGAAAGTAGCTCAGGGTGTGGAGACTTGGTTTGGAAACTGGAGGGTCACCAGTTTGAGATTAGCACAGACCAGTCATACGGATTGGGGAGTGGTAGCTGGAGAGGTGCCAGCTCTGTGCATGTGTATAGGTCCAGTTTGTGAATGTGTGTGTGAAAAATAATAATAGATTGAAAAACAATCTTCTTCTAAATATCAGCCAGTCTTAACAAGCCAATCAACATTTAAAAAAACGCAGGCTGGCTTAGATGTTGCATATTTTCAGTGTTGAACCTAAATCAACAGAAAACCCCGGATAGAGAGGTTCAGTGAAGGTGGTCTGGATTTTGTGCAGCAGTGTCACTGTGTCAGTGCCAGAAACACTGTAGAAGGCCAGTGTTCCTGCTTCGCAATCAAGGTGCACGCCTATTCTTCGGGAGCGAGCTGGAGGAATTCGGCCTTTGTGAAGATTATTGTGCCAAAACGTGCAGCCAGACGAAGAGCAGATTAATTTCCAGGAGAGTTCATTGTGGCCAAAACAGCAATCTTTCCCTGAACCTTTTCTTTTAATGCCTTTGTACGACACGGCCAAATCGACAATGCCACCGTCCCACTTCACCTCCCAGTAGTGGCTGCTCACAAAGCCATTTTTGCACAGAGCCTGGTGAGAGCAGGTGAATCTGTCAGGGTGATCAGGATGAGCCTGGTCGCAAGCACCCCATGATATCTTTCTGTTTCCATCAGATAAGCATAGACATGCAGCTACTGTGTTGGGATCCACCTCCACTTTGGAGCCTGCAGAGAAAGATGAAACACTAAGTGTATTTGAAGTAGTTGAAGGTTCCATGTATGTTTGTGCAAAGCGAATTAACAAGATGCTCACTCTTGGTCAAAAGGTATCTCCTTGTTATTTCCTTATGCGACCTTGGCATTTTTGACACTGTGATAAAAACAACAACAACAACAACAACAAATGATCATTCTGTCTATTGACTAACAGGAAATAAACTGATCAGACCAGACTAATTATAGGATTTATAGGTCAAAACTAGTCACACTTACAGCATTTTCTTTCAGAATGACTCAATAATTCATTCTTTTCATTGTCGCACATATTTTTCAGTTTATCTTTCTGTGCAGTGACAAACTCTGTCAGCATGTCATGTCTCTCATGTGAGTGTGTGAACACAGGGAGGTCCCCCAGAGCCCGGAAACCCTGCAAATACAAGGCAAACAAATACACTGTGTGACAACAAAAAAAGAGCAATCATTTCAAAATTAAGCTGCAAAAATTTGCTACTAAATGGTAAAAAAAAATGCACTTCCAATGCCACTACCTGAATAAAATGAATGGGGTCATCTGTTCGTGAAAGCTGGTCCAGTTCATTTGCTCTCCTCCTCAGCTCAAACACTTCACGATTCAGTTGTCCGAGACGACTGTTGGTCCAGTCCACTCCAGCTTTCTCTGCTTCTCCAACTTTCTCTCTCATCTCAGAGCACTTCCTCTTCACAGACTGGACATATAAAAGGATGTCTTCTGCACACAGCCGCTCAAAGTCATCACACGCCTCCCATGCAGCATCCTTGTTGGAAACATATTTATATTTGTCATATTTGTCACATTACAGCATATTTTCCATAGTCCTTGGCTACTTCACAGTTCCTTTAATTATTTTGCAACACATAAGCAGTAACTGGATTTATCACAGGTTTAGTTTTTTGTGCAAATACAATGTCAAACACTTTAATAGTCTGTGACAGTGGTCTAGGTCAGGGGTTCCCAACCTGGGGGTCTGCGCCTTCCTTAGGGGTCTCAAGATAAATCTTAGTTGTCACAAACTGATCATAAAATCAAATCAAATAAATATATTCTACAACAAACAAATCTATATTCATTTTCAACACTTTATAAACACGTGTTATATTTATATATTTTTTAAATTTTCCTTCTGGTGTCTGTATGCAGTCTGCATTTACATAGCCTGGTTTTCTTCTTCTTTAAATAAAGACATTTTCTACCATTAAAAGTTTTAGTGGCATCTAGCGCTGAGGGTTGCAGATTGCAACCAGTGGCTTATGGCGCATTCATGTGCTTCTCAGATGGTCCCATTTCCCAAGTTGTGAAGTCGGAATGTGAAATCAACATGGACGCCACTACAAAGATGTGTTGGATTATCATTATCAGAGCTTATAAACAACACAGAGACATTTAGTTCAATCTACATGGACAGCAAATTAACAATATAACCATAAAGCAAAATATGCATAATTACGCAATACGTGACTTTGCACAATTCAAAGTTCTGTATACATCTTTATGTCCCATGCACACTTATTTCTGTTTTTGCAATGAAGGAAATTCATTATTATTATTAATCATTATCTGATTATTATTATTATTCTGACACCACATGAATGCACCATCAGTCACCACTCAGCCCTCCGTTTCCAACATAGACTGTATAAAAGAGGTTTTTGAAGCACATGGGGGAAGCTATGGTGGCCGACACGCTCTGTCCATGGGCATAAATTCCACAGTTTGGAGGACAATAAACATAAAATTTTTAGGCTGCAAGATAATAAGCAACAGGGATTATTTTATACACTCCAGGAAGGGTTTTTGTGCTTCACAAACATCACTCCATATAATAGTACATTATGATAATACACGCTCTGTAGTTAAATAGAAAGATATGGGGTTTCTAATTGTGTAGAGAAACATGTGATTGGTTAGTGACAGTCAGCTGCTAGAGGCATTGTGACACTTTTCAAAGTAAAACACAATCTCACACAAGGTACACTAACTGTTCCAGTGCAGTAGATGTTCCAATTTAGACTTCCCATCAGGCTGGCTTAAATGTTCATATTGAATCGAAAAAGAAAGCTCAACACGCTAATATGTGCATTTTATTAGACATACTTAGATCTTAGATACAGAATATAATATATGTTTTATGTTTTTGTCTTGATGTGCTTATGATTTGTCAGATGTTTTGTGTATTCATTTCATTTCAACATTTAAATGGTTGGATTCATACTGGGTCAGTATAGTAGGTTAGGAAGGCATGTGGGTGAAAGAAGTATGGGGTGCACATAAGTGAGGTGGGGACAAAAGGAGATGAAGAAGAGAAAGTTTAGAAGAGGTGAAGAGTGTGAAAGACCGTAGGATGTAGTCAGGTGGGGAGGAAGGAAAAAGAGATAATTCTCATATTTTATATAAAAATTAAAAAGTGTCTCTTCTGAGGTTGTTTTCCTACAAGAAGTACATTTAAAAAAAAATCAGTATTCTAAGAGCGAATGGGTGGAGAGGTTTATGCCGCCTCCCAGGGATGTCTCTAGGATTGAAAGAAAGGGGTGGTTGAGCCACCAGGGCATGCATAACTTGTGCTTGCAAAATCTTTGTTCTTTCATCTTTTGTTACTGTATTAGAACTACACTTAAGATGTTAACAGATATACAGCGACAGACATATTCTCTTCTTCCATTTCTCCTCTGTTGAACAAAGGTTATTGTAACGTTTAACCCCCACAATCTGGTTAGTTTGACCAGTGTGATCGCTGCATGCCGTGTCCGAGCCCACCTCTTCAAGTGGGCCCAGGCACGGCATGCATCTGGTGTGATCGTAAACCGTGCTCGAACACGGAACTGACAGAAACTCCACTGTGTCGTGCGAGAGAGAATGCTTTTTTTCTCAAATCTGTGCAGTGTTTCCCACAGAATGACAGCCTAACTGTGGCTGGGGGGGCGTGCTAACCTTGACTACCCAGCTGTGATCTAACGTTAACATAGCTATCCTTATTAGGCTCTTTACATGCTTGTTAATAACTTTTTTAAAACACTCTTTTGACAGCTTTAGATAGTTGGGCGTAATGTGATTTTGCTATGTAGTTTGGCCAGCATACAATAAATACTTCATCATGCAAGCTGTTGATAAGGATAATATTGAATTAAAGTGGCCACTGTCTGAATTCAATAACCTTATGGCAGAAGGAATAAAAGATTTGGAGTAACGATGACTATATGTATGGATGGATGATGTGTCAGTGTGTAGACCAGGTAAAGTTGCTCGACAGCTCAGCAGAGACACAGGCTATGTTCGAAACAGAAGGAAGTGGCCTCGCTGCCTCACTAGCGTAATAGCCAGGTGCATCAAAAGGCATTACTTTGGAGTGACGGCATCTCTGTTTACATTGGTTTCCAAAAGCCTTTTAGGACAGCATTTACGGCAATGTGTGACGTCAGCATGCCGTCTTGCATCTCTTCTGGCTGTCAGTCACTAGCCTTAGTATAAGCTAGCTATCTATTGAAAAGGCAAAAGGATATGATAGTTCAGTGTTTGGTAGGGCTGAACTCGAATAGTCGAAGATTCTGCGCTTTGATGGGCGGAGCCTGATTCGACTGTCAATCTCACCATCGAAGTTGCGCAGCGGCGTTATGAAACGAGGAGGAGTTGTCATGGTTACTACCCATAGAACGCCTGCAGTTTACTCGCGAAGTGCTTGTCTCCCCGTCCGAAATCACCTGAGGAGAGGTATTGAGAGTGATTTTAAGAACGTTCCTAAGACCGACATCTTCCCCAATACTAATCAGCATGGAGTGTGTAGCTATCCACTTCACTGTGGCATTTGATCGTTTGTCTTGCTTTTATCTACTTCTCCCACATGCTGCATCCAGCGTAGTCTGCCGAAGCCTCCACTGCTTGTTTGGGTGGGTGATTTGCAGGCTGATCAACTTCCCACCACTCCTGTGACCCCATGGTTCGACTGTATGTGTATTCAGAGCCAGTGAGCAACAAACTTTCAAAATAATAATAATAAAAACTGCGTTAACGTGCGATAAAATAATTGTCGCTGTTAATTAATTAATGTCCAGCCCTAATGAAATATATCCTTGTTTCTGATTGCACTACAAAAAGGAGAGATTTTCATTCGTACCCTTATTGTGAAACGTATACAGTACTGTGCAAAACTAGGCTGGTGTGGGAAAAAATGCTGTAAAGTAAAAATGCTTTCAAACGTAGACAACAAAAGGAAGGAACTCAGCAGGCAGGTTGGCCCAAACATCTTGGAGAACTCCCCACAGTCCTTCTGTGGATTTAGTCGGGTTGGGTATCGTTTAAAAATATACACTGTTGGGGAATTGGGAATTGCTGGATTGCTTCCCTGCTCTATATGAAAAGGGGAATGAGATGACTTTTTTCATGAATTGGTGCTGCATAAATAAAACTGAATACATTTCAAATACCAAACCTGGATTTTAACACTTATCTCGGCACGTAAAACTCCTGAATTCCAGAGTAAAAACAAATGGCTGCTTACAAAGACTCCCGAAAGACTTTAAATTAAATAATTAACTCTATTTTTATGTCAAAATGTATCTCTACAATAACTAATCTCCTCTATTTCACTGCTCATGCCTGAGCACCAGTGTTTGCTGACACTTAGATAAAATATGCATACAGTGGTGATGAAATGATAGGATAGGCTTTCAGCTGGCTAACTGCACTGGAGCAGTTTCCGCTGCGAGTTATGTGTGGGCAGACGTTCAACTAACTCCAAAGTTAGGAAATGGTACGGTCCATTTTAGGGGTGTCTGAAATCGTATTTCAATTTTCTTGAACATAAGGCATGAATATTATCAATATATTGTAATATTTACAATTACAGGGACGAAAAACCCACCTGAATTGTTTTTTTTTGTCTTCTGGGGGGGTCCAAGCCTTAATTAGGGGGGTGAGACTCCCCCAATCCCCCCCGTAATGCGAACCATGCGTTCTCATCTCAATGCGTCATTACCGACGCTTTCAGACAGCGTGACGAAGCGTAATTATTTTACGCTAAAGGCACCCTTCAGCGTCCGTATGTTCGGTTCCATTAGAAATAATGGTAAAATGACCCTACTTCTAATTTGAATAATTACCTCAGTAAACACTAATGCGTTTATGGTCTCAATCATTACTTTCATATCTTCTTCAACACCACATGATGTTCATTTAGTAAATTATGGTCTATGGTATAGTTGATTTTCTCTGGTGAGTACATTTTGTTTTAAGCGGTTCGCTAGACAAAATCATCATCCCGGTTAAAATGACAGTTAATGTGAATTACTGATGTACCTGGCTAAGCAACCTAGCTAGCTCTATAGGGAGCAGTTGTAGCCACAGTCCCAAATAAGGTCATGTCCTGGTTGCAAAAAATCAACATGGCGGCGCCCTAACGGCCAAACTCCAGGCTTCAGAACGGCAGTCCAGAAACCAACGGGTGACGTCACGATGAATACGTCCACTTATATACAGTCTATGAACGAAATGCACGCTGAAAAACCGTTTGTCCATTTGGGCTACTGTAGAAACATGGTGGACGTCCATGTAAGAGGACCCGTGGTTATGTAGATAGAAATGACTCATTCTAAGGTAATACAAACATAACGGTTCATTATGTATGGTCTTTATACAACACTGAAAACAGACATTTATATTATATTGCATGTCTGTCAATAGATCCTCCTAAATATTACACACTGGACCTTTAAGTAGTAAAAAACTAGGCTAGGCTCATGAATTGCTACATACACCACCACAGTACACATTAAATATTACATTGTCAAATGTTATGTGAAGAGTGTCTCAGGTTGTTTTTAGCATTATGTTACACTCTGTTGTCCTTGTGCCAACAGGCTGAATGGGAACTCCCCTGCAAGAAACTGTTGTTTCCTGTAGGGATGTTCAGGTCCACACAGACATCTTTGTCTACAAGTAGATAAGTTAACCCAAACTATGCTTTAAAAATAGACATTTATGAATAGAAGAAAAAGGATACTCATGTTTGTGTGTGACACTCACTCTTATACAGTCTGCAGCCTGCCTCAGATCTTCCATTTTGCTCTCTGAATTCAGTAGTCTGCCCTCAATATCCTGTTTAGTCCGCTCCAGGTGTATCTGTTGAAACACAAACCAGGGAGCTTTTCAAAACCTCAGTGATGCTAAAAGGACAGCTGACAAATGACCTCAGCGCTGAACTGAATTACCTGTATTTCACACTTTTCTGCTGCAACTGCCACAATGTCATGGCCTTTATGCTCATTCATCACACACAGCAGGCATAGGAACTGCTGATCAGTGCGGCAGTAGAGCTCAAGAAGTCTGTCATGACGGGCACAGATCCTGTCTTTGATCCGCGCAGAGGCTTGAATCAGACTGTGTTTTCTTAATGGTGGCACTTCAAAATGAGGCTTAAGATGAGTCTCACAGTAAGAGGCCAAACACACAAGGCAGAACTTGGAAGCTTTTCTTTTTCTCCCCGTGCAAGCATCACACTGCACATCATCAGATACAGCTTCGGTGTCACTAGCAGCAGCACTTTGACTATTTGACCTCTTGTGTTCCTCCAATAGGTCAGCCAGAAGTGTGTTCCTCTTCAGATCAGGCCTCAGGTAGAAAGTCTCCCTGCACTGAGGGCAGCTGTACGTTCTTCCTCCGTTATTATTTCTGTCCCAGAAGCTATTGATACATGTCTTACAGTAACTGTGTCCACAGGTAGTCGTCACTGGATCCTCCAGTACCTGTAAACAGATGGAGCAGTCGAACAGTTGCTCACTGTAAGCCATTTTCTCCCGCTCGAACTGAACTGACAGAGTTACTTTTATTTCCTCTGAAGGAGGAGTGGCTTGTTGACAGCTTGTTCTCAGTGGCACAGATATTGACTGTTTGAGTGCCAGTGGAAAACAAAGAGCACAGCCCCATTATCAGAGTCAAACATTTCACGGTTTCACTTTCTTCTTGAGTCGAAGTACTCAACTCAACTTTTGTAAAGATTAGGCCTATTTAATTTCACAAAAACTTTAATTATTTAAATTGATCAAATGACTACTTGTGCAGCAATTTGGTTGCTCATAGTGATGGATCCAAAGAACATGATTTGACTCTGCAGTTCCCCTCTGCTCTACATAGCATTTTAGTCTTTCAGCTCATTGTGTTGGTTCAATGGCCCGCAACTTTACTGTTTTGATTCATATTCACACCACTTAGCAGCTAAAGACCCAGATATTTCCCTAAAAGCAAATTGAATATTTGACTTATATTAATCAGGTGTCCAGAAACACGACTCTAAATGAATGCTGGTGTTGCTCCTTCTCCTTGTATGCTTGATGTATAAACACTTTCATATTGACTGTGGACATTTTGTGTTAACAGCTTGTTGGGCTCCCCCTGGTGGCCAAGAAAAAATATGATTTTGCAGTATTAAGGATAAGCACATTGTGTTTAATGGCAACACATTGCTTGATTAAAATAATGCGTCTGCAGAACTTCATTGACTCCCCAATGTGTAGGATATGAAAATGTATTTTTTTTTGCCGCAATTAGGCTTCAACAGCAACAGAGAATATGTGACAGATTGCACAGCATAGTGACAACTGCAGGACACCAATATTTCACTGGGATTGTTTCTCTCTCTCTTTATTTTTTTATTTTTATTTTTACAAACAAAATACTTAAAAAATTATAAGTTCACATAAAAATTCTGTCAGCTCTCTATAACATCATATTGAATGTATTTATTTGTTCGTATCACAGCTAGTGTGCTTCACAAAAGCCCATACAAATTTTGCCATAAACATTTATTTGAATCAACAAACCAGATATTTTATTCTTATTTAACTAACCCAAACAGCAGGAAATTTTATTGGCATAAATTTTTTGTAATTAAGTAACTGAGCCAATACTTATTGTACAATACCTCTAATTTTATGAAGCCATGTTTGTACCATTACCTCAACAAAATTAAACATTTTACCAACACTTTTTAAAAAATAATTATTCTACACTATTTAACACTTTAACCATCACAAGCAACAAAATGCTGAGTTTACCGCTGCAATAAGATTCATTACTGGATGGGAAACATGACACGTAAACAACTCACATCTATGTCATTATTATCTTCAGCCTTTTCACTGCAAATAATGAACATTTTAAAGAACTCAATCAAGCTTTAAGTTTAATGAGCAACGATCTCTGCTGATTAATGCACACACATGACAGGGCACAGAGACTCACTGTAATGGTGATGCTTCACTCAAGCCACCTTGACAGTGGGTGACCTTTACTTTTGAGATATTATCGTAACTGATGCTCCTCTGGAGACCATGAACCCAGGGTACAGAGGCTGGGAGAAAGTGGTCTGAACTCTGTGAAGGAGCATCATTTCACCAGAATCAGACACGCTGTAGAAGGAGAGGCTCCCTGCCTTATGGTTCAGATACACTCCTACAGTAGAGGAGCAGGTGATGGATATTTTGGTTTTGATTCCACCGTGCCAAAACGTGCAGCCAAAATTTGAAAGGGAAATGCACCAGGACTGGTCTGTGTATCCAAAGCCACTTTCTTCCAACTCTGGCCCTTTATAGCACAGAGCAACCTCAACCCTAGGCCCCCGCCATTCAACCTCCCAGTAGCAAACTCCAGATAAACCTTCAGTGCACAATACTTGGTCATATTTGGTAAATCTCTCTGGGTGGTTTGGATACCTCTGGGCTTTTTTAATCCAGGTTACCTTGCTGTTTCCCTCAGAAAGCAACAGATTTATAAATGCTGTGTTGGGATCCAAACTGAGGTGGCAGGAATCTGAAATGCAGAAGTTGCTATTATTCAGTGTGACGAGTGAAGGGCATTAGAAGGAAAGCACAGTGGCTGATTCAAACATATTTATGTTTCAACAATGACTCACAAAGTGAGAACTCCTGTCTTGTTTTAGGATCAGGATCAGCTTGAACTAAAAACAGAAATCATGACAGGATAACATTTAGGTAAACATAAAATATCATATAATTCCGGTAAATAAACATACATTTTTTTAAATAAAGGTGTTTTCTTACTTGTCTCAGATATTTCTGCAATAGTTTTTGCCATGTTTTCCATTGTGTCTCTCAAATTAGAAATAGCCTTCGTCACAAAGTCAAAAGGTGTGTGTAGGAGGATGCTGAAATCAGAGGACGCGTCAGGTTCCGGACAGTCAAAAATGGACTGGCAGCTCTAGAGACATGTAAACACAGAAACAGTACATAAACTGTAGCCCTGCTCAGTAAATGATCCATGCATTCGTCTGTCTGTGTACCTGCAGGAAATGAATGTGATCCTCAGTAAGTGACAGCTGCTTCAGTTCATCCTCATACTTTCTCAGCTCAGAGATCTCCTTCTCCAGCCGACCCACGAGTGCCTCAGCTCGACTCATTGCAGCCTTCTCCTGAACTCTGATCAGCTCTTCCACAGCACAACGCCTTTTACCCGCCATCAGGATGATTTCATCATAGGCCTTCTCATTTTGTTCAACTGCTGCATCTCTAGAACACTTGACAGTGGAGACGAATCTCAAATAATGTCAGTTACTTTCAAGGAAAGGGGTACAGAACACTTTATATTTAATTCAGCAAAGTAAAAGTGAAAGACAGTTCACCTGCAGTGATTTCATTTTCTGTCTCAGCTGCCTCAGCTGCTTCTCTTTCTCTTGTATTCCCTGCTGGTATCTTTGTTTTGTCTTTCCAAATTGTTTCTGAAAATAAAATCATATTGTTCACCCCTTTGTTTGCTGTTGACTTGTGTAGTGCAACACAATGGTGTGACACATTCATACAGTATAATGTATCATCATAAGGTACTAGTACAAAACACTATCTCAAACTAAGTGGAAATTGAAATTTAGATTCCACATTTCTTTCCGTACCAATATGACTCTGATAATTGCAACAGCACACTTACAACTGTGGCCAAAAATGAATATTCTTACTTGTTTCACTTTCCTCTCTGCTGCAGCCGAGACAGTCTCATGACCTTTGTGCTCATCCATCACACAAAGCAGGCAAATGCATTGGCCATCACTGCGACAATAGACCTCGAGCAGCTTGTCGTGCTTAGAGCAGATCTTCTCTTGTATGGAGGCAGAGACTTCTACCAACTTGTGCCTTTTGAACGCAGCAGATTCATAGTGAGGCTGCAGGTGAGTGGCACAGTAAGAAGCCAGACACACCAGGCAAGACTTGACAGCTTTCAGCTTCCTCACAGTGCAGAAATCACACTCCACATCCCCCTGGTTGACTTCATCCTTCACAAAAGGGGTGGGTTGTTCTGCCACTGACATTTTCCCTGTCAAATCAGCCAGCACTGTATTCTTCTTCAACACAGGTCTGGGGCTGAAAGTGTGTCTACACTGGGGACAGCTGTAAACACCACGACCCTCCTGGTCCCAGTAGCCATTTACACAGTCCATACAGTAGCTGTGGCCACAGTGAAGAGTCACAGGGCTTTTCAGTATATCCAAGCATATCGAGCAGGATAACGGATCAGGGTCTTTACAGCTCGCTGCCATCTTCATCACTGCTCTCTTTAACTTTCGTTTTCTCTGAAAGCAAAACTTGCTGTTAAATGGGAGTGACTTAACCTGTTATTGTGCCAGTGCTCTCGTCTCATCCCTTTAAAGTTCGTAATTTAGCACTGTGGTGTGAGAAAACAATGAATACAGTTCATTGTGATACGCTGAGTTATTTAAACGTTTTAAGGGACTAAACGAGGAGACAAATTGGGAACGAAGGACTCAACTGAGGAAACAAGCAGACACTTTTCATGCGAGATTTGAGCAGAACGCGAGATTTCTTTGGTATCCAAGGAGACCACGCTGGCAGCGTTGGATATCTTTGCAGGGAGGAAGAGGCGGTGTGTTTCTCCTCTGGTGATGTTTGCGTGTAGCAGGGAGCATTTTACACGATGGAGCTGCCGGGGACGATCAGAAAACGTTTAGAAGACTTTTCTCGGAATGTTTTATTTGACCAGAGTCGGACTCGGCCTCTCACAACAGAGAACGACACGTTTTTGCCACACGGTAAACTCAGAACGTAGCTAACGTTATCGTCAAACAACATTTACGTTAACGGAGCTAGCTAACTAGCGATAGGAGTGTGTTTGCCTCAACCTTAGTTCTGCTGTAACTGAAATCGGGTTATTTATCTAATCCATATAACGTTGTTCTGCGTTTTTGTTTTCAGACAAGCGGGTTTTGTCTAGTCTCCACCTCCAGATGTCTCTGTACTTTAACATGTGGTTCTTCCCCTTGTGGTGGATCAGTGAAACTGTAATGCTGCACCTGAAGGTAATTAACTTTAAGTCAAGGCAAAAAGAGAGGATGCAAGTAAATACAGAAGGGGTGAGGACGCCAATGTTGGTCATGTTAAATTCTCGAAATTAACCAACGGACAGTGTAAACGCCTGAACATCAGTGACCCCGTAATTATAATTACAATAAAAGTGTTTGTATATAGGAAGAAAATCATTAAATCACCAGATTTGGACTTCAACAGACCCTTCACATCGTCAGACTGCATGACTGTTGCTGCTGATCCTGAAAGTAAAAGTTAACTGTGTTTGTCCAACAAATGGACATGAATCTGCTCTTCTGTTTGAACAACAAAGACAAGTCATTTCTCCATCTTTTAAAGGAAAGGCCTGTAAAAATAAATACCAAACCAGCTGACATTCACAGTAATGTATCTTTATGTATCTGCTCTTCAGGATCATGTGACCACTTTGCTGCTTGCTTTACTTTAATAAACATCACACCATTTTGTTTAGATACTTTGCTCCTGGCTAGTACTGTGTTTTGCTTTTAAAGGTTACTACCAAAGTAATACATATTTTATAAGATAGTGAAGACTGTCAGGTTTAGCCCTAGAAACAAGTGAGAACATTTCACGTCATAAAGCCCCATTTTAATTAATCATTTAACTGCATTGTTGTAATTTTCATTTCATATCAGTATCCTGCCTTACCAGACTACTACAAATTCATCCTTGTCACTGTTCTCATCCTGATGACTCTGATCGAGGCCATCAGACTCTTTCTCGGCTATGCTGGGAACCTACAAGAAAAGGTAGTGCATCTCTCACACACACAGAGGTATAGTTGATGTAGAATGGGTCAACACACACACAAACACACACATACAAAAGCCAGAGGTTGTAATCCCTGTAATGTCTGTGTTTGTGGAAGGTCCCAGAGTTGGCTGGATTTTGGCTGCTGAGCATCCTGCTGCAGTTTCCACTAATCCTGTTTCAGCTCTTGAACGAAGCCATTCTCATCCAGCCCCTGGAGAGGGGCGTTCACATAGTTCTCGCCATTTTCATACTCACACAGGTACAATAACATTCCTCTTAAAAACAGACTGTTGTGGTTTCTGCATATACATAAATACTGTATATTATGTTGTATGTTTTCTAGATTGTATAATTTGGTGAGTATAATGTAAAAATGTTTTTATTTCTCACTGATCCAGGCCCTCTCTGGTTTTGTAGCGCTCCGGGAAATGGTCAGACACACAGAAAGCCAATTTCATCTCAGACAGTTTGACTGAATTCTGAAGCTTGGATGTCCCTGCCACATCTTAACACACGGGGACATACCATGATGTAACATATATCATATACTTCACACCACCCAGACTCAGAGGCTGATGACAAAAGATTATGTGGCACTTTTTGTATTACATGTAGTACTTTGGATATTTCCTCCCCATGATTTATTTTTGTATTTTATTCACATTATATTCCACTGGATTGTACTGTTGTTTTTGCAGTGTTGCAATAAATAAAATCTTAAAAAGCAGCAGCTTGTGTCTCATTTATCAGACAGCTAATGTAATGCACCACAGACTTTGTGTCGGTGTACTCTCCAAGCATAAAGACAATATCAACACTGCAGAAAGTAGATTACCACTGTCAACATTATGCAGAAATCTGTTTTATATTACATCACAATTTTAAAGGGGACACATAATTAACCATCAAACTAGGAGCTATTTTCAAAAACTATTACTAGAGGGTTTCACTTCTGTCTGTATGCAGTTTGAGCTGTGTCATGATGTGTGTGTGAGTAAGGTAATAAACATCTTGTCCCAGCATATCTGTCGTTTAACACCTGAGGTTTACGTCACTGGCCAGACAACAGAGAGATTAGAAATATTGTGCCCTACAGTGGGGCAGACTGTGATGATCTTTTGACCACTGGAGCCTTAGTCATTTGGCTTTCTCTTCCAGAGTGATAAGGCCTGATGTCCTTCGCCTGAAGCCTAGCGAGAGTGTCACTCTGTGGACGTGCAAGTTCCATCTTCATGAGGCTTGAAGGCTTTGATGGAGGGAATAACACACCGAGGTGCCTTTTGTCCCCCAAAGTCTCTTTGCACAGTCTGATGAAATTGAAAAAGCATAAGGAGCACAGAAGACCACTGAAAGATCATAAAAATTTAAAATGCATAGTGCTTGTCTTATCACAAAGATCAGGGCTTGTGTCTCAATTTTTGAACTGCCAGGGCAACCTGAGCGTTTACCAGAAAGAGAGAACGACAGATGAAGAGAGAGAGCTCAAGAAGATTAAAATGTAATTTACCGTTTTTCTCTTAGGTCTGCACTCCTCAGCACAGGCACAAATAAATTGCTGCGTGATTCTATTTCTCTCGTGGGGATGTCAAGACGAAGATCTCTCTGGTTCTGCTCTCCAAATGGTATACATCTCACCAGTGACAAACCCACTGAATAAATTACAAGATCAGGTAACAAAGAGGAAGGTTATGTAACAGTGATAAAATAATCAATAATTCCATTTCATATATCAGTATAATTTGTGCACATATGAAACCTTCTGAGGAATCTTCTTCGTGCTCCACATTCTGCCGTTTGGTCTTGGTTGTGTCTGCGTGTGAGGTGGAGGAATTCTTAGGCACAAAGTAACGCTCTGAGACCCGTAAAGATCTTCTGTCTCTAAAAATATGCCGGCCGTTGAACTTGTCAGCGGTGAAACATGACACCAAGCGCTTTGTTGGCATAATGTCTGGAACCATCATGACACACATGGATGAGGGAGACCTGCCAAAGAAGAGACATTTAGTGACTTTGAACATACCTCAACAGTAGTTAATGTTCCATGCATTGATAAGGATACAAAGTCTGTGTGAGCCTTACCTGTGGGGCGCCGTAAGGGAAGGCGGCAGCCCTGAAAGAGACGAGGCAGATTTGAATTGACTGAGGTGATGATGAAACTTTTGACTTGATCAATGAATGAATGTACATGCAGACAAACCTCTGTAGACATTATAGGAGATGAGGGATTGTCTGGGGCAGTGATGCAGTTGCTGGTTGGAATGAATGAAATTCGGTGAAGATGGAAGGAGAGCGCTCAGGTGCAACATCTGAGAGGAGCATCTCCAGTGTCCTGTATCCATCCCTGGGTCACCTGTGACAGAAAATAAAGCCCACTGTTCACTGCTACACAAGATCTTTCCTAATGCATTGGTGGTTCAAAACACTTCGCCTTTACCTGCATGAGACTTATCTATATATTAGAAAATTAAATTATTTAAAATATATTTCCTGAGCCTCTACCAAACTTCAAAATATAGTAGGAAGCCTGAGCCCCCAAAATGAAGGCTACCTGCCTGACATGACACACCTGTGTATGTGCCGAGATGTGGACAGGCTTTTGCCCTGCGACGCAGGAATGCAGCTTTCATGTTTTCCAGACAGTTGTCCTAAAATGCAGAAAATATCCCAAACTCCAAGTCAGAATTACAAATTGTGTGCTGTTGCTTTAAGTATTACAAGAAGTTATGACCAATTTTGTGCTGATAATCCAACAGATTGGTAGGTGATTTTGAGAGACAATTCAATCTGGATCATCTTTACCTTGACAGGCTCGCAGCCCTGCCACAGAGTCACCTGGCTGACCTCCCCAGTGTGAGTGGTGGAAGGAGGGATAACAGCTTTTCTTATCAGGCCGTTTACCTTCACAAAGACAGAAATATTAATAAGAACAGCTCAGGAAATCTTCTTGCTTCTTTGTCTGACTTATTCACACTCTCTCTGCATCATACCTGCCATTTCTGCCTGTGTCTTCCAACAGGCCTCTCTTGAATGCTGTCCTTAACTGTGTCCTCATGGGGTAGGTTGGACTCCTGTTGGCCAAGCAACAAAAATCAAAGACTGTTGTGCCCACATCTTTACAGAGATCTGCCCCAATCAACCTCCCAGACCAAGCACTCGCTGGGCAGAGTGTGCTCCTAGATGTCAGCACAAGACTCCAGCAACAGGCGAAAGGCAGGGTACACCCTGGACAGGTCGCCAGTCCATTGCAGTCAGCATTCTCCTCAGATGCAAATTTTACAAATGCACTGCAAAATGTTCTGGTGTATACATGTATGTATATATGTATTTAAATAGCTGAACTGTATATATTGTTTTATATGTTACCGTATTTTAATACACATTAATCTGTTAAGTTCTGTGTGCGTAGCATGAAGGAACTACAAACTTTCTTTTCGTTATACAACCTTGTGTTGTATAATGATAAATAAACTACCTTGTAAACCTTGTAAACTCCTGCTGTCACTAATAAGTCTTCAGTAACACATTAACCAGACAAGGGTGTGCATTAATTAATGGGTCATTTTGTTTCTTACAATATTTTTGATGTTGCTTTGCAGGACCTTTGGCTGTGTGTTACTCTTCGCTCTCTCTGGTCGCAGCCTGTTCCTCTCTTTATGACTCCTCAAGCGTTTCTTTTTCTTCTTCAATGCACTTTTCTGTGGAGGAGACCAGGAGCTTGTGGTAAACTTTTACATGTACAATAGGGGACATGATTCAAAACAGATTTTCATATAGGAGCCCAAGGAACACCTGATCCAAATGTGATATTAACCTTACAGAGATAATAAAGCACTCACGTAAAAAACATTATTCCACGGGAGAGTAGATTTATGTTTACCTCTGGTTGGGCAGTCTGGTTCAGTAAATGCACTGGGAGTCCGTCAGAATCTGAACTATTTGAACCACTGGTGCTGTGAAAGCAAACAAGAGATATTCATATTCAAGCTGAATGAGAACACATTTTATACTTATCCCATATTGCCCAAGACAGGTTTGCATGACAATTTAAAATAATAATAATAAATGCCTGTATCACCTGGTTTCCAGGCCTGACACAGAGATGTTACAGTCAGTGCCCAGATCTTTGCCCATTCTCTCTCTGACCTCCTTTCTCAGCAACGCTGCCAGCTCTGTCAGACAGTAAGTGGTCTGAAAAAAATCCTCACATTTAAATAACAGTAACATAATTATCCAATGAAGGTTAAAATCAAGGGGCAACTGGACTTGGTTGAAGATACTGGAAGACGTCCAGTATCTTCGTACAACGGTGGATTCTACAGACAGAAGCATGGCTGTGCCATGGGCTCACCGGTATCCCCAATTGTGGCAAACATCTACATGGAAGAAGTGGAGAATAAAGCCCTCAACTCCTTCAGAGGAACAGCACAGAGCCACTGGTACAGATATGTGGACGACACCTGGGTCAAAATTAAAAGCCAGGAAGTGCAAGCCTTCACAGAACACATCAACTCTGTGGACAGTAACATCAAGTTCACACGAGAAGATGTTCACAACAACAGTTTGGCCTTCCTGGACTGCGCTGTACACATTGAAGAGGACAGGAGCCTGCAGATTGGTGTTTACAGAAAACCCACACACACAGACCAATACCTACTCTTCGATTCACACCACCCACTGGAGCACAAGCTAGGGGTCATGAGAACACTGCACCACAGAGCGGAAAACATACCAACAAGCGCCCAAGCCAGAGAGAAGGAACAGAACCACCTGAAGGGGGCACTTTTATAGGAGAGCCTTTCCCGATCTTATTTGACTTTATTTTATCCCTTTTATTTGATTGTATTTTATTAATCTTATATTAATCTGTATTTTAGTCTTTTCAATGTTTTCATGCTCTTATCTTGTTTTTTTTGTATTATTCTTTACACTTGTTAAAGCACTTTGTAACTTGTTTTGAAAAGTGCTCTACAAATAATGATTATTATTATTATTATTATTACTTACAGCCTGTGGATACCCTAAATGGACCTTTGTGAAAACAGCCACAAGATCCAAGAAGAACAAAACTACAGAGGAGGAGGAAAAGAAGGTCAAAAGCAACAACATTGTGATTCCGTACGTGTCTGGAGTATCAGAGAAACTCAGGAGGATTTTTAACAAACATAACATCCCTGTATTTTTTAAACCCAAGAACACGCTAAGACAGATGCTGGTACACCCCAAAGACCGCACACCCAAACACAAGAAAAGCAATCTAGTGTATGCGGTCCAATGCAGTGAGGAATGCACAGACCTGTATATTGGGGAGACTAAACAACCACTACACAAACGCATGGCTCAACACAGAAGGGCCAACTCCTCAGGTCAAGACTTCTTACGTCTACTTACATCTGAAGGACAGAGGACACTCGTTTTAGGACCACCAGGTGCACATTTTAGACAGAGAAGATGGATGGTTTGAAAGAGGTGTCAAGGAAGCATCTACACCAGGGTTGAGAAGCCGTCATTGAACAGGGGAGGGGGTCTACGCCACCACTTATCCCCCCACTTACAATGCTGTCCTTTCATCACTTCCCAGGAAACTCTACAAACGTAACCTATTGGCCTCAGGTGAAGATACCAACGATGGTCGTTCAGTCTTGGCCACAGGTAGTCTTAACGACTGTAACGACTGTCGTCACAGCAACAAGGAACACTAACGAACCAGCGGTATCGATGACCCGGGATAACGACCCCACTGAGGTTAAATAGCTGAGTTTCCCTGCCAGTCAGTCAGAACTGAAGAAGTCCTTTGGATGAGGGACGAAACGTCTTCCAGTATCTTCAACCAAGTCCAGTTGCCCTTGATTTTAACCTTAGTTGGATAACTATGACCTGGATGACTGAGAATCTTCATAGACAGTAACATAATTCCAGCTTTAATTCCAGTAGGTAGGTATATTTTGGGGCATGCAGTGTTTCCTTTGCTTGGACTGAGATAAAGCTCCAGTGATGGAAGGAGCCTACATTTCCATAGAAATTGTCATCAGACATGCTGCTTTCTCTCTCACCTTTGTTGGATCAGGGTCACAGTAGTCCAGCAGGGTGTCACAAAAGCAAAAGCCAATGGACTTCAGGTCTCCAGTAGCAAAATGTGTTCCTCTCCTGTCACCTACATTCAAACAAACAAATTATCCTCATGCAAAGGACTTCCAAGCGTACACACACAAACACACATTTGGAAAGTCTAAACTCACCCAGAGTGGATCCTCCGAAGGTGGCCTCCATAGTGTAGCTGTTTTTGATGCCAAGTCTCCACATGGCGATTCGTCCTGTTCCCTCTTTGCTCTTCTGCACCCGGAACTTACAACTCTTAAAGGAGAACTAAGGAAAGGAGTGATTTAGAAGGAGTTGAAATGTTGAGTATGCACAAATGAACACTAAGGAATAAACACTCACAAGTCCACAAAAACGTAGAGAGCCCGCTGTTATTCTTTACCTTGTTACTGGCATTCTTACTCATCATTAGCGGAAAGACTCTCTCATGAAGCTTCTGCGAAGCATCACCTCGGTTGTTACAACCGTACATGAAGACATTGTTTTTACGGTTGTGGCCATGAAAGTCACAGTAAAGAACAACATCTGTCTCAGTCATCAGCCTGGGGAAGAAATGTGGCATTAGAAGCCAGAGAATTTTGTTCAGAATAGATTGTGGAAGATTTTGGAGACAAAAAGAGAGAGCATGCAAATACAGTGTGAACCATGTTCAGAAAGTTACTTTGAAAGTTTCATTTTAAGACACAAGTCAAGTTAACACACAGCTACCCTTAAAAGAAGTTTGTATGTATGTTTGTAACTATGTAATAAAGGCAGATATGCCAGGAAAAAAAGTTGATGATGATGGCATCATAATCTGATTTATGTCATCCATCAATCCAGCCATTTTCTAATCTGCTTATACTTTTAAGAATAGTAGGATCCTACTGGCATAATATGCACAATATGTAAAGAGAAAAATAAGTAGTAATAGTGCATGTAGTTAAGTAATTCCAAAGTTGGACTTCTTTCTGCCATAAAGTCTGGGAGTAAATGCAAACTAAATAACGCAACGTGTGTTCATTGCAAAGAAACGTGCAGTAAGTGTTCATTTTGTTCTCATAATATCGCTGATATAATTTGCTGATGCTGTCTTACCTTTCCACCATGTTTCGGGTGTGCCACACACAGGGAAAGGAATCCCTGAGCAATGTCTTGTAATTTCTGTTGAGGTCCCTGCCTGCCAGAGAGCAGCGGTAATTGCCTACCACCACACCATCTGGGTTCAGCATCGGTACCACCTGCAGCCCCAAAAAACAGTGTTTCGAAGCAGTAGACAGCATTATAACATACAAAAATCACAACACAACCTCATTCTATTCATTTGTCATCTACTTTATAAAATACCATTCAACTGGAATGTATCATCATGATAATAAGACTGAATGAGGCTATGAGCATGAGGACCCTCACCTTAAAAACAAAAGTGTCTCTGAGCAGCTGGGCATCTTCTGAGTACCCGAGCAGAAAGTCTAGAAACCCCTCCATCATCCAGGACGAGTTGGTTTCTCCAGGGTGCACTCGGGCCGTCACCACAACAGCCTTCTTGGTCCTGCCCTCCACCCTGCTGCCCTCCCGGGACGTTATTGTCACCACATACACAGCATTCCCAGCAAGGCTGTGGCACAGCACCCGCAGTGTACAATAAGATGCAACTGCTGGGTTGGAAGAAATGCGCCTAAGGTAGCGCTGCAGGTGTGAATAGGTGTAGGGATAGCAGTGGGCCAGGTAGCAGGTGTCCGAGTCACAAGGGAACTGGAGAGTCCAGGTGAGTGAGTACAGGGCATTTGTGTCGCCATTGTTGTCCCTTGTATTCTAAATAGAGACAGAGATAATGATAAAGACATAAAGACAAGTAAAGGTTTTCTGTGACAGATTATCTACTTAAAGCAAGTTTAAAATCTCTGCAACTTCAATTTAATTCCATATTCACACAAACTGTAAATGGCTGGAAAAGTATGAAATGACCCAGTAAGTTACAGTGTACTGACAAAAGCCAGTCAAGATGCCATTTCCATTTTCCGATGTCTGATGTCACTTACCTGGTTGCAGTCACGGTAGTATTTGATATTGGAGCCGGTGCGCTGCCATCCAACACCTTTCTCCTTGGCTGCCCTCTCAGAGTAAAGGAGTGGTCTCATACCCTGAGAATACAGGCTGCTGCTCTTCATTAAGTTGATGATAGTGAAGCGGTAGTTCACCCCAGCCTTCATGTTCCTGACCCTGAAGTAAAACCACTGCGTATGCTTTCTGGTGTACATATCTGTGCGTAGGGTGAGCTCGTACTCATAGACACCCCTGAACAGGGAAGAAATATGGGGAGAGAGAAAGAGAGAGAGAGAGAGAGAGAGAGAGAGAGAGAGAGAGAGAGAGAAATTAATGAAATGTACACATTAATGAAATGTATGGCCAATAAAGCTAATTTGAATTGAATTGAATTGAATTGAATTGAGAGAGAGAGAGAGAACGTAGAACCACAGTAAAAACTAACGGGGATGAAAATATAATGGTGAAAAAGCTTCAGACACTCACACTTGCACAGCCTTCTGAAGGTTCCCACTCTCAAAGCGTGACTCAAACTCAAGGGTGAAGTCTGTCTGGTTGATGTCATGAGAAGTGGTGCTCTTAATCGGCACCCTGCATCCTCCAACACGAGAGCAGGTGAAATAGGGACGCTTAGTGGCTTGGAAGAGTGAGAAAAAGAGGACAAGAGTGAAAATCAAAAGCTAAATTCGGCTTTCAATAAAAATTAACTTTTTTCAGAGAGCAAATATATCATATATTTCGAAAATGATTAATTGTTAATACAGTACTTATATCACAGGGAGATTGTTATTTCAATATGAAAAAAAAAAAAAAAAATGCAAATAGAAATGTATGCAGCCCTTAAATTCATGTTTGCAGGGGAAGCTGTGACACGAAGTAACTCAAAGCATTGGGTATCTATCTATCACTATCTTACGTTCAGAAAAATATATTGACACCACCGTGATGACTAATAATGTACTGCATAAAAGGCCATTGGTGTCAAACGTTACCATGGTCACTGCAGTATACCACTTTCCCCATCTCCTCTCCAACTGGCGTAGGTGTCCTCTCATGTCCTGTGGGCTGGTAGAAAGGTTCTGGCTCTGGGGGCTCCCACTCTACAACACACATTCTTTTGGTGTCATTACATATTAACATCACCAGAAAAAGTTCAAACTTTGTTTAATTTTTTTACTCCTTAAGACTGGATATGTTTTGCCAAAAACATCTCCTACTCTTGGGCTGATTAACACCATCGTTAAGCCTTTGTGCATATCAGTAACATATTTACTAATATAAAACATTTAATTACCTATGTGATGGATAATGTCGGTGATGACTTCACACTCTATGGGCCAACGGGGGCAGCAGATAGATGGGAAGTTAACCAGGTCCAGCGGTGCTCTGAGACTCAAAATAGGTCGGCCACCATCAAAGTCTACAAGCAGCTGCCTGGTCCGCAGAGTCTGATTTAGGTTTATAGATACTGAGTGGGGACATGAATCACACATTCAGAAAATGTTCTTTCATACTCTTGTTCTTCCAGGGGTGCACTATGAATACACATTTTTCATCAGGTCTGCCCCTTTACCTCACCTAGACTAAACAAGTGTGTCCATTTAAAATGGCATTGTGCTGCTCCTTACTGCTTTATTTATCTCAGTCACAGGAGGTCTTGTTTAATACATAATCATCTAGTAGATGTCATCTAGAAGGAAATGTGATAAACATGGTAGTGTTTACCATGTAAACTATTGTGTTTACCATGTTTACCACGTTCCTTCCCAACAGGAAAACCCAACCCTGTGCATTACAGCCAATAGTAGGATTCATCAAACATGAGACAGCAGTGTTAGATCAGACTGAACAGCAACAGGTTACAGTAAGGCTACATACATTATACATGCACATCTTATCCAAGTGCAGCCTATGTGAAAACAGCTTACACCGCCTCCTCCTTGCAAGTTCCTCCTCATCTTCCTCTGTGTTGGAGTCATTGGTGTCCGATTTGTCCAACTGGCAGGTATTCCACCAATTCCTGATGGCAGAGACAGCCATCGCTGATGTTTTCTCTGCCTGAGTGGAAAAATGTAAGCCATCAGTGTTGTATCATAATTACTCAGTCAGAAGTGTATTAGCCTGGCCAATGTATCTACCAACGCTTACTCAGGATAATACAAAGATGTATCATCATGAACTAATATGGCTTTTGGAAGACAATTCCATTGTTTAGTCTTTTCCCACATTAACACCAATGAGTCTACAAGTTGAAGTAGTCTTACAAGTGCAAGTAATCTAACAGATTAAGCTTTTCAGACATGCCTATGCTCCTAGAGCATAGGCATGTCTGCAAATCAACAAATCAAATGCCGGACAGATATCTTTGAAAAGCTGATATTGGCCAATAATGTCACTGTATCTCATCCTCTGCTGTATCTGTGCTTCTAGTTATCGTTAACCGAAACATTTCTTATATCCTGAGCACTGTATCGCTCATTAAAAAAAAATAAAAATATATATAATAAAAGACAGGAAAAAACAAATCATGTGTGACAAAACTCACAGGTAAGGTGTCGAGGGTGGAATTTCTCACAGGCATCTTAACTTAGCTGCTCTCCCTTTGCCATTAACTAACGTTAACGGTATACCCTCAAGTTACCGTAACGTTAGCTCCAACACAACAGCGCACATAGCAGTAACGTTAACGATGTTACAATGTCCGTCTGCAGCACACAACAGGTTTCCTGATATTTCTGACGTTAACGTTCGTTAAATCCAGGTTTATCACTTTTTCAGCCCGCGGTTTTCACGAAGTTAAACCACATCCATGAATCATGACTGTTTTCACTCCCGCTACAGCCGAATTTAGCAATGTCTGACAGCCACTACCGTACTTTACATAAAAAAAGCTTTTAGGTACATAAGAGAAACAAGCAAACTTAGAGGATTCTACGAGCGGAAAAAATCTTTCACGAAGTAATGTTGCCAAGCAACCGACTGTCTCAACAACACCGCGGTTGCCACGGAGATGCCGTACACAGTATGCTGCTCTCGACACAACTTGTCGTAAAAACTTGGGAATGGTGCTGAGGATAATGAACATAACGGAATAAACTGCTGTTCAACAGTGTAATGCTGTGTTTGTGATTCATTTATTATGAGTATTACTTGTCATTTTACTAGAATTATAGAAACCAAGCTACTCATGTATAACAAAAATGTATTAAAATGATAATAGTTTATGTAATGTGATAGTAAAGTCTATTCAAGTCAACATGTTTCTTTTTGAATTAAAATATAATAACCACATAAAAAGATGACTTTGGAAAAACAGTTTAATAACTTTTTACAAAATGTACAAGTTCAGTGATGTTCCCTCCCGTTCCAAAAAACATGGCATATCCCATTATACATTTTATGTACATAGCTGTAAAAATGATTGATAAAATAGACAATCCTCCTAACAAATTGTGGTGGTCAACTTCTTGGGGTCTATACAAAATGGTGAAGTATTTGTTATGAACTTCAAGACATTTGGCACATTTACAACAGTGGCTACAGAAAACAAGATAAGGACATTCAACCCCCTCTGGTGAATGGCCTGCCATGTAAGGGCCTCTAAATGTCTCCATCATGAACAAGGACAATGATAAAGACAGTCCATGGATCATTAAACAAAACTTTAGCTGGAGAAGGATGACCTTGTGGTAATGGTTGGAGTATATGTAAAAAAAAATAAAAAAAATAATAATAAGTTGCCTGGGCGGCATGTGAAGCAGGCCGGATGTTACGTGGAATTGGTCACCTTCCGTTTCTTCAATCGCTGCCGCCAGTCTTCAGGAAGTGCTTCGAAGTTGGCATTCTTCGAAGCTTTTCCGCTGCAGAATAAAAAAAAAAAAAAAAAAGGGTCCAACAGTTGGGGTTATCATGAAGGGAAAATCTCAGAGGAACAGTGTAGCTACATCCATTATCATCATCGTCAATAACTAACATTTTTGTCTATTCAAACATACGTCATTAATTGCTGTTGCTTCCACTCCTCGATACTCTTCTTGTTAAGTTGCTCTCTGTCCTCATCACTGGAGCTGCTCTTCTCTTCCTCATCCAGCTCCTTCTGGATGCTCTGCCACTTCTTCACCAGGGAAGGCATTTTGATCTTACTCTTCTTTGACTGCAGAGACGTTGGAAGAAAACATTACAGGTGCTGGTCATATAATTAGAATATCATCAGAAAGTTGATTTATTTCAGTAATTCCATTCAAAAAGTGAAACTTGTATAATGTATACATTCATTCCACACAGACTGATATATTTCAAGTGTTCATTCCTTTTAATTTTGATGATTATAACTGACAACTAATGAAAACCCCAAAATCAGTATCTCAGAAAATTAGAATATTGTGAAAAGGTTCAATATTGAAGACACCTGGTGCCACACTCTAATCAGCTAATTAACTCTAAACACCTGCAAAGGCCTTTAAATGGTCTCTCAGTCTACTTCTTTAGGCTACACAATCATGGGGAAGTGAACTGCCGACTTGACAGCTGTCCAAAAGACGACCATTGACACCTTGCACAAGGAGGGAAAGACACAAAAAGGTCATTGCTAAAGAGGCTGGCTGTTCACAGAGCTCTGTGTCCAAGCACATTAACAGAGAGGCGAAGGGAAGGAAAAGATGTGGTAGAAAAAAGTATACAAGCAATAGGGATAACCGCACCCTGGAGAGGATTGTGAAACAAAACCCATTCAAAAATGTGCGGGAGATTCACAAAGAGTGGACTGCAGCTGGAGTCAGTGCTTCAAGAACCACCACGCACAGACGCATGCAAGACATGGGTTTCAGCTGTCGCATTCCTTGTGTCAAGCCACTCTCGAACACGACACAGCGTCAGAAGCGTCTCGCCTGGGCTAAAGACAAAAAGGACTGGACTGCTGCTGAGTGGTCCAAAGTTATGTTCTCTGATGAAAGTAAATTTTGCATTTCCTTTGGAAATCAAGGTCCCAAAGTCTGGAGGAAGAGAGGAGAGGCACAGAATCCACGTTGCTTGAAGTCCAGTGTAAAGTTTCCACAGTCAGTGATGGTTTGGGGTGCCATGTCATCTGCTGGTGTTGGTCCACTGTGTTTTCTGAGGTCCAAGGTCAACGCAGCCGTCTACCAGGAAGTTTTAGAGCACTTCATGCTTCCTGCTGCTGACCAACTTTATGGAGATGCAGATTTCATTTTCCAACAGGACTTGGCACCTGCACACAGTGCCAAAGCTACCAGTACCTGGTTTAAGGACCATGGTATCCCTGTTCTTAATTGGGCAGCAAACTTGCCTGACCTTAACCCTATAGAAAATCTATTGGGTATTGTGAAGAGGAAGATGCGATACGCCAGACCCAACAATGCAGAAGAGCTGAAAGCCACTATCAGAGCAACCTGGGCTCTCATAACACCTGAGCAGTGCCACAGACTGATTGACTCCATGCCACGCCGCACTGCTGCAGTAATTCAGGCAAAAGGAGCCCCAACTAAGTACTGAATGCTCATACTTTTCATGTTCATACTCTTCAGTAGGCCAACATAAAAATCCTTTTTTTGTATTGGTCTTAAGAAATATTCTAATTTTTGGAGATACTGAATTTGGGATTTTCATTAGTTGTCAGTTTTAATCATCACAATTAAATGAAATAAACATTTTAAATATATCAGCCTGTGTGTAATGAATGAATATAATATCCAAGTTTCACTTTTTGAATCAACTTTTTGATGATATTCTAATTATATGACCAGCACCTGTACACTGCAGGTTATTTTGTATTATATGTAATCATTAAATTACATGGATGACTTGACTATGTAGACTTTACAAAAATCCAAGTAAAGAAAAGCAATTCAGATTGGTTTCACACCGGAAAAAATAAGATACTTAAACTTCTAACATGTCTACTGAACTCCTTTGAGATTTGTGATGGAAAATGTTAACTCCCGTACTAACCTTATCCTTTTTCGCTTTTTTGGTCTTGTCTGTGGCCAGTGCTTTGGCTACAGGAGCTTCGAAGGGCGGCTGGGATGGTGGCAGTGGTGGTTGAGGAGGTAGGGCTGGGACAGGTGGGAGGGGAGGTTCACAAGGGACCAAAGGGGCAGTGACAGCCGGCACGCCCCAGTAGGCAGTTGCTGACATTAGAGGAGCTGCAAACAAAGAGAAACCTTTATTGGGTAAACATTGGATGTTGCTAAAAGTAGTGCAATTACTAGTTTGAAATACAGATGTTGTGTAGTGAAATTACCTGCGCTGGCAGCAGGTTGGGTGTAGAGAATGGGACTGCTGCCAATAGTAATGGCTTTATTCAGTTGACTGATTTTACGTTTCTGACCCTTCCCCAAGGAACCCGAAGACTCCACAATCTGTGGGAGTGACAATAATATAATATAGGTTAGCAGCTGCTGTCCTCTTAATCTGATTTTAGCAGCATTGCCAGGTACACTATCAACAGGAGTACACCAATTAAAGAAGAAACGTGATCAACTCCACTACCTTCATGGTAGCAGTGCCTGGAGGTAAAGGAGGCCTCCCGCTGCCGTCTTCCTCAGTTCCAGGGGCTGGAGGCTCCCCATCATTATCATCATCCATCTCCATCTCCACCTCCATGATCTCTCCATCGCTGTCAGGAGGGGGAGGAGGTGGAGGTGGTGAGCCCGGGGGGAGAGGCGGGGGCGGGGGATAGTTTGAAGGTGGAGGTGGGCTGTCAGGAAGAGGAGGTTGAGATGGGGACCAGAAGGATGATCCACTGGGCTGAGGAGGCACCGGTGGGGCAGCAGGGGGATAGGTAGAAGGTTCTGTTAAAAAAAAAATAAAAAGGCAAAAACATGGGGTGTTAGTGAGGAGCAATTTTTGGTTTACTGTACAAATGAGAAACACACGTACAGGAACAGAATAGAAAAACATTTCATTAAAGCAGACACTTAAAGAGGATAGTCAAAGGAGCAGCAACAGTAGCAATAGACTGACCTGTGACCCCACCAGCAGATACAGATGATGTTTTGGTGTCTGGTGTCTGGGTATCTTGGCTGCCCTTAAGGTCCTCATCCTTGTCCTCCTCTGTTGGGAAATCCCACTGGGAGGCACTGGTCCGGTCGTTCACATAGAAATATCGCCTGTGCTCTCTAAAAAGTGGGACAACAGAGATAGAAGGCAAGAGTCTCAAACGACTGGCCGAGCGACTGGCTGAGTGGCATGATACCCTGGGACAGTGGGGCAAGGAAGTGGACATAATAGCCACAGTAGGGGGCAGGAGTGTTGGTATGGACAGCGACTTTAGCCGTCCAAATGAAGGGCCCAATTAGAGTGTTGTTATGGGGAACCCACCTTGCTCTCAAAAACAAAGAAAGCAAAACAAATCATCTCTAGGTCCTGAAAGTAGCATTCAGCAGCTCACACCATGGTTGTCAAATTTGTTCCGTTTTAGACAACCATTCCCTCCCAGACACAGGAAGACGCCAGGGAGGAAGCATCATCATCAACATCATCATCATCATCATCAACAACCATAGGTCAGAAAATAACAAGCACACAGTCAACTCATTTACATCAGAAAGAAGAAAATAAAAAACAGGAAGACATATGAAATAGAGTAGGTCTGACCTGCTGGATTCCCGTCATTGCTCCATCTTCACCTTTTATTTGATGCGTGACACTCCTCGCTTCCAGGGCATCACTCTGTCTGCATTGCATTCTGGGGGTCGTAGTCCTGTAAAGTGCAAAGCTCTCCCACGCAACCAACCTTCCTACCATAACCCCCTCCCAATTTTTCCACTGACTGGACACATAATCAGTCTGCAAATGCCCTCACAACAAAGGGCTTTAGAGTCTGTGTAATAGGGACAGGGAGTCCTCTATGTGGCAGGTACATTTAACAGGAAGCAGGCTGGCCCAGAGTGGACGCTCCCTTACCAGTACGTGCATGGCAAAGTGCCAGGATTGCATCACAGAAACCTGAAGAGTCTGTTTCTGGTAAGCATTCTGATCCTCTCGGACTGGTTAAGCTTCTCCCCAAGTCATGTTAAAGTCTGCAACCTCGGCACTGAGGGGGGTGTAGTCACACGATAAGATTTTTGGGGGACGAGGGAGTTTAGAGATGTGAAAGGTAAGGAACGCGTACCTGTCCCAGTGGCAGGACCAGCCTTTAGGGGCGGCGTTAAGTTCGTAATATTTTATGTGTTCGGCAGCTTCCTGCAGCCTGCGGCGAAGATAGACCCCATTCAGAGCGCCCTCCCTCCAGTCAGCAATCCGAGTCTGGATAAGAAGGAGAAAACAAACAAACAAAAAAAAAAAGCAAAAAAGGAGGAGGGACAGGAGACAAGAGTGAGACAAAGCCCAGAAATTAGAGGTAAAAGGAAAAAGAGAGACATAAAGACAGAAGTGCCACAAGATAAATGAGTAATGTGGAAGAGTAATTACTGTCCGTTTCCAGAATGACACCTTGTGATGGATTATTATGAGAATTTTAAATATTAACTACTACCACATGTAAAATGATATGAAACAAAATTAAGCATTAAATATTTCAGAAGTCGCACGGGGATGGCTACAACTGGAAGCTAGGATAATATTGCTTAGAAACTGAACCTTTTTCTTCTCACCTCAGTTTGTAGCAGCAGCAACTGAAAGTTTGAGATTGCCTTTTTGTTTATCCCCAGGAACTCCATCTTGCTGGTTAAGGTGTTAGCCAGTTCTCCAATCTGAAACTACAGTTTCTCAGCATCAAAAACGCGTCTTACAAAATAAATCATCACAACTACTATGGTAAGTAATAGTCACATTAATGTTACCTTGAGCTCAGGCGTTTCCACTTTGAGTTCAGGCATTTCGCCCTCTTCTTTAACCGCTGGTTTTGAAACCGTTTTCTCCTCCGAACTGTCCGTTCCCTTGTCTTCTCCTTCAACAACACTCTCTAGGACTTTAGAAAGTCCTGCAAGGCACAAGAGATGCATTGAAGAATGTATCGCTTGTGTATTATTATAAGTATTTTCACCCACTCCTTTCATGCAAGCCACCCCCCGATAGCATGTGTTTAATGACTCACCGGTCTCTGTGCTGTCCTGTGGGTCTGAGCCTCTGCTGTTAGTGTCGGGGCTGGCAGCACATGGGAAGGCGGTCTTCCACCGGTTTTTCTTCAGTGGAACGCCACGAGAACCAGAGGCTTCTTGACTTGTCTCAGAACAAGGACTAGAGCCCCCTGCGCTCCCATCACCATCCTCTAGCGCCCGGAGCTCAGCCTAAGAGTCAGACAATGCGTTAGAGCTAGGTCACACTTACAATAACTGAAATACCACTGCTGCACACTGAAAACAGCCTCATAGTAATTCTGGCAGGTAATCAGTTACACTCTGGCTGCTCTCAAAAACACACCTTCTTCCTCTCCAGAGCCAGTTCCAGTTCCATTGTGTCCTCTTCTGTCTCTTCCTCAGCATCAGAGTTGTCTCCCAACTGCCTCTTGGTGCAAAGATCTTTTTGGACAGTGGGGACTGAGTCAGGGTCCCGCAGAGGTGTAGACGGGGAACCTGCAGGGCGAACAGCTTCTCCATCAGAATCCAAACTGTTCTCAGTGTCATCCAAACATTTAAGCAGTCTTTTCCTCCATTTTTCTTCTGCTTCTTTCACTTCAGAGGGGATCAAAGGGCCCAGCAGAGACGCAGCCACTCCACGGTGCTCCTCCTCTTCACTTGTCAGGCCTACAACGCTCTCTATTACCTCCTTTTAGACAGAACATGAGTGTGATATATTAAAACTCAGAACAACAAATCTTAAACACTACACAATCAAGATGATTGACTTTTTTTGTTGGACTTTAATAAAACTTGCCTTCACTTTGGTATCTTTCACTGATGTAGGGGCTGCAGCAGGTGTAGCGCTTTCCTCAGTGTGATAACCTGCATGCACTGTGCTATTGCCATTGACACTAGAGCTAGAAAGAAAAATACAAGACACATCATACACCACTGAATTGTTGTACTGGAGACGAAATCAAGAAATGTGAAATCAAGCAGATCATATACGTACAGTGATTTTATCTGGCTTCAAAAAGAAGATGCTATTCACAAAGCTGTGATAACACTTTCTGTCAGTTCCTACCTGTTGGTATACTGCTCTAGGCTTTGCACCTGATCAGCTAGATAGTGTGGCAGCTCCCAGGACACCTCGTTAGTTAGAGTGTTCCAGTAGTAGTAGCAGCCCGAGTTGTCATCCCATACCTCCTGCCAGTCTCCCATCTCTACACCCACTGCAGAAGAGCACATGAGATGCTTTGAAACAAATGGTAGCAGATTTTAAGGGATACATGACTCCAAATGTCTCTCTTCCCACTTTAAAAAAAACCCCAACCTTCTCAATTTAGGCAACATCCTGAAAAATTGCATCAATGTGAAGCAATTCAGAAATTTGGTGGATTTAAATGTCAAAACAGTTGCTTCCTTACATTATGAAAGCAGCTATATGCAATTTCTATGTTAAAGAATTTTAACAAACACACAAAATAGTCCATTGCTAATCAGAGGGAAACACCAGGACATACACACTTAAAATACAACACAGACAGTTACCTCCAGCTAGTGAGTACTGAGTATTGTACTCAAACTCTGTGCTTTGTGGATTCTGCTCTTCACCGGACGCTGGCTGCTGAGTATTAACATCAGGTCTGGGAGGGGCAATAGTTGGGACTGAAGAATGGGATGCTGCATCATCTGAACTGGGCTGAGTGGTGATTGCATCAATCTCCTGTGGTGGAAAAAATGGGAACAGGAAGTTGTTTTTTTATTTAATTATTATTATCATTATTATTAGGCTCCAAGCAGCGAAGATCAAAAGTTATCAAAAGAATTTTGATACGTCAATCCGTTTCTTTCCTCATAAATTTTTACTTTTGTGCATTTACGTACAATTTTATATAAATGCCCGTAAATCAAAATTGGCTTAAGCTATCATCACCAAACTTGACGCGTTCAGATGCTCGGCCCGAGCTTCGCTGAGCAGTCCTGGGATATTCTTCCATTAGGGGGCGCGTCACTTGCTTATACTTGGAAATTCGCTGCATGGATTCATACAAAATTCGGTTTGTACGATCTAGTCACTACTCAGTTGATGTATAAAATTTGGTAATATTTGTGCAAAGTGGGCGTGGCTTATTACAAGAAACGTAAATTTCTAGACATTTCTCATTCCAATCTTCAAAAAAACTAAAAATCACGTCCTAGAGAGCTGCAACCTATATCAATGTCAATTCAGAAATTAGTCACTCTATATTTTTCAGAATATGCTAATTCAATTAACATCTATATCTCCACAAGTCTTTCTTCAAAACGCTACCAAACTCGATGCCGACTCAATGGCCGATATTAAGGGTTTCAAAGATTTTTCAGATCGGTCAAATGGTGAGTCTGCAGTGATATTCAGTATCTTGCTGTAACTTGTACAGTATGCACAACATTTTCTTTTTAACTCAGTTTTGGATCAAATGCCACCAAAATAATTCACAACACACCCAAAACTGGCAGAATGATGTGTGATTTTTTCCCCAGACTTTTCTCACCAACATCTTGACAGTTAAGGGAGTCAGCATTTTAAGTTTAAACTGACAAAACTATCCGGGTCTGGCACATGTGATGTCACTACCTCAACCTGTCATCTACTCTGGTGATCTGAAGTTACAGGGTTTAAATCCCCAGGTGACCAAGTCAGACTTGTTGACAATGGGGGTGTTCAGATCATAGTGAGTCTAAGGTCTCTATTTTATTTGGATCCCTAGCAGTTTCTTCTTATTTTTCCTCAGCTAAAAAGAGTTTATGCAGCTTATACTTAAATACTGGAAACACAAAATGTCGCAGGTGGGTTGAACATTTCACCCAGTAGTCAGGTGGTGCTGCTGAACTCAAGGTGATGCTGTAAAAATCAAGATTGCGTTCTCTCAAAATCCAAATTCTGTCATTACTTTAAAGTCGTCTGCTCTTCTCTAAAAATGTCAAATGTTGCATTTTTTACGACTCGTTTGGATCCCGATCGCGGCTATATTTATTATTTATTTATTTTTTACAAATACAATTTTTCACTACTAAGAATGAACAAAGTTGTTCTAAGCACTTGTCTCGACATATATAATGATTTATTAATGAAAAACTATGTCCAAGCTGGAAACGTACACAAAATAGATTTTAAATCAGGAAACCCAAACCTGCAGCCTACTTTCTAACACCCAGGATCGATTGGGACCACAGGTCTAATTACAATCTCTCCTTTAAGTTCCCAACTACATACTATTCAGTAACCAATAGCCTTCTCATCAGGAGAGAAATGTTTCATCATCGGATAAAAAGGTGATCAGTGAACAACTGATTTGCAGTGACAATTCCCTCTAAGGGGACAAGTGGACCCAAACGATGTCAGCAAAATGCCTCCCACAACATAACAGAGCTACATCATGCCCTCACTGTTGGGGTCAAGCATGCAAGCCTATACCGTTCTCTCGGTGTACGCAACACATTATTTGGTCCACTTGTCTAAAATATGGTGAAGAATCACCATTTCACTTTTTCCACATTTCTGTTGACCAGTGTCTGCAGTTTTTACACCACTGAACTCTCAACTGACATCTGCAGTGATTGGTGTGGCCACCAACTTTGATGCTCCTAAACTGATCGGATATGTGGATGAAGCATCTGATTTCCAGGAAAATGACACGGTGGCAGAGCTGTAATCAGTAATCCCAGATGCCTCTGGGGCTGACGCGCCAGATACCAAGGAGGAAGGGTCTCATGACTCTGTGGGGCCTGAGAAGAAAGACTGCTCAGATGGATGCCAGCTGCCTCAGCAGGGTGAGACGGCACTCTTCGGAAGAGACCTGGACTGTGGATGAGCCTGTTTTTGCTTTGAGTGACATGCAGAACCCAGTGATCAAGATATGCAGCAAATTATACTCACAGCCATGAAATTGGCCAATGTACTGTCGATGTCAGCTGACTGGGCGTGTTGATTATTTGCAGTTGAATGCTGAGAGTCTGCAGCATCCTCATCATCACTATCCTCATAGGCTCCAAGCAAGGACAGACCCTCTACAGGTGGAGACAAAACAACTTTGTTTAATCAGATGGCAATATTTACTTCTTTCCACTGCCTGAGAAACACCGACAGCTCCACACTTACCTGTGGCCTTTAATGCAGGAGCCTTCATGTTTGTGCGTATTTCCCTCACGAATCTGTGTCCATCACCCTCCTGTTCATCTGCACAAAAGCCAAGAGGTTAACATAGAGCTTCAAAAGTCGTTAACGCATGAGCAAGGTACCTATGCCAAATGTTAATTACGTTAACGTTAGGGTTAACTTGTCCAGTCTTTTGTCGTAAGCCTATTTTGGCAGGCTCACAAAAACTAGCTGCCAGTATGCTAACGCCTAGCTTAGCAAGCTAGCCGTTAGCTTCTGTTCGATCCGTTAAATGAAAAAATAAAGGTTCCGTTTCATGATCTATACAGCTATCATATACCTACGTCTTGGTTACGGTATATGTCTTCACCAGATGTTAACTAATTCGGCAGCTAAATTTCGTTAAATGGATCGCTTGTTTTACCAGGTGGGCCCATTCTTCGCACCTCGAGCATTTAGCTAGCTGGTCGCTAACAAGCCACTGACTAGACCGTTAAAAAACTAACCATCGGATCCCGACGGCGCTTCTTCCCTCTCTCCGGCATTCCCACCGCGGAGCCCGGGGGGTGAAAGCTGCAGGATCGTTCTCCGGCCGACCGCTCCTCCTGTGAGACGACTTTTCTTCCCCATCACTGTCTGCTAGTCTGCTGGCCTGCTCCCTTCTTCTCTGGTGTCGTTGTTGCAGCAGCTCTCTGCTGCTTCGAGCTGGCACAAAAGAAAGTAATAACTTCCGGTTCTTAAGGTCATGTTTTGAGTGTAGCAGCAGCTATATTTGCATGCTAGCTAAGTTGCTAACGACCTTAGACACCCTCCGAGCAAGTCAATAGAAAACATCAATGTTCAACCTGTAAATGCCAATGGTATTTAGATTTTGTTAACTGTTCGCGTGTGGACAAAATTACTAGTTAACTTGCTTAACAAGCTAAAACGTGGACCTTAGCTAAGTGGGTGTGTTGTTAATTGAACAGACTAACGTTACACATGGAAGAGGGAAGATAAGCAATTACACAGTTTCGGAGGGGAGCCACCCACTGATGTATGAACATAAAGAGGACCCACCACAGAGGCAGCGGTCGACGGGGCTCGAAGGAGGAACAGCTGCCCAAACCAGGACTAGAAGAAGGTCGGTGTGTTTGGGATCAGACACGATGGGGGGCACAATGGGACCGGCTCTACACTGGCTGCAAGATGTGGCAGCTGTCACTCTCCTGAAAGCCCGGCGGACGTTATTTCAGGCTGCCATCCTGTTTTGTGTCCTACTTCTGCTACTCTGGGTGTCCATCTTCCTCTATGGAAGCTTTTATTACTCCTACATGCCCACTGTGAGCTTCTCCACCCCTGTGCACTTCTACTATATCTCTGATTGTGATGCCTCACAGTCGGTACTCTGTTCATTCCCCACTGCCAACATCTCTTTCATGAAGAACGAGAGGGACCAGGTGATGGCTTACGGTCAGCCTTATCGAATATCTTTGGAGTTAGAGATGCCAGAGTCGCCGGTGAATGAACAACTCGGTATGTTCATGATTAAGATGTCTTCATATACCAAGGGCGGCAAGACTGTCTCATCAGTGGGGCGATCTACGATGCTGCATTACCGTTCCAGCCTTCTGCAGACCTTGAATACTTTGCTGTTCTCTCCTTTCCTTCTGACTGGGATGGCTGAGCAGAAGCAGCTCATAGAAGTCGAACTCTTCTCCGACTACAAGACGAATGCTTACCAACCCACTATCGGTGCAGTCATTGAGATCCAGTCCAAACGGGTGCAGATCTACTCATCTCAGCTCCGTATCCATGCTTACTTCACTGGTGTGCGATATGTTCTGTACAACTTCCCCCTGACATCTGCAGTGATTGGCGTGGCCACCAACTTTGCCTTCCTCAGTGTTATTGTGCTGTTCAGCTACCTGCAGTTCATATGGGGCGGGCTGTGGCCCCCAGACCAAGTAAGAGTCAGGGTTATGATGGGAGACAACACCCGCATCCAGCAGAGGAGAGAGGAGGCTCGGAAGCGCATGGAGAGGGAAAACTCCTACAAGGATCTTGATGCTAAAGTGATTGGATCTGTGGATGCGGCATCTGATTTCCAACGGAATGACACGGCGACGGAGCTGTCGTCAAAGGAGCGCTCAGTAATCCCAGATGCCTCTGGGGCTGACGTGCCAGATACCAAGGAGGAAGGGTCTCATGACTCTGTGGAGCCTGGGAAGAGAGATGGGTTTGATGGATCCTTGCTGCCTCAGCAGGGTGAGACGGCACTCCGACAGAGACCTGGACCGTGGATGAGCCTGTGAACCGTGCCTCTGCACAGAATTAAAGTAGCCATACTATATGCTTAAATGCCGCATAATGTCTCATCACTCTTCAGCAGACTGAATGTGATTTGGCAGATATTGATAGACTCAAGCAGACCTAGTGTTTGAGTTGGTCCTAGTACAAATGCATGCAAATATTATACTGTGTTGTTTTAGCTAACTAACCACAGCTTATGGTCTTATGTTGAGAACAGTTTACCTCATTGTAACTTTGACCTCTGCTCACTTCTTTCTGGGTATTGTCAGCTCAGTGGAAAGCCTGCCCTAAAGACCACAGCACTTCTGCAGTTATATGTTTGTATCACCTGAGTATTAATGATGCCCATAGCAGGACATACTACATTCCACCTCTGGCTTGTCAAACATTATTGCCCACAGGAATTTGCCATCACCATCAACACCCTTTTTGAAGTCAGTTGAACCTGCTCATATTCAATCCTGCAATAGCTGATGCACACATCCTGATAACCCTCCCGTAATAATGAAAGCAGACAGTGACTCAGTTGATTACCGGTTCTAACATCAGTAGACTTGATTCTGGTTTTGAATGTAGCTGCCCTGTACTTGAAACACAAATTTAAGTTGGATTTGGAATCTCCAGAACTCTTTCACACCCTTTTAGAGGATGTGCACAAACAAGCCTTGTGATGCTTGTTTCTCAAAGGCTCTCTCAGAGCAATTAGATTTGGAAAATGTGTCTGAGAAAGTGTCTTTGTTTTTAGTAGCTTCCTATAAAATGTGCAGTGTCTCCAGGGACGTGATGAATGTGTGAATTTATTATTCTTACAATTCTTGCAAACAGAGACGTTCTGTCTCTGTGTAATTCATCGTTTAACTACTGTGGCACATTTAGTTAAAGCTAAATATCAACGCTAAATGTCACAAGTTGGTGTTCATCTGTATTCAGTATATGTTAAGATGCAGTGTGAGCTCTGCAGTTACTGCCTCTGCGACAACTAACTGCGTAGTGAAATAGAAAACTAATTAATAATGCCATTCCTTTACTGTCTTGCAAGCACACCACAAGAAATACATACTTGTCAGTACTGTTTTGATCCCACAGATATTCTAATACCTGTGAAATGCCCAAGATATGACTTGCACCATAAAAATAATCGTTAAAAACTTCTTGAGTTACAGAAAATCTGATATTGATGAAAATAAATAGCAATGTCACTTAGCATTTGGAGGGATTAGTTTTACAAATTCAAACATGACATTGACATTTCATACAGCATCTGTAACCAAACACATTAAACATTTTTTATTTCAGGATTCAAATTTCCCCTTTCATGCAGGCCATATTTTTGGACTACTTAAAGTTAATCTGATTGGTGTTACGACATATGGACCCGCCATCAGCCTGATGTACAACACACCACTTGGCTTTAAGTGTTCCACTTCAATGTCATTCTGTACTTCCACACACAAACAAGCCTTGTGATACTTGTTTCTCAAAGGCTCTGTTAGAGAAATTAGATTTGGATAATGTGTCTGAATGTGTGATGAATAGCTTCCTATAAAATGTGTCATGGCTCCAGCCTGAGGGACATGAGGAATGTGTGCATTAATTATTCTTTTTCATCTTGCACATGGAGACATTATGTCTGTGTGTAATCCACGGTTTAACTGCAGTGGCACATTTATTTAAAGCTAAATGTCAATGCTAAATGACGCAAATTGGTGTTTATTCCATCAAATCTTTGTATCTGTTACGGTGCAGTTTGCGTTTAATATTGTGAAAATGGTATTTATTGTGTTTTCATTACAACAAAGCACCAGGATATTTTAGATGGGTCTTTTTAAGTAATATATAAGTTTGTCAATAAGTCTGTTAATTTAACATGTTTGTATTTAACGTTACATAACACACAGTATAGAAAGGATAAGTGAAGTTACTCTTTTGAAATTGTTGCTGGTTGTTACAGCTAAGAAAGTGATGTTGAAGCAGGAATTGTTGGAATATGGCTAAGCCTCCATTTATTTAACCTACTCTTCAGGGGAGTTTAGGGTTTAAATGAGTTTATGTAGGGATTTGTGAAATGTTGAGTTGATGTAGGATTTTGTACCAAAGATATTGATAAACTCAGAACGCACTCATAATCTTGGAGTCATGCAGAATATCCATGTAAATGCCTCTCAAGTTACATGAGTGGTATTTATGTATTGAACTAATTACATAAACATACAGCTGTGCACTTCTCTTTCTTTGTTGTCTCTTCTATAGGTTTGGGTGACCTCTCTGTCAAATAATAAAGCAGCTCTAACTATCTGTGTTTGTCTGATTGTTTTTTCCGCTTTAAAGTCGGGTTTGCAGAACATTTACGTGAAATCCTACAAGGACTAACTCTGTCATTTTCTCACTACTTGAGATTTGCCTACCCAAATATGTTTGGTGAAATACATGGAAAAAATACATCTACTTCTCATAATGTCCAAACCCATGTTTCCCATGTTGGAAAAAGCTGATTTTTTCTTAAATACTAGATTTATAACATTTTAACTGATCAAAAGATACACACCTCTTACAAATGTTCTATTAGTATTTTATACTGATAAAATATAGGTTATAGAGTCAAATCAGAGAGTATTTATATATTAACAAATAAATAAAATAGTTATCCAATATGATATGATGTCCATTATTAAACTTGATTGTGTTTTATGAAATTGTACTTTTAGAGTTACTTACACAAGCTTTTTCTATTACCTTGAAATAAGGCTTGTTGAAAATACAAATAAACGTTTCTTTTTCTAAACACTTACACTTAAAATAAAGTCAATACTGTTTACACTATTCAGATGAAATCCTCAAAAAATATTGGGTTAAAATCAAGAATGTTTGGAAAAAATCTTGTCAAAAAACTGATAAAATTTATGACTTAAATTTATGATTTATGACAAGCGATCAAAGGTGATATTAAATACACACTGATAAGAACGGTCAATACAGTTTTTGCATTTACAGTGCCTTTTGATGCAGCCAGCTTACTGTCACACCAAGAGTGACGTTTTAATTGAAAATTAATCAAAGGAAACAAAAACAAATTATAACAAGAGAAATACAAACACACATTTCTGTGCAATAAATTAAAAAAGCACAGATGTAAGATTTGCAAACAGTAACCAAGTTCATGAAATGTATTAATGTTTGAAAGGATCTGTTATAGAAGGTCGTGACAGCAGCTCAGTTTACATGGAAAGCTTGTATTTGGTAATATACATCTCTTTGTTTGTTAAGATGATCAGGAATTTTTTTAACAGGAAGCTGAATTAAAGCTTGAAAACAGCAGTTCAGTGTTCATGCTGTTTGAAATCATTAGATTAACAGTAAAAGTGGCTGGTATGCAGCCTGTTTTAATTTCGTTTCCTACGTTTTGTTATAAAGGATTCAAAATGCCCCAAATTATACATTGTGGATTGATATTTATTCTTGTTTACGAAACACTTTCCGGGTACACTGAGGAATTGGAAAGCTGCATTTATTATCTGTTTCAAATCAGAACCTTATGGCGATGATATTAAGGCCCATTAGCGGCCTTTATTTAAAGCCACAGCCCCAATCTGTCAAATGAATTATGCATTGCTCTGGATAAGGAGTGCACTAATTGACTTAAACCATCCATCAGTGGTATTAAAGACCTCACTGTAGGTACAGATAATATCAGGTACAGATAATATCTCAGACTCTCCTGGAACAAGAATTTGTGTAATGCATCCTTTTCTTTTTCTCAATCCCTGCACTATAAAGTAAGAACTCAGTCAACTCACACTTAATCTTTGAGTTTGGGTGGTACCCTCTCATGCTTGTAATTGATTTATGTGTTGTATCTGCTGACCACAGTATAGCCCCAGCAACAACTAGCTGCATAGTAAATTTTATAGAAAACTTTGAATGCTATTCTGTTCCTGTCCTGCAAATACACCACTTAATTTATCAAGCAGAAATACATGCTCGTCAGTACTGTTTCGATCCCACAGATCAAAGAACACCTGTGAAATTACCAAGATATATGTCTTGCACCATTAAATAAAATAGTAAAAAAAGAACCGTTTTGAGTAACAGATAATCTGCATATAGACACAGGCATATAGAGAGTTTTTACAAATTCAAACATGCCACTGACATTTCATACAGGATTCAAATTTCCCCTTTCATGCAGGACATGTTTTTAGACTACTTATAGGTTATATGATTGGCTTTACCATACATGGACCCGCCACCAGCCTGACGTACAACACACCACTCGGCTTTAAGTGTTCCACTTGAATATCATCCTGTACAGCCAGGCCACCAAGCCACAGCTGAAGGTCACTTTGTTCCTTGACCCTAAATGTTGTGCTCTTCCTCAGGGTGTACTTCCATGACCTCTGCTGTAGTTTCACTCGCTGCTTTTGACCCGTCATTTTCCTGCTCATCATCAGAGCTGTCCGCCCAGCGCCCGACTCTTCTGACTCCCTCGGCCACTGCCGGAGCGTTAACACAGGGGTTATGATCATAGATGACAAGTTTCAACCCTTGCATGTGAGACAGGGCTGGGAAGCGGCGGATCCTGTTCCGATCCACATCAATGACAGCTAGGAAGTGCATTTCAAGGAACACTGGGGGGAACTCTGCCAGCTGGTTCCCAGCAAGCCAGATACTTCTCAATTCTTCCAGCCTCTTAAGCTCTTTTGGTAAACTCCATATCTGGTTATAACCGAGGTGCAGGGTTTTTAGATTAGAGAGTTCACAAATGACCTCAGGGAATACAGTGAAGCAATTAGTCTCCAGCCACAGAGTATTCAGTTCCTTGAGTTCTGTCAGTTCTCTGGGGAGGCGGTAAAGCCTGTTGTTACCCAGGTAAAGGATGCTGAGCTGGGGCAATCTGCAAACAGCTTCAGGGAGCTCCTCAAAGCAGTTAAAGTCGAGGGCCAGCAGCTGCAGCTTCTTCAGGCCCTGCAGTTCAGCTGGTAAGCTGCTGAGGTTGTTGTCACTCAGGTAGAGCTTGACCAGCTCGTCGAAGACACAGGCAGCAACAGGCAGCCGACGCAGCTGCCGGCTGCTCAGGTCCAGGGTCCGATCAAATGGCATCTCCTTCAGGTCCCCCACTAAGAAGCGTTGGCAGCGCTCTGAGGGGATGAATGCGATGAAGCCTCGCATGGCGTTACCCATCTTGCTCGCTGTCTCTGATACACCGCTGGTCCTCCTCATCAGTTTAGTGCCAGACAAGGGTTGCACTGAGGTTGGCTGTTGGCGTCTTCAAGAAAATTTCATGGCTTCCCATTAATGCTCCTCCACCGCCCCTCTGGAGTTATTGATCCTGATAATAGGCCAAAGAAAAAAAAGTTTCTAACAATGCAAATCATTAATGCTGCCAAATGTAGCAGCAATTACATGATTATGATGCTGAGTTACACCCTTTCATGTAATTAAAGCCATGCTGGAGAGTTATTTACAAAGAAAATAGGCATCACCGGTGGTCAACAACATCCAGAAAACATAATCAGCGTACAGATGATCCTAATGAGAATTAGAATACACTTACTTTCCAGTGTTTTCCTGCTGATGTCCATGACTCTCAGCATCTCCTATAGTAAGCCGTTTGTTTATCCAAGTTAATGAGCTGAAAATGTGTTTTATTCCCTGGGCAGATATTCCCCATTGCAGTCCTCTCACTATCTCTCAGTTGCTCTGAGCTTTGCCCTGACTTTCATGACGATAGCAACCACTAGCTGCTCTCTCCTCCCTATTTGTGCCTAATGACTTTCCCCCCTTCTTCTCCGAGATGACAGAGGTGGCAGAGAGAGACAGGGAGGGGCAGGGTGCAATGTATAAGTCAGCGTTCGCAGGGAGACCAAAGAGGGAGTTTGTGTGTTTTGCTCTGACTTGTTTCTGTAGGGAACAGAAATAAAGACACAGTTTCCCAGGAAAACTAAGAAGTGTACAGAGGTGTGGTGGAGGATGTGTGGCTCCATAGATCTGTGTTTTCACTTGTGCCACAGTGCCATAACCACTCTAAAATTCCTCCAAATCCAGGTGCTCATGTTATGGTTTTCCACATCATGTAGTTCCCAAAGCGGAATATCATTTCCTATTTATAATCCTTGGGGGAGTCATCCTCATGAACTGTAAGAAGTGGCACGTCATCCCTGCCTGCCTGAGGTGTGATTTGCCCATGCTATCTTGCATACCTTCATTAGCGCTATTTTCCAACAAGATAAAACTGAGAAGGAATTTCATTTTCCTTATCAGAAGGTGCAATGGTTGCCCCTTGTCTGTTTTCCCTCACTGACACACTGTTTTTAGCACTTGTCCCTCTCCTTATCCATGTACTACCAGGGGGCCTCAAACAGGCACACAGAAAGAGCCATGTGACTGCATTAACAGACCCTGTTCATGGCAGACCTTTCAATATGTCAGAGAGACAAATGCAAAGGTGTAATTGTCTAATTAGGTGATTACTATAGCACTTAATGTGATGGCGTCATCATTAATGTGATTAGTTCCATTTTCTTTTCTGCTGTGAAAAAGGGTCTATAAAGGCTCATTATATTTCTTGACAAAAGATTCTCAACACAAGAGTATCTTTGAGTATCTTACAAATTAATCTGCCATGGGGCCCCTGAGCTATAATAAACTGCTGGGCTCCTGTGAACCGCCCCCGCCTCCACTTTATGTGCGCCGGGCTATTTCCTATTCTTGGGGGCTATCTGGCCCCAGATTTGCCGTGTGGTAGCAACATGTAAGCACACAACTGAAATAATGAAGGTTATAAAACTATATTTTTACTGGACCTCAAGATCAGAATAAAGCAGGGTCTGCCTTATTGGGGTTTGGTAGTGCACACTACCAAAAAAAATGTTTAATTCAGCACAAACCAGTTGATATATAGCTTATAGTTAGAACCATCCCTTATGCTGCTATGGCCCTAGACTGCTGGCGGACCTCCACTGATGCACTTTCCTCCTTTCCTTCTTCATCTGTATGCATTCTTATCCCATTAATGCATGTTACTAACTCAACTTCTTTCTGCTCCCATAGGTTTGTGCCTTCTCGTCCCTCTCCTCCCTCCTTCTGTTGCTTTCTGCAGGTACAGCTCCAGAGCTGTGTGGTTGCATCTGTGGTTGCAGGCTGCCTGTTGCCCCCATGTTTCTGCCCGACACCAGTTCAGTTGCTACAATTATTATTAGTCGTATTATTATTATCATTACTATTGTTATTATTATTTGTGCTATTATTCACATTTATTGATGTCTGTACCACTTCCACCTATACTGTTGTTTTTCTTTTCTGTATTGACTCTCACTCTGTCTCTCTCGCTCTGCCACCCCCCACACAAACCGGTGGGCCACCCTGAGTCATGGTTCTGCTCAAGGTTTCTTATCGATACAAAGAGTGTGGTCTAAACCTGCTCTATGAAGTGCAATGAGATAACGTCTGTTATGAACTGGCACTATATAAATAAAACTGAATTGAACTGAATTACAGTGAACTGGGAGACTTAAGGGCCCCTGGAGTTCTGGGCCCCCAGGCCTAATTGGTGATCCAATTTCCTGTGAAATTAATTTCTGCTTTAATATCCAATCACACTTGCCTGAGGCCTCTGAGAAAACTGCAAAAACATTACTCTGATGACAGCATCCCAGTCTTGAGTGACTGCGTTAAACAAATGGACATCTGAATTATTTGAATAATGAGACAAATAATGTCTCTAAGTGACTGCAGCCACAGACAACACAGTGTTTTCACAATGCAAGACACCTTATGATCACAGGAGGGAGGCAGAGGCTTGACAGTGATGCCCAGATGTATATTCACTGCAAAGTGTACATTATTTTTCTGAGTTTTTTTTTTGTTGTCTTTGCTCTCTGTCGTTGTTCAGCACCCCGTGGGACTGATGTAGTGCACTTTGAGACGTCTTCAGTGTTGTGTACGGAAGTGGTCAGCAGGTTGTAAGGTCAGAGGGTAAAGGCTATACCTCTTTCGATTCAGAATACACACAGCCATCTTGGATCTAACGAAGAGAAGGGAAGTTAATGCGGTGAGGATATTATACTCATTTTTCGTCATATTAAAGCGGTTCGCTACACATTCAAGTCTTCGGTATGAGCCATTTATCTCACTTGTTCTTCTCCGTTTCTGCACGGAGCGAGTCTTCAGCCTTTAGCTCCAGCAGAGTGTCGCTGCTGCTACTGGCTGCAAACTGAGCCGAGAAAACGGCCAGCTGACTGTGGATATATGGATGCAGAGAGGGCCCAAATTAAAAGCCTTATAGCGACTATTGCTTGGTAGCTAAGTCAGGTGGTGCTGGAGTTAAAGGTTTTGGTATGCTGTGGTACTTAGCTCCCTGTTAGGGCAGCCTGCTTGCAAACTGACGTGAAGCTCGCTAAGCTAACGCAGATTGATTACAACAAGCACTTAGCCTGCTAACGTTAGCCCCACTAGTGTTGGCTAACTAGCATGTTAGCACTGCTGCTTTTATTTCTCAACCGTGTCAATGTAACGTCAGGTAAGTATTGGCTACACCAGTACACGTTCAAGTTTTACAGGGAGGAAATGAACTGTTCTGCTGTGAGCTGATTTGTTTAACACATGTTATGTTATGATAAATAGTTTAATTTTGTTGTGGAAGTTCAACATCTTCATTCCACACAAGTTACGTGTACTTTTTACAAACTAAGACACACACTGTTCAAAACTTTATTTTAACAACCCCACGTTGCCAGCTATGGGAAAGGTTGTACCTTAATGGTATGTCAACTGCTTATGGTTAAACTTTTAACAGAGATATTTGCAACCCTTGGTTTCTAAGATAAATGTGTTTAAATACACTGTCACTGTGAAATTGTATTTGTCTGGCCAGACTTCTTTCCCTTTGCACATCTTTAACAGCAGCTCTGCTCTCTCCTCAGGTGACAAAAGGTATGTTTGGTGCTAGAAAGAAATTTGAGTTCGTCGAGGTAGTCGATAACGACTTTAATGATGAAAGCATGTACTACAGCCAGCCGTCGATGTTCCCACATCGGTCGGACAAAGATGTGAGTTTTGTCCCCATCCCTGCACGCTTCTGTCAATCCTTGAGTGAACTCCACTTACAGTTATCTCACTCTGTCCTGTCCTCAAATGTTTTCCTTCAGATGCTGTCCTCTCCCTCGCCATCGTCGTCAGGTCAGCTATCACAGCTTGGTGCAAGTTTGTACGGTCCACAAAGTAAGGGTTTATTTGTTTCTATGTCATTATATTGTTCTCTCAGCATAATTGGAGTGAAAAGAAATCTTGCTTTTAAATAGTATGAGCGGAGCTTAACTCTACAGAGTCACTGCAAGAAGAGTCTTCTCCGGGTTGGCTGACAGTATTTGTTTTTCTCTCGGTTTTTCTTCTATGTCTTTCTGCAGGTGCACTCGGCTTCTCGGTAAGGGGTATGGGTAACAATACGCCTCAGTTAAACCGAAATCTAACACAAGGCACACAGCTACCAAGTCATATCACCCCCACAACAGGGGTCCCCACAATGTCCCTACATACCCCTCCATCACCAAGCAGGTGTGTATGAAGGTGTTAACTTGTTTGTGAATTTGCAGACTCAGTTTGGACACACATTTGTTTAACATAATTTGTGTTATATAAATAATCCCTGGAAATAAAAAGTACAGTTCACATGACACGAACAAGTGAACTCCACTAAGTCAGACATGATGATGTTTTAACAGGGGGACATTGCCAATGAACACGAGGAACATGCTGAACCACTCTCAGGTCGGTCAAGGCATTGGGATGAGCGGCAGGACCAATAGTATGGGCAGCTCGGGGCTGGGCAGTCCCAACCGCAGCTCGCCCAGCATCATCTGTATGCCCAAACAGCAGCCAGCACGTCAGCCCTTCACCATAAACAGGTAGACAGATCCTGTATAACGCCTTGTAGAGATCTGCCGTCCTTTAAGTTTGTTTCTGACATAAAAGTTTTTCATTTGAAGGCAAGTAAATATTTGGAAGATGAAAGCTTTTGTGTTTTTTGTTTCTCTTTAATCTCTGCAGCATGTCAGGATTTGGTATGAACCGCAATCAGGCTTTTGGGATGAACAACTCATTAGCAAGCAACATCTTCAATGGCACAGGTTAGTGTGTTTAACCCAGGTGGGTATACAAAGGGACCATTTGTTTTGGGTTTTATTTAAACAAACTCCTGGAATTTAGGTGTTTTATATAGAATATTACAAAATGGGCGGCAATCGGATTTTTAAAAAATCAATTATACAAAAACCACAGTGAAAATTACATTTTGTAAATACCCCTTGCTGCACAATACTTAAGACATTTGTCATTTTAAAGTTATTTTTAAAAAGCTTTTAAGAAGCAGGAAGCACAACTACTATTCAAATTAGCTGGCCAAAATGTACTACTTAGGGGAGGGAAATTTTTATTCATTTACAAAGTAATAAAATAACCAGATGAAGAATTGCCACTTTATTAGGCAGATAAATTGAATTAAGGGTCACATTACACTTTAAAAGTTCCTAACCTTCTTAATGCTGCAGATGGGAGTGAAAATGTAACGGGACTGGATTTGTCAGACTTCCCTGCGTTAGCAGACAGGAGTCGGAGAGAAGGGACAGGAAACCCAACCCCGGTGATCAACCCACTGACTGGACGGGCTCCTTATGGTAGGCCATTAGGCCCAAGAAAGTGTTTATTTTTACCCTCATTACGCTGTAGGAACTAGAAGAGGAAATTAATATGTGCTTCTTAATTGGGTTAATAATACTAACCAGGGTTTAGTTTTAATGCACATCTAAGGATGATACTCTTTCATTGTGATTTATTGCTTGTTACACTTTGGGAAATTATAATCTCTACTTCACTGTGTTCATCATCAAGTTGGCATGGTGACAAAGCCATCAACTGAACAGACACAGGATTTCTCCATCCATAACGAGGACTTCCCTGCACTGCCCGGCCCAAACTATAAGGACCCCTCGTTGAACAACGATGACGGCAAAACTGTAAGTGTGAGCCGCTGATGGCTGTACAGCACACAATCTGGCAGGATTTCTGTTTGTGTCAAGGTTCCACATCAGAGACAATTATTTATGTTGAATGTAAACGTTTCACGTTTCTGTGTTTAAAACTGCTTTTCTTTGTTTGTAGAACTTGAACTCCACAAGCAAGAGCACTTCCAATGCAGATGGTCCCAAGTTTCCTGGAGACAAGACGGCCTCAGCACAGAACAACAACCAGAAGAAAGGGATCCAGGTGTTGCCCGATGGTGAGACCTCTCAGCCAATCGTATCGCTCCAATTCCACTGAGACATCCCTTCTTAATCGCACAACTTGGGTGAGGCAGTTGGGCTCTCTACCCTGCATTTGGGGTTAGATAATTATTGGATAGGCTACAGTGAGGAAACCAAAACAATATGTTCAGTATGATGCAGACCATCGTCATCTTTCCATTAGTCTGTCTGTGACCATCACTTGTTAAAAAATAATTGGCTTGGTTTGCTCTCCAATGCGTGCACAAAGTGTGGTTTAGAAATATGGAGGTAATGTATTGACAGTAAGTATTAACTGTACGTCACCGCCCAGTTTTAGCGGTTTGTTAAACTCTTAAACTTATCCTGCTGCTGCAGGTCGGGTGACGAACATTCCTTCAGGGATGGTGACAGACCAGTTCGGCATGATTGGCCTGCTGACGTTTATCCGAGCAGCAGAGACTGATCCGGGGATGGTCCATCTGGCGCTAGGAAGTGACCTCACAACACTGGGCCTCAACTTAAACTCACCAGAGTAAGACAGCAGTTCTACCCTGTATATAGTTACTTTTAGGGTTTGCCGACTTTTGGACGTGCAGTCCAACAGATGAAGATGGGATTGATAAATCATTCAGTCCAGTAATTAAAATCAGTAGCCCATTTTAATGTTATTTTAATGTTATGCAACCTATAATACACGTGGCAGGCAAAAATGGTTACTTTGGCTACAATGGCATTTTACCAGCTTTCCTTTTTACTGAATAAATCCTAGTTAAACTCTGCCTTTGGTCCGCACCAGGACAGATATAACTCTTTGCTGGTGTAAATGCTGTGTTTAATACTAATTGTACCATTTTTGCCTCCAGACGGATAAAACATAATAATAATTATACATAATTATAGACATAATAATTCAAGACTTATTTCGTAGTATTAAGTATAGTTTTTAAGCAAAACAGTCATACCATGGGTTCAAATATCCAATTTAAACTTAATGTTATTTGTTATATTATAGTCATAGTATTATAGTCAATACTGCAATTAGCAGTGGAGCACACTTAAAAGACACACAACAATACGCAACAATTTCTACCCTAAAAATTAAGATATTGGTTGCAAACTTGTTGAAAAATATCTGCACTTCATGCCGCCGGAGTAGCAATTCTGTACCAGTTGGTTTTCTGAATAATTTTTAAAATGCTCAACAGTTTAAGGGTGGGTTGAGAAAGAGACTCCACTTGTGAACTTTCCTTTCTGTTGACTGTGTTTTTGATGATATTGCATTGGTTTGAATTCTTAATTTGTTAGTTTGTACTGTTACTTTCTGTTTTACCTAACGTGTGTCCAACAAGTGTTCTGTTTTGATGTTCATCATGGCAAGAACTTACTGTAACTTTGTTTCCTGACAGAAACTTGTATCCCAAGTTTGCCTCTCCCTGGGCTTCATCGCCTTGTCGACCTCAAGATATTGGTAAGACATTAACGTGAAGTGTGTGGGGTGGAGGACGAGTTTTTTATCTTATTTTTTTTAATTACCTTGTTTTAACCATCATTTGGTGGTCCGTTAGCTCAGTAAGAGCCACTCTGAAGACATTTTTATGCTTATAAGACAGACCGTACATGTAGGGAGGAGGGGTTGTTAGGATCGATGTGAAGCTGCATCATGTAGCTGCACACTGTGTTCTGCTGAAATAGCGGTTAAAAAGTAGCACTCGTGTTGCACTCTGCTGTTTTGAGTGTAGTTGCAGACCAAAGGAGAGATAAGGCAGCTTGTTTTTTAAGGAAAGCTTCAAAATGAGGTTTGTTGTCATGTGTTGTAGTCATTCTTTTGAGAGCTGAACTTACTTGTCCTTGCCTTTTCAGACTTCCATGTTCCCTCTGAATACTTAACCAACATCCACATAAGGGACAAGGTAGTTATGAACTTCAGAAACAGTCTTTGTTGTCCACAGGAAGGACATATGGGTACATAACTGATTCTCCGTATTCTTTACTGTCATGCCTCCAGTTGGCTACAATTAAACTGGCTCGATATGGTGAAGACCTGTTGTTCTACTTGTACTACATGAATGGTGGAGACTTGCTACAGCTTCTGGCAGCAGTAGAGCTGTGAGTACTTAACCTTTTTGAATGGCGATTGGTTCACACTGTAAAACGTTTCATTTAGCTTTGCTTATGATTCTTGGACCTTTTTTAAATTCACTTTAAAAGTTCTACTAATAGCCATTTAGGTGTGCAGCAGGCTGTCAGCAGCTCTGACCTTTTTAGAGAGAAACTTTGATTCAAGGGGCTTCAGAGGTTCTTGGAGTTAAAATTTCACAGGAGTCGCAGGTCTTATTCCTCTTTCATATCTTCGCTCTCCAGCTTTAACAGGGACTGGAGGTACCACAAAGAGGAGCGGGTTTGGATAACAAGAGCGCCTGGCATGGAGCCTACGCTGAAGACCAACGCCTACGAGAGGGGAACCTACTACTTTTTTGATTGTCTTAACTGGAGGAAAGTAGCCAAGGTAAGAGTTTGCCTTTCTGCTGCCTCTTTTGCATGCAAGATGAGTTTTATAGACTTTTGTTGTGGATTAGAGCTTTTCCTATCATATTAAAATTGTGTCTGCATCTCTAAGGAGTTTCATCTGGAGTATGACAAGCTGGAAGAGAGGCCTCACGTGCCAACAACATTCAACTACAACCCAGCCCAGCAGGCCTTCTAAGGCCCGACCGGTCCAAAGGCCGCAGCTGTTCTTGCACACAATAGTGTTGTCCAGGAGGGGTGCTGCTTGGTTTTTATTCCTCGAGGATTTGGCTTTTTGACTGCGGGGGTCATCGCCACCATCAAAACTGCCCTGCCTTTCCAAAATTACATGCTGCCCAAAACACCAACACTTGTTCTGTTTTTATTCTTTATGTTCCTCCTGTTTTTTTTTTTTTTTTTTTTTTTGTCTTGTTTTGAGCAGGGTCTGTGTTATGTTTACGTCTTTGAATCTGAAGCCTGTTTTCTTGCAGAAAGGAGAACTGACCTTGTGGCACTGGACAGTGACAGAACAAGGGTCATGCTTCGTATTCACAAGTGTTAAGAACAGAAAAAAGTCGGGGAAGAAAAGTTAATATCCTCTGACGCAAGTTAAAGGGTGAAAGAAATGCAATGTTTATTGTTGCACTATATTTAGTAATAAAAGAACACAAAATGTGTTTGTGCTTTTTTATGTCAACACTCCCTGATAATTTTTTTCCCTTTTGCATTTTTTGTTATTGGAGGGGGGGGGGGGTCATGCAACTTTTTCACAAGCATCCCTTTTCATCGTACTTTTCTCTTCCTTCCTTCCCATTGACATTGATTCCGACCACCACCAAACTGTTTTCTGTCTCACACTCTTTCCCCCTCTGTCTCTGAGTTGTGTGCCAGGTGAACATGGACACGAATCTGGGAGAATACTTTGGTTGCCACAAATGTGGACAAATCCTCACTGAGGCTAGACAGCTACACGACATTGCTCTAGAGAAAAACAAAACACTTTCCAGTCTTTGTTACAATTTTGTAAGAAATGTGTAAATTTTTGGTTTCTTTGCATCATATAAATTAGTATATGTATGTACGAATGTGTATATATGATTGCTATATATATATATGTATGTGTATATATATATATGACATCTATTTTGGAAGACATTTTGCCCTGCCTTGTACCTCGTTTTTATGAGGTGAGCATGGATGCAATATGTGGACGTAACAGGACATTTCTGGATCTGCTGGACAGGGTGTCACGTGGCACTGCGGGCACTTACATCAAAGTAATACAAAATTAAAATGTCGTTTAAGTAAAGGCCTGATTCTCAGCCAAAAACAAGAAAAAAAAAATAAACATGGAGATCATCCCAGAAGGGTCGAGTCCAAAGCAAAATAAGGGATGTATTTCAATTTAAGCTGTTTGAACAGCAGTGAACAGCATTTCATAGGAAACGGAAAACAATCGAGGAGGAAAAAAAGAATCCAGACCAATCTTGTATTTTTTGAAGTTAAAAGCTTCTTTTCTTTGTATTAAAGCAAAAAAAGGCTTTCCTGAACCACTGTGTGTGTATTGCTTATTACTCTTTTTAAAGTCAGGGATCCCTCAAGTTCAGCTCCCTTCCTGGAGCCAGTTTTATTTTTAATGTACAAACTTGCAGGCGAAATCTGTGCATTATTGCCAACAAAAAAAAAAGACATTCGCAGGTACAATACATTTTTATACAGTACACAGGCTTAACTTTTACTCTGACACATCCGCAGCAAACACTGAGTGTGCAATCTGGGGTTTAAGATTTTACCAGTGTCTTTGATAGACATTTAATTCTGTTGAAAGTGCAAGGTTTTATTAGTCTTCAAAGAGTTTCAGAACTTTCTCTGCAAGTGAGTTAATTCATGGAATGTAGTTTTGACCAAATTATGGTCTTATTTTCACACATTGATAACTAGGAAATAAAAATGTAATGATACATGTCCAGTGCTGTGGAGAAATAAAATTTTGGGTTATTTCTAAATTAATTAGGCTATCAAAACGAGTCTCCACAGTTTAAAAAGGCACATACACACCTTAATTAATACAATATATAAAATGGACAACACAAAAGTTAGCAGTAGACAAATATGGCACACACAGATGACACACTGAAAACATTCTCAAGAATCCTCATTATCTACAGAGGCATTAAGAACAGAGCTGCCATTACAGGCCATGAACAATTGATCATAATTAGTACAATGCACACCTCCAGAGATGTAGCAAAGTATTGAAAACAGAGATGCAATTGATTGAATGCATCTGATCAGCAGAGGACACGCATACAGCTGAGGGTTATACTGTAGCAAAAGGCTCCAGTCCATCCAGACTGAACGTAAAAGTATCAAAAGGCAGCATGGCAAAGGAAAGGATTCACTTCTACCTTACACTTGTTACACCACCTGACCTTTCCAAATTGCAGTTGCTTGCGTTAATGCTACAAATTCAAACTGAACTTACTAGATGCTGCAAAAACTTCAAGGCTGTGGGATGTCACAATGATGTCGAGGGGAAGACAAAAAAAGAAAAAGACACTTCCTGCAGTAGCACTTGAAATACCCATTCTTTCTCTAATGAAGATGATTGCTTTGTCATTGGACATGAGTCTCAAAAACAATATTCTTCAATTGTGTGTTGTCAAATCCAGCTTCAAGTCCTTCTCCCTGATTCAAACACACATTTCAGTGCAGTCTGCTGCAGGAGATCTTCTCTTCACACCAATTCTTCTGACCAGGCGAATACGCCCTCTCATTTTACTCTTCAAGTTATGAACATTGATCCGCTGATCTCACAGTGAGGGTCACTTTGATGCAGGATCAGTGGGGGTTGAGCCATCTGAAGTACCTCCTGCTTTGGCAGCTTCTTCTGGTGGAGAAAATGGCAGTTTAGTTATTTGTGAGATCTAAAAAAGACAAAGACACAGACCATCCTCATCTTTCATTAATCAGGGTGCAAGCTATCAATGAAAAATGATCTAGGCTTTTGCCTGTACAACAGGATGGACGTGGCAGTGGTACTGCATAATTAAAAGACTCATTAATCATCACAACACCTTTCTTCTCCTGAGTCTCCTCGGCTGCAGTCTTGTCCGCTCTGAAGAAGATCCGGGCGCTGCTTAACGAGAAGTGGAGCAGCTCGAACTCCTGAAGTGAAAGAAAGAGACAAAGGGTTCAGAGCGAACAATTATTCCACATCAGACATTTTCAGGTGCAGAGGGAAAGACATGAGGAAAAGCTACTGCGTGAGGTGAAAAGGACAGGTGCATGCCCATGTTCTAAAAATAATGGTAAGTTGGCACACAGCTCATGGAGGCAATTAAGGTAATTTAAAACCCTTAGTCCGATTGCCACAACTTACATCAAAGCTCTTTTGAGTTATAGCTCATTGTCTCCGATGTCCATTGTGATTAAAAGGTCCATATATCATCTTAGAAGTATAATATATATAATTATAAGTTTTCTACAGTATCAAAGTAATCTAATCATAGTTGTCTGTAACGCCATGGACACAGTAAACAAGATCTGCTAAAGGCTAATTCGGCATTTGTTTAATCTTGCCTATTTGTGACAGCTGACAATCCAACTGGCACTGTACCTGAAGGTAGACATCCAGCCTCTTCTGAGTAAGATTCATTGTTTGCAACAACTTTTCATCCTGGCTGGCAGACTGGACGTTCTGCTCCTTCACCACAGCATTCATCTCTTTCTTGTACTTATCTCTGACGGCCTGGAACCAGTGCAGAGAGTCAAACTCCAGATACTGGTCCAGCAGCTTCAGAATGTATGCCACACCTGAGAGAGCGAGAGATACGGCGGTAATAGAGAGGCAGAAGAGAGCGAGTCATCAGCCAAAAAAGCAAAATGTGGCTTTGAGCTGATGTTGTGTAGTACATACTGCATTCAATGTGTAATTTATGACTTAAGCCCACTCACCCATAGCAAAGCCATCATCTGTGAAAGCAGCTCCAGTTTTGTTCTTCTTGTTGAGTTTCTCTTTGCAGCTGATGGAGTGCTCCACGAAATTCACCGTCTACAAGAGATTTGTTGTTTCGATTACTGAAATGTTATCATGATGAATGATATTAGAGTAAAATTACAACACTAACAAATAGAAAGAGGAAACGGCACGATGGGTAATAGCAGGGAAACAAATGAAAAGTCTTGGCACTGACCAGCGGTGGTACGATCATGTAGAAGTTCCTCAGGTGCATATTTTTGGCACTGCGAAACTCGGGTGCAAACACCGCCACCAGCATCTTGAAGTACTCGGTCCCTTCAGCAGAGTTGCTGGTCAGATCTCCCAACACTGAATCTAGGACACTGGAAATGACACAAAATGATTAAGAAGAACTGTGCAGACAACAAAGTGATGTTTCCTTTACATTTTTCCAGCTGTGGTGCCCTCTGCAGGTGTGGAAATGGAATTCCACTTGCATTATTTTACGGTGGACACAACAGTTGTTTGAGTGCATGACAGAAATATTGAAACGAAAACTGAATTCTACAGTTTAACACATACTGGATCTTACACAGAAACAAGTGCATGCTAAACAAAAAGACTGACATGTTATAAGTTATAATTGTCCAGGCCCCACCTAGCTGCTTTCTGGGTCTCCTCTGACAGTCCTTCCTCCTTCACCAGCTCTTCAAAGTTGACTATATCCTCCAGGTCAGGAACAAACCTGGGATGACACAGACACAAAAACATACTGGTAAGATATAACAGAAAATACTTAATTGAGCTGTAATTATATTTAACTTCATATTTCCATCAAATAACATCCATGAATCCATTTAATCAGACATAAATACTGCTAATCAGGCATTTCTCAGTCTGATTCAGTCCATGACCTTCAGATTAACATGGCAAGGGATCACAAATATACACAAGCAGCACTGGAACAACTCTTTTTTGTTTTGTTTTTTTACCTGATGGCACTGCTGCAACAGTGGAGGCCTCCAGAACGGATCATGCGCACATAGCCCATGGCGTTACCTGAAAGAAAATAGGGTAATATCGGTGTTTTTGCCTACATCTGTAGAAGAATCAGCCTATATGCCAGAACAGATGAACAATATTCATGTTATGCTCTTCTCACCAATCTGGCTGATGAGCTGTCTGAACTGGTCCAGGTAGCTTTGTCCTTCAGGAGTGATGCCCAGCTTCCTGATGCCGCGGTTAAACTTCTCCGCTCGCTCAAATGGATACTACAAACAAAACCACGGACAAGTAAAACTGAGCAAGAGCTGTCAGGGAGTTGGTTATTGTGCCTGGTGATATGATAACGCAGTATTTTTAAAAACAGAAACTTCAAGGGCTTATTACAGGAGGATTAGACAGCTAACAGAAAATCTAGAAAAGCCCACCATTCCTGAGACTGTACTGAAAGTCTGTCTAAGGCTACGTTCAGACTGCAGGCCAATGTGACCAAAATCTGATTTTTTTGCACATATGTGACTCAGATCTGATCTTTTTATGACAGTGTAAACAGGCCAAGTCACATGGAATCTGATCTTTTCCAGTCAAGAATTGGGCCACTTCCATATGTGGTCCAAATCCGATACAGATTGGATCTTTTTAAATGCGACCTCAGTCTGGACACTCAGGTCGCATTTGATGCGACTTTGACGTCACTCTAGAGCAGCAGTTCTGCTGTAGACGGAGCC